CTCCATACTATTTCCATAGTGGTTATATTAATTCACATTGCCACCACCGACATAGAAGTGTTAATTTTTCTCCTGCAGCCTCACTAGCATATCATACCACTTGATTTTTTGTTGTCATCTTTTGTGGAGTGAGATGGAACCTCAATGTTGTTTTAATTTGCTTTTTCTCTGGTGGCCAGCAATGCTGAACATTCCTTCAAGTGTTTATTGACCACATGTACTTCTTCTGAGAAATGTCTATTCATTCCACTTGCCCATTTTTATTGGGTCTTTCATTTTGTGGGCGCTAATACTTTTGAGTTATGTAAATGTTCTAGGTCTTAGTCTTTTGACAAATAGTTGGCAAAATGTCTCCCATTCTATAGGTTGTCTTTTCACTGGGGTTTTCCTTTGCTACGGAGAAGCTGTATAATTTGGTATTATTGAAAGGGTTTGGGCTCAAACAGGACACTGTAGCCTGAAAAGCCTCAACTGGAGCCAGGAAGTTCCTATCTCCCCCGCCCCTAGGGATTTACCTGTGACTCTATCTCCCCCCACCCTTAGGAGTCTGCCGCTGGTGCCAAACGTGTGCCAATGAGATAGCTGTGCATCTCTAATGGCCCTAGGGCACTACCCTAAGCTTAGGCTACTTATATACCCTCCGACACCATGTGTCCACCAGAGAGAAATCCAGATTCCAGCTGGGGGGGGGGGTTGTCGATGTCGCTCCCGGCCGGCAGGAAGGACACACGACAAAGCCTGGCAGTGGACAACCTTTTCTTTTATTTTCCTTCTCCGTACAGCCTGCCCTGGGATCGCTCCCAGCCGAAGCCTCCTTTGGTCCGCTCCCCGCGGCTCCTTTTGGGCTTCTACTTCCGGGCTTCTTTTTTTCCCCCAGGGGTGGCACCAGTATATATACGGATACAGTGTCCAATCATGTTAAAGTAAGCAAGGCAAGCTGATTGGCTAACATCATCAGTTGCCAGGCAGACTATATTGTTGAGCGGGTTGCTTACGCGGTAAGCAGGAAACTAACGTGCTCGATGGGAGGGGTAATCTACCTCAGGCTTTACTCTTTACTACAGGCCTCACGTCCGCCAAGTGAGGCGACCGGGCTCGGGGCTGCGGCTCCCAACAGGTGGTGTTGGTTCTCTCTCTGTGTTCTCAGAATAAAGGCCTCTTTTGTTTTATACTTCTCATCTTTTGGAAATAATGCTATCAATTATCACATTTATTAATGGTTGGTACTCCTTCTTGTGCAGTTTAAGTTCTGTTCAAAAGATCTGTGCCTATTCCTATGTCTTCAAAAGTTTTACTTATTTTCTTTTCCAGTATATTGTTTCCACTTTTAACATTTAGATCTTTGATCCATTTTTATATTAGTTTAGCACATGGTGAAATATACGGGTCTAGATTCAGTTTTCTGGTTGCGGATAGCCAGTTGTCCCAGCAAAACGTATTAAAGATGTTATTTTTCCTTCAATGTATGTTTTTGACCCCTTTGTCAAAGATTAAACGGTTGAATATGCCTGTGATTGTGCATCCTCTATTATTCCTTTTATTTGCTTGTCTTTTCTTGTGCCAATACTATATTGTTGTTTTTTTAAGTTTGGCTTTGTAATATAATTTCAGATTTCAGGTTGTGATGCTTCCTGTTTTCTCCTTGCTTCCAAGGACAGCTTTTCCTATCCTGGGTCTTTCTGGTTCCATGTAAAGTTTCTGGTTGTTTTTTCTAGTTCTGTTAGGAGTACTGTTTTTTTTTTTTTTACTAGAATTGCATTAAATATGTGCATCAATTTTATAAGTATGGCGACGTATTGCTTCTGCTTATCTAGGAATAGAATATAGCTATTCATTTGCTTATCGATTCTAATAGTGTTTGGTAGAATTTTTTGGTCATCTATGTAGAAGATCATATCACCAGATCATTGAAAATATACATATATTTGCATAATTTATTTCTTTTTCCTGATTGGTCCAGCTAATATTTTGAGTACTATATTAAGCAAGAGTGGTGATAGTGGACATCCTTCTCTTATTCCAGACTTTAGAATAAAAGGTTTAACATTTTCCCCATTTAAAGTGGTGTTGGCAAGAGATTTACTATAAACGGGTTTTATTAGATCCAGGTCCTTTTATTTCTATTTGTTTCAGAGTTTTTGTCATGAATGAAAGATTCTGGCAAAGGTTTTTCTGCATTTGAGATGGTCCATGGAACCAAGAACATATGAAAACCTGGAATATCTCGAAGGAATTAAAATTACAAAAATCCTACTAAGAAAGCCCAGGTCCTGGGGGATTCACTGATAGAATCTACAAGAACTTGAAGGAAGGACTGGAGATTTAGCTCACTGGCATAAGCACCTGCCTGGCAAGCACAAAGCTGTGTGTTCAATTCCTGTCACCAAAAAATAAAATTAAATTTAAAAAAAAGAACTTTAAGGAAGATTTAACACCAATATTCATTAATCTCTTCAATAAAATTGAAAGGAAGGAGTACTCCCAAAGTCTTTCCTGGAAGGCAGCATTATCCTGATTCCAAAACCAGAAAAGAATCCAACCAAAAATTAGAAGTAGAGGCCAATCTTTTTAATTAACATAGATATGAAAGTTCTCAACAAGACTGGCAAACAGACTGCAACAAATTATCAAAGAGATCATAAACCAAGTATGCTTCATGCAGGATGTGAGGATGGCTGAATGTATTCAAACAATAACATTGTGTAAACTAAAGACAAAAATGACATAGGTTCATATCAATCTGGGAACCTATCCATTTCTTGTGAATTTTCAGATTTATTAACATACAATTTTGTGGAGTTTTTAATAGTGTTCTGAATTTCAGCAGTGTCCACTGTGATTTCATCTTTCATTTCTAATTTCACTCACTTGAGCCTTTTCCTTTTTCTTCTTTCTTTGTAAGATTAGTTAAATGTTGTCTATTATGTTCTTCCTTTCAAAGAATCACAGTTTACATATTTTTTTGTCTCAATCTCATTGATTGCTGCTCTGACTATACAATGACCTTCTTTATATTGGTTTTGGATGTGGGGAGTTTTTTTCCTAGGACTGTGAGGTACGGTATTGGTTCAATAATTTGGCTCACTCTGTTTTGCTAATATGGGGACTCACATTTATCAGCTTCCTTCTTCGAATTGTTCTCACTGATTCTAGAAAATTCTGGCATGTTTTATTAGGCATTGTCTTTGATATTCTTTGATTTCTTCTGTGAGATCATTGATTATTCATGTGTATCATTTAATTTCCACTTGTTTGTATAATTTCTGTAATTTCTTTTCCCACTAATTTTAAGTTGCAGGGCACAATGGTCTGATACAATGCATGGTATAATTTTTATTCTTTTGCATGGATTTAAGCATGCTTTACTGGCTAGTATGTGGTCTGTTTTGGAGAATGTTCCATGTACTGCCGTGAAGAATTGCATATTGTGCTTTTGTTGGGTAAAACTGTAGATATTTATTAAACCCACTGTTGAAAGATTTGATTCAACTCTGGCATTATACTGTTGATTTTGGGGGGAGGGGTCTAGTTGATCTTTAATATGGCTGCCTCATGTACTCAGGGGTAGGGTTTTGGGGAGGCGACTGAATATTAGGTGTATGGCACTGAATAATCCACTAATGGGTTTATAGCTGTGTATGATGTTGGGAAGTGAAGCATGATGGGAAGAGATGGGTCACTGTGGGCAGGTGATTTGAAACTCACTGAGGTTAAGAGCACAGATAAAGTTCTTCATAGACAGATCATTCAACCATGTACAACAACTCTTTATTCCACTAGGTGGCACAATGTGCTGAGGAGTTTATATATGCTAACTCGTACCCAGCAAAATTCTAGTTAAGTACTAGATCTTACAGCCACTTTGCCATGGAAGAAGATAAAATCAAATACTATAACTCACTCACTGAAAGATCACATAACAAGGAAAGACTATTGCTTGAATCCACTCATTTGTTTCGTTTTAAATCATTACTCCATGAAATTTCACTATTTTCAATCAAGAAGCTCAAAAAATTATTCTTATTTTATACATTAAGTTGGTGATGAATGAGAAGCTAGATTTGATTTGATAATTGAAAAGTTAGACGTCTGAAAGAATACATGGGGCTGTTAATCAGATATTAGAAAACCAAGGGACTTAATAAAAAATGGTTTTTATACCTCTCTTTATACCAGTTTCTCAGGATGAATCCTTAACTTCCTAAGCACTTTTTTTTACTGTCTTTTGAACTTTATGCCCAGCATACTTTGCTAATTAAATCAATCCACACTGAGATACATTGGGAGTTTTTTCTTAATGTGCTTCCCTGAAAGAAAGTTCCTTAATATGTAGACATTTCCAAATGTGAAATATCCAGTCTGAGTAATCCACTTGAGAAACAGTACATAAAGGTTACAATATCATTCTTGGGCAAAGTATTATGAGACAGAAAAAACTGTTTTAAAATTAATTCAGCTATTTCGCCAAACATGTGAATGCCACAAAAACTTGTATTAATAGTAAAATTAGGATTAAGAACACTGTTTTCAGTATGCTACCTCCAGAAAACCTTAAGAAAAATGTAAGTCTGACTAAAAGTTTTAACAGCTCAAAATAACAAATGGAAATGCATACAGCTTACAGAAAAAGTCCGTAGTATTTCATTGCCCTGTCATAAAGAATGTGCCGACACAAATTTTAAAAATTCAATCGTTAGGTGAGAAGTGACAAGTAGAAGACAGCTAGCATGATGTACCACTAAGAAGTTAAACAAGATATACCCTACATCGCATTTCTGAAAGCAGCGAAGTGAGAACTTCTGAACAATTCACCTTTCAGCGGTTTCTGTTTGGTCTTACGGTTTATCATACAGTCGTGGGGAAAAAAATCATTCAGACAAAATAATAGTAACGCAAAGCCCCGGGAAAACTAAAACACCTCCAGGCCTAAGAATAGCAGCCCAGGGTAGGATACTCAAGACTAAGTATGAGCCTCCGGGCACCCGTACGTCGGCGTCTTTGGATCAGGTACCGGAAGTGACTCCAAGCAGCAGCTTCCACTCCGGGACTGCGCAAATCGTAGCTCCCCTATCCTGGGTCAGTAAACCCCGGGGATTCAGAAGACTAAGGAGGCCGCGCACCAGCGCCAGACGATGGGGAAGTTCGTGGTGGTGGGCGGCGGTATCGCGGGCGTCACGTGTGCGGAGGAGGTGAGGCGAGCTGAGATCCCCAAAGGCGGAAGCTCTGCGGGCCTTTCCCGCGACCCCTCTAGTGCCTTGCTTCCGGGTCCCGTTGGCCACGCCCCTTCACCCCTCCGCATGCTGCTCTGGGGTGCTGCGAGTTGCTTGGGACCACAGTACTAAACCCTTGGTTCTTTGTAAAACGTCTTTGCCGGTGTGGGAACTGTGGGAAGCAACAGCAAGAAAACCAAAGCTGGCATACCTAGGATCTGGCCTTAATAATGCCAGAACGGACAAGAGTTTTGTATTTGGACAAAAGTTTTGTGCATCTTTTTAAATTGCTTTTGCTGATTGAATTCTAGAGAGGTGCCGGATCTTTAGTGCATCATAACTAATAAAGAATCGCTTACATGGATTTCCTATACTTTGAACTCCCACGATAAAAGCGACTTCATCTTTAGTTTTGTTTGGTAACAGAACCAGCAAAAAACTAAATACCACAGGGACTGCTTTTCTGATAATAGTACCATGTATATTCATATACGTGTATGCAGCCCCTCCCAAAAAAATCTGAGTATTTTGTAGACGTGAGCAACTACTTGCTGATCATAAGAAGTAGTGAAAGATTTTTTTTTTTTAATTTCAGTCTTCAGGTGTGTGTTTTCTGATTCTCAAGTAAACTCTTGTAATACAGGCAGCGTACTAAGGGCTCTTGACTATTTGTCAAACCTAAAGAGGGTGGGTGTGCTTTCCTAGGGATTCACGTTCTAGTAGGACAGACATACAAATAAACGCTCCCATCTGTGTGTGAACTGTTAATCTTAGTGCTTGTAGAGCTGGGTAGCGAGTTAAAATAGAGAAAAAGTATTTCTTCTTGAGGTGTCTTTATATCTTTTTATCAAAGAATAAATGAGAAAAATAGGCATTCCAAAGGGAGGCAACAGTATACTCTCCAGTGGAAAAGCACAGCACCGTTGTAGAGCAGCAAAGTTTAAATAAAATACATGGTAAATGCGAGATTTAATCAGCAAAGTTTGGCAGAGATCAGATCATTAAAGGGTCTTTTCGGCCATGCTAAGAATTTAACAAGAACTTTAAAATCTCATGATTTTTAAATAGTGGAGTAAAGTAATCCAATGAAATGTTTTGACTGATGATTAGTTACAATGTTTGGGGGACCAAGGGAACTGGTTACTGCTGCTTCTGAAATTGGAAGGCCAATGTGAAAGCGATTTCAGTAGTATTAAGAAAGCTTTGGGAATGTGCCAGATAATGGAAATAGAAGGGAAATAAATTGCAGAACATACAAGGAAAGATGGATAGTTAACACTGTCAAATGTTAATTAGAAAGTTAAGGTGAAACTAAAATAATTTCAAAGATTTGAAGAGTTTATAGGTGATTTGAACATGCTCAGGTTTAGAGGAATTAAGGTTAGAAACAAGACTATTAGTTGGGAATGTAGATATTATTGAGAGTTTGCTTTAATTTCATCCCATTGAAGGCAAATTAAAATATTGTTTTGGGTTTTTTGTTTGTTTGTTTGTTTTGGTTTGTTTTGGTTTGGTTTGGGGTTTTGTTTGTTTGTTTGGGGGGGGGGGGGTAATCGAAAATCGAACTCACGACCTCCCTCTTGCCAGACAGGCACTAATGCTGTTGAGCTAATTCCCCAGCCCAAAAGTACTATTTTAAAGTAAATAGAAATGGCTTAACTGTTACTTGAAAGATAATTTCTTATTCTTTTTATAACTTTAAATTGGTGTACAAAATAATTTAAAGGGTACTTCTATATCTTTTTTTTTTTTCAGGAGATCTTTGTTAATGGTCAGTGTAAACATACTCATTTTACCAGTATATCAGTTTAACATTACTCACCAGTCCTCTATAAATACAAACAAGCCCCCTTTACATGAGGCACAATTAATTTTAGATTTCTTAGGTTAATAATACTATTAAAATTGTATTATCCTCTTTCTCCCATACTATATTTTAGAGCAATACCTAATATTACCTGTCATATTTTTCTTTCTTTTTAAAAATAAGTTGGCTGTTAGCTTTCCATCAGAAGAGATTCTCCTGATCACAGCTTCTCCTGTTATTAAAGCAGTTACCAACTTTAAGCAGGTGAGAATCTTTTTTTTAACTTTATTAGTTTTAATTTGAAAAAGATTGCTGTAGCCTGTATGGCTAGGGTAATTATAGTGGTTAGGGTAATTATAGTGGTTTTTATTATGGTTAGGGTAATTATAGTGGTTTTTATTCGTTTTTTTTAATTGATAAGTAACAATTGAATATGTTTATGGTATACAACATGCTTCGATAGATGTATAGAAAATGGAAAGGCTAAATTAAGTTTTTAATATATATGCATTACCTCACTGTCATTTTTATAAGAACACTTAAAAGTTAGTATTCTTTAGCAAGTTACCAATATATACAACATATCACTGTTAATTCCCATCAAGATGTGCAATGGATCTCTTGAGTTTATTCCTATGAATAAAATACTCCATCCTTTGACCAAGATCTGCATGGTGTCTGTATTACTCAGTCTCTTGTGAACCATCACTGTACTTTTGTTTCTATGAGTTTGAGTTTTACACTTCCCATGTAGGGTGAAATCATGTATTGTTTGGGTTTTGGGTTTTGTTTTTTTTTTTGTTTGTTTGTTTGTTTTTTTTTGTATCGGGCTTATTTCACTTAGCATGTCTTCCAGGTTTCCCTATGTTGTCATATATGACAGGATTTCTTCTTTTTCTAAAGCCTGAATAGTATTCCATTGTATGTATGTGTTACATTGTCTTTATCGACTCAGTCACTGGTGGACTTAGGTTAATTTCATGTCTTATCTGTTATGATTAATGCTGGAATAAATGTGGAAGTACAGATACCTCTGTGAGATGTCAATTTTATTTCTTTTGGATACCTAATTGTGGGATTGCAGTATTATATGATAGTTTAATTTTCAATTTTCTTGAATAACTTCTTATATTTGGTAAGGCTATACTAATTTACATTTCCACCAGCACTCTACCAGGGATCCCTTTTTTCCATGATTTTGCCAATATTCGTTATCTTCTTTCATTTGGATAATAGCTATCAAAATAGATGTCAGATATCTCATATTGGTTTTCTTTTTCCCAGTGATTAGCACTTTGGCTAATGTTGATCACATTCTTAAATTTCTTTTGGCAATGTTTATGTTTTTGTAGAAATGTCTAGGCAAGTTCTTTGCTCATTTTTAAATTGGGTTATTTGACTTTTTAATATTGAATTCCTTGGAAATGTTAATACTTTATTACAGGTATAGATTGCAAATATTTTTGCCACTCTGAATTCTCTCTTCAACCTATTATAGTAATTGTTTCCTCTGCCATGGAGAAACTTTTTATTTTATATAATTCTGTTTATTTTTGGTTTTGTTACCTATGCTTCAGGAATCATATCCAGAAAAATTTTTCCCAGGCTTTATTATGGAGCTTTTCCTATATGTTTTCTTCTATTTGTTTTATAGTTTCAAATTTTACTTTTTAATCCTTTAATCCACTTTAGTTTGGTTTTTATTAAAATGATGTTAACAAGGGACTAATTTCATTCTTCTGCATGTGAATATCTGGGTTTCCCAGAACTGTTTATTGAAATAAACTATCTCTTCTCTATATGATCATAAATGTGTAGTTTTTTTCTTTTGTTCCATTGCTCTATGTGTCTGTTCTTATGCCAGTACTATGCTATTATGATTACTATGCTTTTATGATTATTATCTGCTTTTATCTGCTAATCAGGTAGTCTAATACACCTGGCTTTTGTCTGTTTGCTCACGATTGTTCTAGCTATTTGGATCTATTGTCTTTGCACATGAATTTTAGGATTATTTTTTCATATCTGTGAAAAATGTTATTGGAATTTTGATAGGGATTCTTTTGGAACTCTAGATTGCTTTTGATACTTTGGACACCATAATGATATTAATTCTAATTGATGAACATGAACTTTCCATGAAAAAGATTTACAATAGTATTAAGCAGTACTATTCTGACTTATTTTTTAGAAAAATAGTTATTTTTCATAAATACATATTTATCATGTATTAGATTTATTAAATAATTTACATAAATTAAGAATTACTAAACATTTTTTTCAGCCTTAATTTCTAATCTTGCAAATTACACTGCTGTGTCTTACCCATATAAAGAAAGGCTCTTTGAGTTCCTCAGTAATTTGTTAAGACTTGGAGATTTGAAACCAACAAATGTAAGAATGCAAAGGCTAATTGGTAGGATTTTTATACATCATTTAAGGAGCTAAGTCAAATACTTACCTGCAAATTATGTGGTCCTTCTCCAGCAATCTTGGTAAGGACTAAAAATCTAGCTAGTTTAATCTATGGTTGGTGTTTTCAGGGTAATTAGTGGTTAAAAACACGACAGCAAAGCAATAAGGGAAAATGACCAACGTCAGAATCTTAGCTACATGGGAAAGAGAATGAGTCCAGTAGATGCTATTGTTTTAAAGAAAAAGATTCCAAAAACTACATCAGGATAAGGTTGCCTGTCAATGAAATACATGATAAATATCAATGAAATTTAAAAATCTAGAAGGATAAAGAAAGAGGTAAGTTATTTATAGGAAAGTGAGTAGTGTAAACTATCATTTTTCAGGCTAGAAAACTAAAGCTCAGGGGTGGCCAAACTAGTATTTGAGTTCAATTTGTACTATGCAGGCCTTCTATCCATTCTTTATAATGTATATGTTAGTCTGCCTTCCATCTGTAGGATAAAATACTTGAGATAGTCAAAAGAAAGATTTATTTTGGCTCAAGTTTCAGGGGTTTTAATCTATATATGATAAGTTGGCTCCATTATTTGTTGGATTTTGTGGCAATGCAGAAAAATCATGGCAGGGAGTATTGTTAGAGCGTAGCTGCTCATGGAGGCTGAGAAGCAGGAAGGAGAAGTTAGGATCCCAAAATCCCCTTCAGCGGTTTGCTCCTACTGAGTAACTTTCTTCCACCAGGTACTACCTCTGCCTCGTAAGGCTTCTGCCACTTCAGTAGCACCACCATTTGGTGACCAAGCCTTTGGCATATGGACCTTTGAGGGCATATAATGTATGATCCAAACTGTAACAATGCAGTTAGCTAACTTTCTTGTTTTATGAACTTGAAATAGTGTATAGAAATAAATGAAAATGTTTTATTAAGGTTCCTAAACTAAAATAACTTTTTAAAGTATACATTTTTCTTCCTGGATCTAATAAAGGTTTCTAAAATATTGGAAGAATTTGATGTTGAAGAACAACCAAGCACCATGTTAGAAAGTCGCTTTCCTAACATTAAGGTCATAGAATCTGGATTAAAGCAACTGAAGAGTAAAGAACACGTAAGAAAAACATTTAAATAATATTTTCCCACGTTTAATGTTGGTAAGGTTTTGCTTATCTACCTTTGAGCTCACCTTTATCACCAGTACCATTTCATCTCCCAAATGTAAAGTGTAGTGACACTGATTTTCATTATTAGAAAATTTACACTTCAGGGAGTTCATCTGTGTTACAAATGTCCATTATGTTCCGGTACTATACTAGTTTCTGGGATATAAATAGGAATACAAGGTACCTGCTCTTACAAACTGTCAGTATCACAAGAAGTATAGACATATATACTGTATAATTATATGGACATATAAAAAGCACAATCATGAAAATGTTATCAAAATTCTGGCATTAGGTGTTCAGGAAGGCATCACAGATTGTAACGATACATTTGGCTGGGCTTAAAATATGAAGAATAGGTTACGTGTTCAAAGACCAAAGGAAGAAAAAGGGTGATGGAGAATCGTAAGGATGTCAGAGGGATTGGGGTGTGGAAACGTAAAGGAATCTGGCCAACGAGGCTAGGGAAATACGTAAGGAAGATTGGGAAGCACTTTTATTTCATTCTAAAATGTTGGGTTTATTTTCAGTCAGAGTTCAGTCGGAGATGATAAAAAAGTTTTCAGTAAGCTGTGTCAGACAGCCATGTCAAGGATGAACTGAGGTAGAATTAGTGACCAACGACCAAAGCAGTTGCAGATCGTCTAAAGTGATGTGACACTTGGATTAAGAGGGAAATGCAGTTGGAAACAGTATCCCAGATTTAAGGATATTTCTTCTGTACATTCAGCAGGACTTACCTAACCCTTGCAGTTGAGAGTGAGGAAGACAGGCTCAGGAAAGAATGTTGTCAGATGAATTAAAGAGAGAACATCCTCAGAGAACATCAAAGCAAATGGGAAGTAGGGTTTTTAGTTGTTTCTGTAAGGTAGCCCTACCTTATGAGTGAAATGCAAATAATTTAATAGAAAGCAGTACCAAGTTTTATGAGAAAAAAAGATTAAAAACCTTAATTCTAAAATGAAAGTGCTACCAAGAAGCAGCCTTAATGTATTAGTTTTAGCTTTTGTCTTATTAAAATATAAATAAGTGAAATCATATTCCAGTATAAATTTGTTTCCCCTCTTCCTTTGGTTGCTCTCTGTTTGCAGTGCATTGTCACCGAAGATGGCAATCAGCATGTATATGAAAAACTCTGCCTGTGTGCCGGAGCCAAGCCAAAGCTGATATGTGAAGGGAACCCTTATGTGCTAGGAATCCGTGACACAGACAGTGCGCAGGTAACATTTTAAGTCTGGACTGCAGGAAGGAAACATGAAGATTGCTTTGACCTTTCTGCATCTGAATAAAAAGCATTGCACCTCACAGTGTTAATTCCTCATTTATTGGAACAGAGGAAAAGTTTTTCTTTCTCAACTCATAAGCCAAAATGGAGGTTATATGAGCTAGATGTGGTAACATAATCCTGAATCCCAGCACTCAGGCAGAAGAATCAAAAGGTCAAGGCTAGCCAGGACTACACAGTAAGACTATCTCAACGAATAAGGAAAAAAAGAGTAATAAGTTTTATTATTGTCAATTTGAGTTTGTTTTTAGTGCATAATTCTCAGCTCATGCTAATCTCACAAATTCTTTTGGCTGTGAGATATTGCAGATACAGCTACTATGTTGAAGGTTTCAATTTATGTTACACATTCATTGCTCCATTTTAGGAATATGTGATTTGCCATTTAAACAGTGTAACAACTTTTTCCCAAGTGGGAAAGCATATCTAAAATGTCCTGATCTTATTCCACAGCAAAGAAAATATTCACGAGATCTTGGTGGTAGGAATCATGAGGGAATCATTGAACTGAAAAAGGTTTATGCTTATTTAGTTCATTACTCTGTCTTAACATCATGATTAACCGTCCAAGTAAGCTGAAATGCGCACGTGATACAGTTTCTTAGCATAATCTGTCTCAGAGTTCTGCTTCCTTGTGTCATGCTACTGCTTTGTCTAACTTCACACTCATTGTTCTGCTCAAGGAGGGATAACTTTGCATTTATATAATGTTGGATATTCTCTCTCAGCCTGTATAACTTAATTAGGAATTTAGAGAAAACTAAGAGAATTTTTTTACCTTTGTCAAGATTTGGGGTTCATGTCATTAGAAATTTGAGCTTATACTTGTTTTAGCTAGGCCTTCTACATGAACTCAGTGTATCTCCATGATAATCATCATGATATCCAAGAGAGCCCTTGCTATATAAATAGCATGGGATGAACAATAAATGGAGCACTTGTAATATTAATGGCAGAGTGGAAAAATTAGATGTTCTTGCTACATAGCAAGTTGAATAAAGTACTTCTATATTTAGAATATTATCTGACTTTACTGCTAGGAAACTGAGATTAAAAGATGAAATATTTTCCTATTCTAAAGTAACTATTATGTTCATCATAATAGTTTTTTCAATACTGGGAATTGAACCCAATGTCTTTATACTCAGTTGCATCCCCAGCCCTTTACCTCCCTCCCACCCCCTGCCTTTTTTTTTTTTTTTTTTTTTTTTGAGGCAGCATCTTGGTAAGTTAAGTTGCCCAAGGTGGGCTTGAAGTGGGCATCCTCTTGCCTCAGTCTCCCAGAGTGCTGAGATTAATGGCATGCGCCAGTATGCGCAGCTGAAAGTATGGGTTAGATTTACTATTTTCATTTGTGTCCAGCGTACTTTCTTAAAGTGTCCAGATCATTCTTAAATTGCACTACCATCAGTGAAGGACAAGTTAAAATCAATATTAGGCTTTTTCTTGTAGAATACTAAGTCAACTTCAAGAAGTTGGGTCATTTGGGTCATTCTTTATCGGTACCAGGGATTGAACTCACGACCACATACTTGCAAGGAAGGCGCTTATGCCGCTGAGCTAAATCCCCGGCCCCCCATTTGGGTCATTCTAATAACTGAGGTAGTTGGTAGCAGAACTTTTTCTGCACCGACATACCATTTTGGAGCAATGAACTATACTTTTGAAGGGGCCACAAGAATTACCACTGACTTCTCCTAGCTCATCATAATCTTTTTTCAATAGCTTTTCAACTTGATGCCTGTTACTTATAATAGCTTTATCTCCATCACATCACAGAATCCATACAGAAATGTTAGGACAGATAGTTACTTGCTTCTTTCTGTAGTGAAGGAACCTGCGGTGCAGAGAGGTTAAGTAGCTCGTGCCAGGCCATCCAGTTAGGAGCTGCAGAAACCAATGACTCTAGACTGTGATGGCGAACCTTTAGACACAAGTGCCCAAACTAACCCAAAACTCACTTATTTATCCCAGTACCAACATTGCTCTTAAACCTGAACACTGAGGTTTTCAGTTTAGAAAAAAAACTCATACATTAACATCTTTTGTCTCAAAAGAAAAACAAATAGCATGCGTGCCGTACATTCGCCACCACTGCTGCAGATCTGCTCTCACCCGCCCTGCTGCTACACTTCTGTTTCCCCAAAAGCTTTAAATGTTGAGGGACCTCAGGGAGCCAGGTCAACCAAGAGGCTCGGCAGAGTAAAACTAACTGATTCTGTCCAGTAGCTCAGATTGTGGATAAGGCCTCTGATTGAAATTTGGAAGGACTTAAGATGTAATCACATAATAGGCAAGGGAATGAGGAGCGACATTGAGATAAAGACAGCTTAAGATGAAGAGGAGGCTGGCAGTAATAAGTTGGGAAGGTACAGCCTGGCAGCCTGGGAAGCAAGGTCGGTTTTGTTGTTCCTTTGTAAGTTAATGAAAACATTTTTAGAACATTAGCAGAGAAGCCTCTTGCTTCACTATTTCAAAACCCTCTCATTTTCTTTTTAATATAGGAATTTCAGAAACAGCTTACTAAAGCTAAAAGAATAATGATCATAGGGAATGGTGGCATTGCACTTGAGTTAGTGTAAGTATATGTTTTGAAACATTATTTAAAAATTGTTTTGACATTCATATGATTGTGGGCCTATTGGAAAACCTTGTACCTTGAAAAAGCAAAGATAAATGTAATTGTTTTTAAGGGAACAAAATCTATTTTTTTTAGCTCTTGTAGAACACAAGATTGCAGAAATTTCCTTTTACAATGTAAATGGTTCAGGAATGTTTCTAGTCTCTATCATCTGTCACTAAAAGCATGACTTATTGTATATGTGTAAAATATTTTTGTTCAGAGGTGTTGTCCTACCATATTTAATCCTGTCCTCCTTTTCTTAAAATTGGATATTAAAGACTACTTATCTAAAACTTGTAACTTTATATTCATAAGCACTTCTGTGATAGTTTAAGAAAGTCTCACTTAGTGCTGTTCTCCAACTTTGGGTTCCTGAGGTCTTTGCATCTCATGATGAAAATGAGCACACTCAAATCTCTTTTCCATGAGAGTAGCCTCTGCGTCCCACTAAACCCATCAGTGCTTACTTCAGTTCGGTCTTTGCTTCCTTTCCAAGTGCAGGCTAATCCTTTTTCAAACAGATACAGCTTTTCTGAATTTCACAAAACTGTACTACCTCACTGTAGTCTGTTTTTAGAGTGGTTTTAAAGTGAAAGTATTTCGTGTGTGTGTAGTGACACTTTCAAGCCTGACATCACGCTAACGGCACAGCGGAGGTCAAGGGAGAACTTTAGGGCATCCTATGAAGTAACACAAGCACAGTAGTCACTTAGGGCTGTTACTGTAGTAACAGGGCTGCTAGTCAATCAAGAGGACTTTAGACTACATTGGTATGTTTGATACCATTATCTTTAAAATATAAAAAGTTATATAAATATTTTAATTTATAAAAAATGCATTCTATGGTAACAATAAGCCTATATGATCTGAGCAACATAAAATAGTACATCCTATCCCATGAAATAGAGTGTTCTGAAATTTAGTGAAAAGTTTGTTGGCCGTGGGGAGCTGGAAAAGTACAGGCAAGAAGTGAGGGGTTTCTTGCTCATGTGCTAAAAGCTTAAGTAAAATTTGACATGGAATTAGATGGACTAAACTTTTTTTCTGTTTCCTGTTTATTGATTATTCTCGAAAAGTCACTTAATCTGACATTTTATCAGTCTATGAAAAAGCAGTATTTTATACCACTGAAATGTTAAAATTTAAGAGTTCATAGATATACAGTATTACTGCTGCAAGTTCAAAAAAGTTCTATGTCCTGTTTGTCTGATATTGTCTCCATTTATGCTATGATCAAAATAATTATTAATAGGCAGTAGTGTCAGGTTAGATGACAAGTGATGTGATTATCTGAATTATAATGGACGTCAGGGACTTACTGAAATTCTTACTACATTCTCACCTGGAAATAAATTGCAACATGCCTAGGATTTCTGGCTTTCCAGTAATGGAAAGTGGAGTACATTGCCAGGGTCATTTCTTTTTCCCTTTAAAGTCTTTGATCTTTTTATGAACCAAATCTTTCTTCGTTTAGTTTGGAAATTTATGAGATGGAAAAAATTGAAGGTAATAGTTCTTTATAACTACATTAAAGCTTTTAAATTGTAACTTTTCTATCTTCTTACATAAAGTTGTTCTTTGACTATATAAAAAATTCATAACCAGTGAAGTCACACGTTCCCAATATTGTACCCATGTACTACCCAACCTTTCTTTTTTTTTGTACCAGGATCGAACTCTTGACCCTGTGCTTGCCAGGCAGGGACTTACACCACTGAGCTAAATCCCTGGCCTACCCCCCCTTCTTGATCATACTATGCCAGATAAGCAGAGCACTGCTTACACGTGGAACCCTGGAGGACATACATATAATTATGATGTGCACTTAACACTCTGAAGTGATACTCATTTAATAAAATTTTTATACTGAGTACATATGGTTATCACATGTAGGTTCTTTTTGTAAACTGGTTAAATGTCTTGTATTTTATTTTTAATTTAGCCTTTAAGTATGTTTCATTCTTCTTTATAATCAGTCTTTGCAAATTTGCCTTAAAATATGTTCTTTGCTTTTGCTGTAAGAGATAATTTTGACTTGGGGATTTCTACTTAAACTTTCAAAATTACTCTGAATAATTTCATATTCTTTTTAGGTATGAAATTGAAGGCTGTGAAGTCATTTGGGCCATTAAAGATAAAGCTATTGGGAATACTTTCTTCGATGCAGGAGCAGCTGAATTTTTGACTTCCAAGCTTGTCTCTGAAAAACCAGAGGCTAAAATTCCACATAAAAGGACTAAATATACGACTGAAGGTAAGTGTTGCCTCTGTCTAGCTTATTAATTCTCAGACGAGATTTTTTTTTAACTATATACCTAAGGGCTATAAGAAAATTTAGTGTAAGACGTTTGTAAGATAAGAATATGGATATTTTTTATCTTCATATAGAGTCAGATTTTCTAAATATGTGTGTGTATATATACATATATATATATATATGTATATATATATATTCACACGTGTATATTCAGATGTTTAAAACAGGAAATGTAAAGTGAAGTTTGAATGAACTAGTCCATCTACATCTTTGTAAACAGATGTTAGAATTGAGCGATATCAAAGGTAAAAAATACATGCATACCTTGTCGTTTAATTTTATTTAATAGGTTTTTGTAAAATATTTGACCTATAAATTCAAAATGAATTTTGTAAGTTTTGAAGGTACTAAAAATTGAAAAAATTTAAAAATTTGATGACTAATTTTCTACCCTTCAACTTAACCAACTGTCTAATGTCCAAAAGATATGTTAAGTGTTTATGCACCTTTAATTGAAGGTTTGTTTTATAGCTACTTCACAGAATATTAAAATAATAAAATCATTAATATAAGTTAGTTTCATCATGCCATATATTTGTATGTATGAGAATGATTTCACTCTGTAAAAGCTTCAGAACAGGGACATAGACCTCTGCCTGCCTATCTTTATATCACTTGAATTCATTTCTTCAGGAATGAAAAAGGAAGCAAGAAGCAAAGCTAAAGCTGATAATGTAGGGAGTGCCCTAGGACCGGACTGGCACGAAGGCTTGGATCTTCAAGGAACAGAAGAGGTACTGTTTTCATATACTGAAATATGTCTAGATGAAATGTTAAATTCTTGAACCACTTATTAAAGACAACCAAAGAAATAACTAGGTCACTTCACTTAAAATCCATTCTGATAGGAAAGGATTTCTAATGCACTTGGCCCAGATACTAACCAAAGAAAGGCAAATATAAATTTAGCTATACAAAATTCATCTAAACTGTGTCTCAGTGTTTTTTTTAAAACTCTGCAGGGATCAACGTCTCCACACTCAGACTACAGTGACCTGTTTGGTTGTAAATTAATCACATCTGAAAGGTCACTTCAGGTGCATGTAGTACAATTAAATGGACCCACAATACATTCTTAATATCATAAGTGGATAAGCATGTAATTAGGTTTTACTCATTTTATTCCTCAGCTGTTTTAATTTTTAAAGTTTTTTTAACTGTCATTTAAATATTCTACAAAGCGAGGCAATCCTTCATTACACTGTTATTTCTCTAACACATTGATTCAGCTTTTGGTAGGTGGGAAGTGCTCCATGGTATATCTAATTTTGAGGATGGAAAGTACACAAAATCATTTCTTTCTGTACTCTCAGATCCTAAACATAATTGTATCTTTAACCCAAGTATTTTAGCAGTTCATTTCAAAAACATTTACTTATTTTCAAAACACATTTATCTATCCTGTACCTTACTAAAGTTCTGGGACTGACTAAAACCAGGACACTTCTGCCCTGAAGTTTTTAGTCTGTCACCACTGTCATTTTTTTAAGACCAGCAAGTATCTGTAATTATTAGTGAGGCCAAAACTGAAAAACATTGTCTGCATTCAATCTTCCAGTGCAACTATTAGATCTGTTAAGCACTAAAGGAATTTCTCGTCATTTCTTTTATGTTCAAAAACTGAGAGGCTTATTTTGGGGCATTCAGCATGTTTCATTTATAAGAATTATTTTTCTATACTTTTCTACATGTGTATTATAATTGTTTTCTTCATCTTCAATAACACAGTCATTCTGAAAACATGATATGACCATATTTTTCCTTTTTTTAATTTTCAGTTTTCTCATAAAGTTCACATTGAACCTATGTGTGAAGTGAAGAAAATCTATCTCCAGGAAGAATTTAGACTTCTGAAGAAAAATTCCTTGACTTTTCCAACAAACCATAATAAGTCAGTTACAACAGATAATGGTAAGCAGCAAGTAAAAAAAGTTATTTATAGAAATGTGTTGGTTACTTTTTTCTCATTGTTGGAACAAAAATACCCAAAACTCAAAGTTAAAGGAGGAAAGGTTTATGGAGCTCACAGTTTGTGGAGGTTTCGATCCATACTCCACTGGCTCCAAGCAGAGTGGCACATGGCAGGGGGGCACGGTGTCAAAAGACAGAAAAAAGGCAGCAACAGCAACAAGAGCAAAAAAGGGAGAGAAGCAAGCCTCTTTTTCTCCCTTATACTGTAAGCAAGCTACCTGCCCCAGGGCGGATGCAGCCCTCCAACCAGCAGTCCCGGCACTAGACTATGAACTAATCACAACCTAGATTCAGCTGCCTTTGAAAGGGCCACCGCGCTCCTAGGACTGCATGAGGCTTTAGGGAGACATCCAGACAGAAACCGTAGCAAGAAGTATAACTTAAACTTATTGTACATTTTAAATCTTCAAATTTTTCCTAATAAATCTATACAGGATTTTGTATTTTACATAGGCTCATAGTGTTCAGATCATCAGGTCAGTATTCCAACAGGTCAAATCAAAACTAACTGAAAACAAAACAAAGCCCCTCAAGCTTTCAGAGGTGGAGTGTCTTCCCTCAATCAGTTTAAAATGTAGGTACTTTGGACTTCGCTGTAAATCAAAGACCTATTCCACACCTTCTAGAATTTACTCCTGTCCTACATAGTCCTGTGAAGGATCTGAAGTAATACTTAACAAACTGGTGTATAGAAATTCTGTTGGGGGCTGGGGATTTAGCTCAGTGGTACAAGCACCTGCCTGGCAAGTGTGAGGTGTGAGTTCGCTCCCTCATACCAAAAAAAAAAAAAAAAAAAAAAGTACTATTTTTAAAGTCTTTTGAGTTTTTCCATAGGACAAGGAAGTGCTCGAGGTAGACTGGGAATAGTAAGGAAAAACATTGAAAAGTGAGGAAACCAGTTGGAGTGAACACTAAGTATCAAGTATTAATAAAGGTTTTTAAAGAAATAATTTAGAAAGTGATTACCCATGTACATTTACTTTGTTAAAATGTATGTCCAGATTTGAAGAAAACAATGATTTTGCAGTTATACTAAAAATAGAAGATAGATTGCATTAAAATTATTCTAATGAAAGTACCTCATAGAATCATTAAGGGGTGTTGCCTAAAGCCATTGGCTACTTTCTTTGTATTCACTACAGTCATGTAATACTATGGATAGTTACTGTTTGTTACTTTTTGGAAAAAAATCTTTCTTTTTTAGAGACATGGCCTGTGTACGTGGAATTGACCAATGAAAAGCTGTATGGCTGTGATTTCATTGTCAGTGCTACAGGAGTTACACCAAATACAGAACTTTTCCTCCATGGTAACAATGTAAGGTGAAATGTTTTGTCCAATTATGAATATTTTTCAAGTATACTTTATGAAGTCTAAATTCCAATCATGAATAACTTCCTTACTTTAATAAAGAACTAAAGATAGCTGAAAACAATTTGGTTTATATACATGCATTGACAAATAGTATACTTTACTCATTGAAATTCTTAAGCAGTTACCATCCCAGCATGAATATCATCAAAGGACATAATTTGCAGTTTATTTAACTTAAGAGTTGGTTAAGAGATTAATACCTGTTATGAATTCTCAGAAATGAATCTTAAAGAAATTGTTTCTTTTTTGCCTTATAGTACTTGGAGCATATAAAAATGTTGTCATTATGCTGTTATCATTATGAGTGGGGCAATCATATAGTCACTGGGTGTTTTTGATACTGGAATTCTGAAATTTATGAGTCTGTATCAGTAAGAATTTAATCCCAGGGAAGTTGGAATCCCTAGACGCTGAAGTATATCCCTAGACTCTGAAGCTGTTAGTTACTTTCTCATTAAAAATGAACATACCACAGTGTGAAAATTTGACATGTTCTTTTATTGTTACAAAGTCATGTTTCAGTTTTCTCTAAACTTACTGCTTATCAGCAACATCATTTAGTTTGATGTAGGAGAAGACGGCGGCCTGAAAGTAGATGACCACATGCACACATCACTTCCGGATATCTACGCTGCAGGTGACATCTGCACGGCAGCCTGGCAGCCCAGCTCAGTCTGGCAGCAGGTGAGCCAGCTCTCAGGAACTCATCATTGTACCAGGGACTCATTAGGAAACACAGCAGCTGCTACCTTCCCATCCAGCTTCCTGGCTTTCCAACTTTTCTATTTTAAATAAACAGCCATCACAAAGTTATTTTTTGATATAAACAAGTTTTTCCCTCCTATTTGGTAAATTGTATAGAAAACTGTAGAAGGGATATCTTAATCTATAAAGAACTAAGGACTGTTACTTTACTTTTCATTTTCATATGCTTATCAACACCATCCAGTAGAAGCTCTGTGACAATAAAATATTCTGTAATTCTTCACTGGTCAGTTTAGCACTAGTCACATAAGTCACATGGGCACTTTAAATATCACTGGTGTGATTAAGGAACTGAATTTTTATTTTATCCACATTTAATTAGATAGCTATATGTGGCTAGTGCTGACCACATTGGACAGCAAAGCTGTAGATTACAAAACAAAAATCAAACCACTGAGATCATAAATTATGTAAATAAGATGTTCTATTCTTGGATGACCCTATTCTGTCCTGATGGTAATCATTACTAAAAATGTTCCTAACAGTGAATAGCCTCCCTGCATCTTAATAGCTTCCATCTGGATCTAGACTTCCTGCTGCTCAAAGGACAAAAAACTCCTGGGAAGATAATCAAAGCAAAAAGAAGTTGTCTTAGGAAGGAGAGATGTTACAGTCAACGTTTATCTTTGTTAAAGACCAGTTCCACAGTCAGGGCTGTTCATTCAAATGAACAAGGAAATGGGAAGGCCTGGAAGAGCTTGGTGTACTTTAAGACGCAGCTTCTTCATTTTCTGTTATATACGGAGCAGACATCAATAAAGTGCTTTCAGCCTGCTTGTTTTTAAGCTCCCCAAACTCACTTGTTTCAATGTTCTCTATATTCTAAGTCATTTCTGCAGCATAACTTTATAAATTCTTGGTTAGGAACTGGAGTTTGGCGGACTTTCTTTTTAACATTTTAAATGCTGTCAGATAAACTATATCTTCAATGTGTGTGATAATCTAATATAAAAAAAAATATTCAAAAATAGGTATCCCTTGTTTTCAGTGAATCTAAGATTCTCATAGTTTGCCTGAGCACTAAAAACATTAATTAGACATAATCTAAGACATATACTTCAGGATTTTGAGGCTCGAATACACTACTTAGTGTTCCAGCAGTGCGATACTGCAGGCCACTGCCTTTTGCCAGTGTCCAGCTGTTATTATGCTCAGTTTACTCTGCTCGCTTGCAATAAACTGCTTTTCACTTCATCAAACCTACCTTCCTTAGGGAGACTGATGCTAGAAAGGCTCACTGCTTATGGTTATGATTAATATTTTGGCACAAAAATTCAACATTAACTACGTATGCACACACACAGGTAGAAGAAACTAATTGCTTATCCCAGGCCAAGCTACTGTAACAGCCATGCAGTAAGTAGTGTGATGTTTATGTTTCATAAACCTGAGGCTCAGAAAAATTAAATATGTAGAAGAGTTGGTACTCGTGTTTGCTGTGACTCCCAAGACATTTTCTTCTTTTATACCAGGAAATCCCAAAACTTTATGAAAATGGAATAAAAATACAGTTGAGGAAAATTGGTCTGTCATAGAGAAACATTAAATGACTTCCCACAATCAGTTGCTAAAATCTGATGTCTGGAGTCTGGCCCACTGATACCAGTATCTGTGAGGTTAATAGCACAGTAGGCCTTGACTAATGCTTGAAAAATGAAGGTTACTGGAAAATGAAACAGATTTTTCCACAATAGTTTAATATGTATGCTGATACTGATGATAGACTTCAAAGAGGTGTTGGTTAATTAAAATGTAATTTCTGAGGTAATCTGAAATATTTTTGTATAGAAATCTAGTTAGTAGAACTTCTGATTGGTGGATTCTCTCCTTAATTTTTAGAGGCAGTAATAAAGACAGAATAAAAGAATATCCAAGGCAGCTTGATTAGGGTACACTGGTGACTTTCAGTGGCAAAGATGACAATAACTAGAACCAAATGAACTGCAAGCACTGAACCTCTTTAAGGGAATTAGCAAGGTTAAATTTCCAAGTAATGATAACGAAGCAAAGATGCTGTGTAACTTTTTCCCATGCAGATGAGGCTGTGGACACAGGCTAGACAGATGGGCTGGTACGCTGCTAAGTGCATGACTGCAGCTCGCCTGGGGAACTGCATTGACATGGATTTCAGCTTTGAGCTGTTTGCTCATGTAACCAAGTTTTTCAACTTTAAGGTAAGATGGTTAAGCAAATGAATACAATTTCTTCTTTTGGCCTGGTAATTAAATATATTCTATCTATGTTTCTCACTAAAAAATGTACATGGTTTCAATCATTAAAAAAAAAAAAAACTCTCTTCTTGCAAGCCAATGATATCACTGCTCTTAATTCTTAATTATTATATTACTATACCACTTTACAGTTAAGAGGGGAAAAAACTTTCACCGTAGGTTTGTTCCATGGTAGGTTTCTAAGTTTTATTTGAGATTTATAGTATCTTTGTGAGGGAAACTAAAAGGTACCGTACTTAGGAATGAACCAGGTGTTTTCTCATTCATACTATTTTATTTGGTCTTTGTCAAATTATTCTGCAGCAGATGTTTTCCCTCCAAATTTACTGATAAGGAAAAAACAGCTTCAAGGAGATTAAATAATCTATCCACAAAAGACCTAACTCAATTCCTCATTAAATATTTAAACTGGAATTGTAGGCTATGTAGTTCATGTTCTGTATACTTACATATTCACTAGATACTTTTAATGTTCATGTAGAGAGTGTAGTATCGTCCACTTATATTCTCCAGAGACTTCCAATGTTTAAAATATTAAATATAATATAGTCACTGATTTTTTAATGGTAAATCTAAATTGCATGACAATGTTATCTGTAAAATAATGTGTTCTTTGGGACCCTCTCCAATGATATTTTGAGCTGTAAAACTTTGTTGAATACGTTTTTTTTTTTGCAGTTGTATGTCTTCTTTCTTGGTACTCATGAGAGTGACTTTTTTTTTCTTTAATCTCTATGTGAAGGTTGTATTGCTGGGGAAATATAATGCACAGGGCTTGGGTTCAGATCATGAATTAATGCTGAGATGCACCAAAGGACAAGAGTATGTCAAAGTTGTCATGCAGAACGGACGTATGATGGGAGCTGTTTTAATTGGTGAAACGGATTTAGAGGAGACATTTGAAAACTTAATTTTAAACCAAATGGATCTTTCACCATATGGAGAAGAACTGCTAGATCCAAATATTGATATAGAAGATTATTTTGACTAAAATGGGATTTCTTCAAGATTCACATAAGTTTTAACTAAGGAAAACTAGACTCCGTGAAATGAATGGCTGAACTGATTTAATGATGAATGGAACTTAAAAACACAGGAAGTATCACCTGACATCATACTGGGGCCTTGGGTTCTATCCCCAGCACCGAAGTGGGGTAAAAATGCAGAAAACTATTAAAGAGACAAAATTCTAAACATGAACTCAGTTCAAGTAATTTCTTTACGTCTACATTTTTCTAATACAAAATTGACCTCTTCTTCTGTAAGATATTTTAAGATACTTAGTCATTTTTAAGCTTTAAACATTTCACTTATGACTTAGGTTTTGGAACATATTTAGCTAAATTGTTACTTATGTAGCTAAAATGTACTATAATAGGCCAGATCCATTCTTTTTGAAAAGTAGTTTTAGTAAACCTGTCGTTTTAGTTTACTTAGATACAACAGTATTTGATTTGCTAATATCATTTATGTTGATGTGTTCTTTTTTGAAATCATGTACATTATCATCCTTAAAATACCATTTGTAGTGAGAAGCCTATGTCAGTATAAGTTCCGCCAAAGGAAAAAATGCAATAGGCATACCAAGTTCTAAAATGCTTATCATACTTACATGAACTTGTCTCAAGTATTTTCCATTTAAAGACTTTTACATGAGGATTTAGTTTTCCTTTGTTTCATACAGTATAATTGTACAATACCTGATCTCCAATCAAGAGATGTCAAATTCTCAAATCTTCAGAGATAAACTCTGAAGAAATAGTTCTATAAGTATAAAACATCAATCAAATTGTTCTTTAAATTTTAACTACAAAAATAATGGTGCACGTGTGAACTATTCCTTTTCTGGAAGATTAGTAACAATTATTTCAGGCATCGTTGGCATCATCAAGTTTTCTTTTCTTGCCCCTTGGATTCTTAGAACCAGGTTGTTGAAACATGTTTGCAGAATTCTGGAAGTTACCTGAATTTTTTTCTCCCCTCATTTTATCTACTCGTTCAGAACAAGTCTCAGATGATTCAGCCTGTAAAAAAAATGAAAAAACTAAAAGCAAGCACCCTGGTAGAAGTGCAATTCTTTGGTTCATCAGATTAATAATCTAAAATATTCCTCCTGTATCAGTTCTGTAAATGCTCTGGGTCTGATTTTCATTTCTAAGTTTCTACTCAAATATGAGCTCCAGCTTAAATAAAAGGAGCCACATTTTCTGAAGAATGCTAAAGGACATTTGCAGTATCCCTAGAGAACAGGAGTACAGAGCATGCTTTTGCAGGCTGGATGGGATTTGCCTTATATTGATGGCTTCCAATCACTATAGTAGCACAGACTTTTTAACCAGTGTTGATCCCAACCAGTGCCATAAGGGCAGAGGTCTCACAAAATTAGACTTTAAAATGGAAGCCCCTTTTTCTAAGAGGTTGGTAACTCCTTTGTGTGTTGGGCTAGTCTGAATTCTTCCACTTAATACTACAGCAAACAAAGTTTCTTTTCTTCCTAGCCAGGTGTGTAGTAGCACATGACTGTAATCCCTGCACTTGGGAGGCTGAACCAGGAGGATCACTGGGTTTGAGGTCAACCTGGGCCATATAGTGAGTTCAAGGCCAGCCTGAACTAATACTGAAACCTTGTCCCAAGCAAACAAACAAATAAATAAAAAATAGAGAACTAACATCTATTCTTGTGTTCAGTTAGATCTAGGAAAAAATTACAGAAAGGCATCCTATAGGATTTAGCCTTTTAAAATACATAGTGATGAAAATTAATAGCTAGTCAGATACCTTGAAAGAGCTCTGTGTAGGCTTTTTCACTTGCATACTAATAACATGTGCTTCACTGTTCAGAAGATTAGCTTTGGGTCCAACTTTCAGATATGAAATAGTAGCATAAGCTGTGAAACTGTAGTCTTCTCTGCAGAAGATAAAAAAGCCAATAATCAGGAAACTTTTGAAAGAACTACAGAAAATTCATCATAGAACCATAATTTTAAATAACATTAATATTAATGTGAAATAAAACTATCATAAGAGCATAAATAATATCTTCCTAGTACAGTCGTACCTCTGTTCACAAACACTCTTGTTTGTAAACAATCTGGTTCCCAAACACAAGTGTTCGGCATTTTTTTTGTTTGCAAGGTCTGTATTGGTAACAAACACAATCACAGCCATCTCTCCCACACCAACAGAAAAAATGGCCATCTTTTCCAAAATTGGGGAACAACTTATGTTTGTGAGCTGAGGTGCCACTGTAGTTTTGTGCTTTTTTGATTTAAAGTGATTAAGGTTAGAGTTTATTAGGTAGTTTTCTATAGCACTTAAAAGTTCTGGTGCAATACCTACAAAGTTATTTATTCTGTTTCAATTAAAAAACAAAAGCAATCATAAAGATGAAAGGACAAAACTAGATGTATACTTCAGATACTGCTGTAGAAGAAAGTGCGCTATCATTTTCTCCAGGTCTTCACGAGGAAGCGTGGGAACAGCGACACCAGCCACTCTCAGTTTCGCTGGGCCCTTTCCCATCCACGAATCCATCAGTTTCAGTGGAGTGAGTTTTTCATTTAGTTCCTCTGCCTGCTTCAAGATCTTGATCAGGTCTCTGCAGTACACTGTTACGTTCTTTTTTTCAAATGCTGCAATGCAAGAGGCATGGTTTCTGACAAGCAGGGTTTAGAAATGAGGACAAGAATAACTATCCTATGTCATTAGACTGGTTTAAAACTAGTTACCACAGTGGAGCCGTCCTAAAACACTGATTTCTGGTCTATCGCCAGACCAAGTTATGGTCTCTGTAACACACCATGGGAGTTATAGTGATGCTAGATAAATAAATACAATAACCTGACTATGAGAAGACTTTAGGAACCAAAGTACATCTGCCAGTCATTTCCTAGGAGGCAGCCGTGTAGTCATACAGCAGAACCTGTTTTTCATACTTAGCTGATTTGTGCTTTTTAAGTCAATTCTAAAAGTGAGTGTGGGATTCTACAGGTAAGAACCTCCCAGATGGTGGGTGTTAATTAAGAAATGAAGCACTCTGACATACATATCAGGCTCTGTTTGGTCAATATTACATAGTCCAATCAACTGCTAAGTTTCTTTAGTTACAAAGTTAAAAGTGGTGACCACTATGCACCCACACATCAGAATAAGGTCTTTTGTGAGAGTCTGGTTTTTCAGGAGCAACACATACAAAATTTTTTATAAAAAAAAAGACAAAGTTTAAATACAAGGAATGAGAGACAAATACAGTGGACATTTGACCTTGGAATCGATTCATGACATTGGGGCAGCCAAGACATCACAACCAAAGACACTGCGGGGAGAGGACTTCCAGTAGCAATAAAGATGGGGTAAATCCGAACACAGTTACCCAGCCTGTTAGTTTCCTATTGCTGTCATGGATCACTACAAACAAAAGCTTATAAAAATGCAAGTGTATTACCTTACATTTCTGTAAGTTAGAAGCCTATTTGAAGCAAGAAGGAGTATTCTGAGGGGGATTAATGGCAATGTTCCTCATTATTTTTGTCACACCTTATGTACCGCCAAAATACTGCATGATTCACTGTGATCTATTTTCTACCAAGTTTCCTTCTCAACTTGTGACTATGAAGTATGTCTTTTATATAATAGCATTTCTAATTGAGAAATTATAATTTTTCTTCTCAAAAATTTCACAAGACCTCAGTATAGCAGTATAAAATGTATGTATACACCTATGACTTTTATTCACCTATTCTTTTTCCAAAACTTTATTTTTCAACAACAAAAAAACTGTATTTTTTTGAATCTGAAAAATTCTAGTCACACCTTGTTTAATCATTTAAATCCATTTTGGAGTCTAATACTGTCTTCATTTAATGCTAGATGTGTATCATTATCCTATAAAGGTTTCAAAAACAGCAGACTTACAAACGTCTTTACAGCAGTTATCACACATTTTGTTACATGCTTCTGAGTTCCATACTTCATCAAAATGTTGAGCTATTAATACACGGCGACATCTACAAAGACATTTAGATACAAATTATTAAATGAGCAAAGAAAGTTTTAAGAGTCTCTACTTTAGAACACACAGTTACCCAGCCTATTAGTTTCCTATTGCTGTCATGGTATTGCTACAAACAATGGCTTAAAACAATACAAATTTATTAGCTTACATTTCTTTAAGTTATAAGCCTAATATGCACGTCACTGAGTCAAAATAAAAGTGTCAGCAGGACTGCATTTCTCCTGGAGGCCCTAGGAGATAATCTGTCCTTGCCTCTTCCAGTTTCTAAGAGGTAGGTGTGCTTTCCTTGATTTCTGGCCCCCTTCCTCCATCTTTAACAACAGTGGGTTGAGCGTCATCTCTGCCTCCCTCTTTTACCTTTAAGGACCTTTGTGATTACACTGGGCCCACTAAGATAATCTGTAATAATTCCATTTGAAGGACAGATGGTTAGCAACCTCAACTCCATCAGCCACTCTGAGTTTCCATTGCTATGTAGGATAACACAGTTTTAGTGATCTGGCTATGGACATAGAACGTATAATTATTTCCATGTGGGAACCATTGCTTAAGTTATCTGTCATTTTGAGATTGAGAACAAAGGTATCAAGGGGTGAGCGGCCATCAGAAAGCTGTATCTAAAGCTACTCTCAATAGATTTAAATTTACTGTAGAATGAGAATCTTGACACTCCTCTGTTATTACCTTGACCCATCAGCTGGGAGAATGGCACAAGTTACTGAGTCTCACTCTCAAGATGCCTGTGTTATCCACAGCTTTTCAAAGTTAGCACAGCACCTGGCTGCACACCAATGCCAGAGAATGATGGCTTCGCCTCATTGTGAATGTGTGTCAAAAATCTTCAATTGAAAAATTAGTTCTAGACAATTACTTCAGAGACAGAGTTTCTTTTCTTGCACTGAACAGATCAAAAAAAGGTTCATGTTCCAATTTTTACCCTCAGACATCTGCTCTTACAGACCTAAACTGTGCAGTTATTAAGTACTCAGAATACCATATATTTTAATACACTTGTCTTTAATTGATAAATTATATAAAGGAAGTTAGCTCACTTGCTTATGTTTTGACAGTATGAGACCATCTCATAAAGCTTCTGCTGTCCAACATTTTCCATGACCACCATTGAACTTACTCTGAATATATCTCCAAAGCCATAATACAAAATACAGTCTGCTCTCATGTCATCTCGACCTGTAGTTTGAGGAATCCTGAGATTGCATAATTACTTTAAAAAATTGGTAACATGCAAAATAACATACATAAAATGAGTTGGCAAAACTTCACGTTATATCTAGAAATTTAGAGATGTCAAAGTTAATTTGTAGGAGTTACTCTGTTTAAAGACAACAGAGATTTATCAACATTAGCTTTACTAAATTTAAAAATATAATTTAATAAACATTTTAATGTTTTATAAACATTTAATGTTTTATAAACATTAAATTACTAAATTTAAAAATATATCCAAAATTATCCAGTTATTTAAGCTATACATTTGAAACTTCTAGTCAAAAATTCAAGAGACAGAGAGGAATATCAAATTAGCATATATAAGAAACAATGCAAAATGTTTCAATAGCACATTAAAATTTTTCCCTATGAAAATAAATACTATCTGATAAAGATTTTTAAATGCAGAATTTTAAAAATTTATAATGTGCCTTCTAGAAAAGCTTTCTAAAAATTACTTCTGGATTTGAGTTTTACATACCTGCACGCCCACTCTCTTGGTAGTAATTTTCCATGGATTTACTCATTGAATGATGAATAACAAATCTCACATCTGGTTTATCAATTCCCATACCAAATGCAACTGTTGCCACTACTACCTAAAATGTTTTAATACCTTATTAGTTAATTAATTCAAATATAAATAGTTTAAAAGGTAAATAGGCTTAAAGATATACACTTAACCTGAAGTTCATTGGCTGACCACCTTGTGTGAACCTTGGTTTTATCTTCTGGTTCCATATTGGCATGATAAGTCCCAGCATGAATTCCCAACTTCTGTAAGCTAATAGTAACTTGTTCAGAGTCTTTCTGAGAAAAACAATATATGATTCCTGTAGTGAGATATAACAGGGTGTTAGAAATATATACAGTACATTCCAAGACACTGATTGATACAATATTTCATAGCCCTTTGGAAAAACACCAGTGCATAACCCCATTACCTTATACACAGCAGACACTCAGCTAAATATGTGCCACTGCTAATTAACACTGTCACTGGAGCCATTCTAAAGCAATTAAGTGTGAAAAAACAAATCAGTTCTATGAGTCATAAAATGTGACATGAGCAAATGTCACACCCAGTTTCTCAGATCACCAAGTGAATTAATTGTATTGCATTTTCAAGTATCTTCTGGCATGCTACTATTTTAGGTACAATTATCACTGTAATTGGTTATTTGTATATCTTTCAGTTCCCAAAGTTAGTTTGCTTTTATATTACCTGATTTCCCTTTGTATCTCCCATTAATGAGCTTTACAATATCCTCAATAAAATCTTCCGTATTTGAAGGCTTTTGTCGAACCTGTAAGAGAACAATCTTACTAAAAAGTACATGTGACCATCCAGGCAGCCACTAACTGGCAGCTCTGTGGAGCAGTTTTTTTTCATGAGGACAGTCCTTCTGGGCCACTCTTGCACTTGCCTCATGAGCCCAACCCATCTGACTCATCCTTGCCAAGTCCCAGACTCTCCTCTTAATTACTTTTTAATTTGCCAGACATAATGAGGCATACAAACCCTCAATAACTTATCAATCTAGAGTCTTTCATTTTCTGATGCTACTTTTATAAAGATATAAAAAACACATAAATAGCTAGTCTATGAAACTCAGAAGATTAAGTCTATTCTTAAAAGAATTTAGAAAGAAAGAACAGCTATTAAGTCAACTGATTTTTTCAACTGAGTATATTAAAATCTAAGACACTGGCACATGACACTACTTTAATGATCTATTCATGTTTCTATTATTTAGTCATTTCAGCAGAGGTATCAGTGGAGTCCTTGGTATAATTCCACCTCTTTTCTCTCCATGTTTGCACAAGAATGAGCACAAATTTAACAAAGGTATGTGACTTGTGTCTATGTTTTATAAAACATGACATTTTTGTATAATAAGGTAATAAGGGATTATAAAGCACAAGAGATCAATGTTAAAAACTTATGTAAAACCCTGTTTTGATCTTTTTATAATGAGCCTTTTTATCTCTGTGCAAAAAATATATATACAAGTATACGATGTACATTTTAGTTCTTAATTTATTGTGGTTTCTAATATGACCAACGTACCAATTGCTTTAAGATGTACCATGTAAATACAAACATATCCTACCAGAAAAAAATTAAAAACATATAGATAAATAGCGTGAAAATATATAACCTCTCTGCTATGATTCCTCACAAAAGTAACAAATTGACATTATGGTTACATACCTCATAATAAAGATTAGGACGATTAAAAGAAGCTGTAAAAGTAAAACACTTTTCAACACATAAAATTTTCTGAGCATCCTTTAGAACATGGTTCGTTGCAGTTGCAGTCAGCCCGATTAGAGACGTGTTAGGGAACTGGCGCTTCAGGATACCCAGGGCTTTGTAATCTGAAAAAGACAAAGTGGGCCTCTGGCTATTCTCAAAGGATTAAAGGAAGTTACACTCTTAATGTTATGCAGATAATCAGTAACCCCTATAGTTTCATCTCTGCAGCTATCTTTTTTTTTGGGGGGTACTGGGGATCCAACTCATGACCCAACGCTTGCCAGCCAGGCGCTTATGCCGCTGAGCTAAACCCCTGGCCCTCCGCAGCTTAACAGTAAATTTGCAGCTGCCAGCTACTCTTTGTGAATAGGTAGGCTTTATCACATTTTACTTCAGAAACATTCTTCTTGGCCACAGGTACAACTTCCTGTTGAGAAGAGGCAATATTAAACATGTCATCAGGCTACACATTGGTCTCCATCTGCTGAACCGTAGATTCAAGAGATAGAGGGGCAGGAGCTGGGAATTTAGCTCAGCGGCATAAGCGCCTGCCTTGCAAGCAAGCAGTTGTGAGTTCGATCCCTGGTACCGATAAAAACGAAAAGACAAAAAAAAGAGATAGAGGGGCTGGTCATAGCACTGGAAGCTCTTAAAACTGATAAAAGAAGCCATCAGCCAAAACCCTTCTGCTGCCTACTATCATGCAAGAGTGACAAGCTCAGAGCAGAAGAGGTTTAGAGAGAGCACTGTTTTTCATAGAAACTACTGCAGGGAAACCATCCTGGACTCATACTGTCATACATATCTAAATCACTACTGAGGTGGTCCTTTGTGTCTCCTCAGTATTTAAGCTATCTGGAGAAAAATGAAAAAGAAATGCAGAAATAGCTAAATGCTAAAGTACAGGGTAAGTATAAAAACACGGAAAAGAAAGCAATTACGTGGGAATTTGTGAAGATTTCAAGAGGTAATACTTGAGTTGCATCTTAAAGTTCACTAAACAGGAAAGAAGGAGGACATTAGGCAGAAAATGCAGTGTACAACCTACAGATACACTGGCATGAAATCGCTTAGCACATTCACACAACAGCAAGCAGTGCACCGGGGGCTTTTAAACCATAGGATGCTATGTTAGATAAATCTGCCATCCAATCCATTCAGTTGGGAATTCTATTTCCCAGAATTCCTTCTGTGCCTATTCCTAAGCTACAGTGACCCAACAGAGAAATGTGTGCAAGACTTAGGAAGCAAGATAAGCTAGCTGCCATTACTCCTTGAAGATCTTTCTAGGCAAACAGGATCGTAGATAGAAGCAGAAATGCCCAGCCAGTTCCAGCTCAACCTAGCTCTTTCCCACTCACTAGGATTTTCCTCCCAACTGCTGTCTTCAAAATCAGTGGCAATTCCAGCAGATGCTTAGCAATAGGCCAATAGCAGGGAGAGTTACTTAGCTCAATCGCTAACAGAGATTTCCACAAAATTGCCTTTTGTGGTCTCCACTGGCACGGATATTACACTTGCAGATTCCTCTACAAGTATGGTTTACTCTCCTTCATCACAGCAGGATTAGTCAGTGACTTCTCTCTAATCCTTCAGACTTCTCCAGTTCCTCTTGCAATTCTGAAAGTCTACTTTCTGAAACAAATCTCTGTGATGATTAATCTTGATGGTCAACCTGACTGGCTTGAGAGACATCTACTGGCTTAGTAAAGCACACTTTTGGGTATCTCGGGAAGCGAGTGGCTCATGGGGGTATTGTCTTGAGGAGCATGATCCCTGACCCTTTCCCCTCTGGGCTCTTTCTCTGTTCTTCTGTTTGCCAGGTGCCATAAGTTGAGTAGCTTTCCTGTGCCACGTTTTTGACTTGGAGCTAGCTGACCATGGACTGAAATCCCCAAAAGTGTTAGCCAAAATAAACTACTTCTTCTTTAACTTGTTTATGGTAGGTGTTATATCATAACAGTAAAAAAGCTGAATAATACAGACTTTTATCCTGTAGCATTCCTGGCAACACTGTTTCCCTGAACCCTGATACTGTCAAAAAGAAAGCAAATATAAGTAAAACAATGTACAACATAGTTATTGATTCTAAGTTAAGACTTACAAGATGAAAAGCTATCACACAATTTTCAAGTTAGACAAAGGACATAAACAGAGTCATGTTTTAGAGATCAACCTTTGGAGACAATGCAAAGGTGAGACTACAACAGACTAAAGACTGGACAGAGGGAAATCAGTTAAAAATGGCAGAGAAAATAATAGCGAATAAGAAATAAATCAGGATTCTAGGGACAAATCAGAAAGAAAAAACTAAAAAGAAATACATGAATTAGAACCTCATGGGTCCTAGTGACTATTAGGACATGGAGGTAGCAGGGTAAGTGTACAAAGAAGAGGAAATGAGTTCTATGTGAGTCAACTCATCAGTAAATAAATTTAGCCAAGTACCTCTCTAGGCATAGGAGATCAAGGAAACAATAAAAACAGTAACCCACAAAACAGTCTATTACCAGAGTGATTACTGCTCATAGTATGAACCCCCATGAGAGAGGAAAGAATAGGAAATTAGGTATACCATAGAAGCAAATCACATATTGCCTAATAGGGCCTAGTTAAGAACTTTGAATTTTATTTTAAGTATGCAGACAAGTTGCTGGGTAGTTTAGGTAGCCTGCTTACAATATAAGGAAGGAGAAGAGACTTGCTCTGCCTGCCTTTCTGCTCTTATCTGTTATCTTCTGTCACCTTGCAGTGTTGGCCCTATGCCACGCCACCCTGCCTTCAAGCCAGCTGATTATGGACTAAAACCTCCACAAACCGTGAGCTAAATTTCCTTAATTTTTGGTGTCAGATATTCTGTCTCAGCAACAAGATACTTAGTGACAGGTGAGACAAGCCAAAGATGACATGTCACCTCTTCAGTTACTTTTATTAGCTCCAACCCTACCCTTTTGTACTCTGCATGTGACATATCAGCTTTGCTGGATGGCCCAGCCAGACACCCTACTAGGTTATTTACTTGCTCAGGGTTCCACAGATGTCACCACAGCAAGGCTTTTTTAGCCTAAAGCAGCACCATCTGGCTTCAGTAGCAGCTGAACACAGCTAGAAGCATTTCTAGCCTTTGAAAATGCACTTTTATCCTGGGTCCAGTGGAACTCGGCCTCCACAAGTGACTAGTGACCAAGGAGTTTTGCCTCATCAGGCATCTGAGTGCCAGTTCCCCGAGACATCTTCTCTACATTTCCAATTCTGATAACCTTTTATGGTCAGCCTTTTCTTCCTATTCCTCTAACTTACAGATTACAGCTGCTTGTTCCATTGTGTACTTCTACAATATCTTTGAGCTTTTTACATAATAATTTATCTACCTAATCAGTTTTTAAATTTTTCCCCTCTGTATTGGAAGACTGAACCTAGACTCTAGCATTAAGCTAAATCCTCAGCCTTTTTTTTCTTTTTCTTTCTTTTTTTTTTTTTTTGTTTTTGTTTTTGTTTTTGTTTTTGTTTTTGAGAAAAGCTCTAAGTTACAAAGACTGACCTCAAACTTGCAGTCCTCCTGCCTCAGCCCCCCAAGTAGTTGGGATGGTAGGCATGAGCTACTATAACCAGCCAACAATTCTATACAAACTTATCTGTGTTCAAATAATAAAATGGTTTCTGTCTCCTGACTTGGTCCTCAATGATACAGGGAGTCAGTCCTTCCTACCCACAGGTTCCCTATGAACTGCTCATCAAAACTGATCTGGAAAAGGTGCATCTGTACCAAACATGCCAAGTTCTTTTCTTGTCATTACACCCTAAACAATATAATACAACTACTTACACAGGGTTTGTATTGTATTACGTATTATAAGTAATCCACAGATGATCTAAAGTATATGGGAGGATGCTTACAGTGCTTATATAAATACTGTGCTGCATCATGGCTCACATTTTCAGGCCAGGGTCACCGACTCCAAGCAGAGGAAAGCTGTTCGTATAATGGCAGCCAGGAAACTGAGAGTGAAGGGAGGAGCCTGGAAGGAAGGGGGACATGCCCCAGGGACCCTTCTCTCCTGACCAGACCACGCCTTCTAATCCCTAGTCAGCTCTCTTGACCCATTATCCAGTTGCTTCACAAAGCCCCGCTATGAGAACATGGGGCTTTTGTCGGGCATTCTTGATCTAAACCACTGTAAGACTTGAGCACCCATGGATTTTGGAATATGCTAGGATCCTAAAATCAATCCCATAGAAACTGAGAAACCATGTGAACTGATAAAGTTTTGGCTTAAGTGAATGTGTGCTTGAATGATTTTTCTAAGGTAGAAATGAAAAAAGAAATTGCTTGAGAGGAAGAGGGAAAAAACCAAATGCCTTGAGAGAGGGGGAAAAAATCAGAAGTTCTTAGTAAGGATGTTTAGTAGACCAATGGGGCAAATACTGATTCCCAATTGCAGTATAAAAGGAGAAAGAGGACACCTTTAGGGAGGAATTTAGCTTTGGTGATCTAATTTATATACACATTCCCAAAAGAAGTAGGAATATAAATTTGAATTTTAGAAGATATTTGGATATGGGAATAGTTTATTACTGCATGTCAGCAGATCACGGAGATATTGTAAGCCATGGTAAAACAGAAGCCAGGGTAATAATCATAGGTGTTCGGATCACTCAGGTTGAAAATATAAGGGTCAAAAGCCAGAAATCTCTAATGGCCACCAGGTAAGAAAACTGTAGTTATAATAGTGGGGTTCTTAGTAAAAATGAGACCATACATCCAGCCTTTAGCATTTAAATCAGAGTTTTTTTTAAAAAAAATAACTCAAAAGCTAGAATCTCAAATAATTCAAAAGCTAGAAAATCCAGTTTTGAGGCCACAAGTTCACTATCCTTAAAGAAACATAAGGAAAGGCAGAGACTGAAGTCAGAATCCTACAGAACACTTAACATTTTAGGAAAGAAAAGAAGAACAAAGAAGATGAAAATGGAAAGAAAGAAACTCAGGGGCTGAGGGTTTAGCTCAGGGGCACAAATACCTGCCTGGCAAGTGCGAGGTCATGAGTTTGATCCCGGGTACCAAAAGAAAGAAAAAAAAGAAAGAACTCAGTAGTGTTAGGTGACCCTGAGGGAGGAGGAGAAAGCAGCAGGGCAGAGGTGAACGGTGTGAAACGCTGCTGATAAGTGGAAAGATAAAAAGAGGGTCAGGTCAGTGGGTAAAAGCCATGGGAGTGAGGTCACTGGTGTCCTCTTTCAGTGATGGTGGCAGAAGCAACTCAATGATTTCAGAAAGGAGTTAAGGGGGAGGTGCAAGCTGACAGGTTTGTTGATGACGGGAAGAACAGAGCAACACTGTGCAGGGGGCGGAAAGGTAGGACAGAAGCTGTCTGATTGAGGAACTTGCAGAATAAGATCTCGCAGAAGGCAGGGAAGGATGAGCTGGGAGCAGTCAGTTACCCTTTTAAAGTAACGATCTTTGGTTTAACCCAAACATAGAAAAAGAAAAAAGCAATGCTAGTGGTCAGGAGGGCAAAGTTCTTGATGGCACCAATTTTCTGGGAAGCAGCAGGCTTCTAAAAGGTCTGAGTTAGGAACAGAAGAGAAAGTTAATGACATGCAAGACTTGTTGGAAGGAAAGTACTGAGGAGTGTTAAATGGAGAAAGATAAAAAGATGAGAATGGTGAAAAACTGAGTTGATGTGGAAATGAGTACAGTTATGTAACTTAGTCTGCCAGTGTTTAGCAGCCAAATGGCAGGAATGGAGACAGCAGAAGTCTGAATGAGCCGGCACCTCGGTCAGCCACAGGGCCAGAGCAGGGTGGTGTAACAGCCCAGCGATCCAGGGCGGATATGGCAGAGGAGTCGGGGTGGGGAACACAGATCACGCTGCAGAGATGGGAGCCAGGGCCAGAAAAACAGGGACCAGCGGAGGGAGGCCGGAGGTCACTATGAATGTGAAAAGCTTCACACAGAAAAGAGGGTGCCACCAGGGAGTATAATTTTTGAACTGAAGATTTTCTGGATAGGATAATTCTGAGCAACTTCAGGCTCTGATTACAGCATTAGGTTGGTAGGGTGAAGAAAAGGGTCACTAAAATATCTCACAGAACTCTGACAATGAAGAGTCAGGATACTAAAGATACCCAAAATGATTTAAAAAAAATAAATAAATAAATGCCAACTCCTCAACAAATTTGACAAAATACTGAGTCGCAATAAATGGCAGAGATATATAACAATGACTAGTAAACATGCGGTTCAGAAGGAGAAAGACAATTACAATAAATGTTGCAGTAAGAAATGAGGAGACTAAAGATTCTGCCTCTTGGTCCCTCTCGCATTATGACAGAGGAAATAAGTAACCCCACGTGAGAGGATAGTTTTACGGGAGCAGAGAGTTCCACTGCACGGAGGAGCAGCACGGTTCCCAACACCAAGGTGCTTTCCGGACTGCGCACGTACCAGGTCGGAAATCGTGACCCCACTGGCTGCAGCAGTGCACCTCATCCACGGCAATGCGGGTGAATCTCCGTGCTTCATAGGCTTTCTCGAGTCTTGACATAAACATTTTGCTTTTGGCAATTTTCTCTGGAGTCACGTAAATTAGCTTTAACGTGGAGTTTTTATTCACCATTTCAGCATGAACCCATTTCACATGCTCCTGTTAAAAGTCAAAACAGACACACTTAGAGCAGAATAAAGCTAGAAGACTACAATACTAAGTGGACAATGAGGACATTCATTACCCAGAAGCGTCAGCTTGGGGCTTATAAAAGCCGTAGGATTTTATCCAGTATTATCCATTAAATTAAGGTTTTCTAATATAAAACATGTATTATATACATAATAAAAAACTCACAAAGTAAAAGTTACTAGGATGCTCTGATATTATTTTATATAACATTTAGACCAACAGTTATTATTTTTTTTTCCTTCTGATTTAATGGGATCCAAAAAGCATAGTAAAACCAATAACGAACGGGATAGGAAAAGGCAGTGAAAACTTCTTTCATTGTCCCATAGAATAAGCACTCTGTTAACTCCTACAGATATTCTGGGATACATATGTTCATTTTTAATCTTTCCAACTTTCAAGCACTAGTGACAGCGCATGAACTTGTAGTTTTTTGTAACTTTCTAAACTGCTTTCTTCTTCTTCTTCATTTTGAAGGAAGTACGGTATGAAAAGGCAATTTCCCCCCAGATTCATTCCACTGAATCAAAGAGCAGAATAGGAATAGAAGGCAGTCAGGAAGAAAATGACACAAGAGTTTAAATTCAGCGAAAACATACATGAAAACGAAGGAACCACAGATTTTAAGAGCTATTACTGATTCCAGATCTGAGTAAGAAATGCATAAAGTTCAGTGGGTTATATCAAAGAAGACAAGAAGTCAAAAGCTACCAGGTCAAAAAAAAAGATTCAGGGACCAGGGATATAGCTCAGCGGCACTGCACTTGCCTAGCAAGTACAAGGTCCTGAGTTTGAGACCTCTGTACTCTCCCCCCAAAAAAAGAAAAAGAAAAAAGAAAAAAAAAAAAGATTCAGAAGCCAATTTATAAAGCTTCTCATTACCCAAAGATGAAACTATCTCAACATTAAAGATATGGATTAAAATGCATCAAATGTTTATAAATTTTTAAATTACAGTGATTCCTAGGGGGAAAAGAACTCAAAGAATGTATTGAGCAGCGGTATACAATGCAAGTAAAAAAAGGAAAACAGCATTTTCATCTTGCAAAGAGTGAGAAAAAAGTTCTTCTTTATAGAATAACTGTAGTTAATATATGAACCCAGGAGGAGTAAATTAAATACCACCATCACACATCTTCTTAATGAAACCATGGCTCCAAGGTTGGCATTATCAGTGGCTGAGAAAACCACTAGGCCGACACCACCTGAACACCCTGATCAAGCTTACTGTCACGCGGGGTAACCAGGTGTTATGTACCTACTGAGTGATGCTGCAGAAGACTGCATAGTAAATAAAAAAAATAATAATAAAAAAAAAAAAAAGAGTTTACATACAAAGACATTATCACAAGAATGCCATCAAGAAAATCCAAGCTAGGCATGGTGATACACTCCTGTAATCCCAGCACTTGGGAGGCTGAAGCAGGAAGATCATTGTGAGTTAGAGATCAGTGTGAGCTACAAAGTGAGCTCAAGGCCAATCTGAACTGCATAGTGAGATCCTGTCTCCAAAAGACAAAAAAGAAAGGAAATCCAGAATATAGAAAGCTATAAGAAAGTTTACCAGGTTTCTTCAACAATTTACATTAGGAAAATAAAAAGATCAGGGGAATCTACAACTGTATTAACAACATACAATATAATGGAAAAATAGTACCCTAACCTTAATTCTAAAATAACAATCATAGTGATGATGAGACAGAGAAACTGTTCTAATTTTAAATTTAATTAGTGTTTCAATTTTAAGGAACTGACATTGTTTTATATATAACAATAGGAGCACTGTATTCATCCTTTTTTTAAGTTAGAGATACATACTGAAGAATTTACAATTGAAATATAAGACATAGATTTGTTCCGGATAAATAAAGGAAGAGAAACAGAGCAGAGAAAAGTGCAGAATATAGATAAAAAAAGATTGGTCTTATATTGATAAATGTTAATGGGAATAATGGATACCTGGTTTTTATACTATTCTCCCTACTTGTGTACACTATTGAAGGTTTCAATAACATGTTCTTTGAAAAAGAATAGCAGAGAAATGGAGCGCAGCCCTGCCCTTCCTCAGTGACACAGGGTCTCACTGTGTAGTTCAGGCTTGCCCAGAACTCACTGTGTAACCCGGCTGGTCTTGAACACGTGTCAACCCTCCTGCCTTGATATCTTAAGTGCGAGGTTATAGACATGCACCACCACACCCTGCTTTCCTTTCTATTTTAAAACACAATACAAAATATATAGGCAAATATTTCCAGTATAGTGCCAGACAATAAATACTATGTTTTGCGGGCTATAAGGTCTCCGTCACTAATCAGCTCTGCTATTATGGTATGAAAGCGGCCACAGACAATAGTCAATGAATGAGCAGCACTCGGTCTCAATATTATGTGATCTATAAACACTGAAAAATGAATTTCGCATAACTTCACATTTCAGAAAATACTACTTTTTTTTGGTACCAGGGATCAAACTCACGATCTCATGCTTGTCAGGCAGGCGCCATGCCACTGAACTGAAGCCCCTGTTAAAATATTACAGTTTTAAAAATTATTTTTACCCATTTAAAAACTCATTCTTAGCTCATGGGCCATACAAAAATAGGCAGTGGGCTAAAACTGGCCCATGAACAGTAGTTTGTAACTCCTGATACAAAAACGTAACAGTTTATAATTTTAGAGGCACTTCAGCTGTAGCTATGACTCCTGGTTCAGTGAATCATGCTTAATTTCTTTTCTTTCCTTTCTTTGTCCCTCGCTTTCTCTCGTTTTTTTGTTTTGTTTTGTTTTATTTTGTTTTTCAATTTTATTTAAGGAGAAAAAGAGAAAAAGGGTACAAGTGACACAGAATTTCAGAAAAAATAAAGAGTAGGAAATCACTAGTTAATAGATTACATATTGTCATCTTAGAAATAGTTGTTCAAGTTACAAAATTAAAGTATGTAAAGTGGACAAACAGTGAGACTGCAAACAGTTCTGTTCAATGATCCAGCAAAACTCAGTAATATGGTTAGCTATCTTATACACTTAAATACACATGCAGTTATACCATTTAGAGCACTTTCTTCTCCTCTCTTTTGTACAATGACAATTACACATTTTGGGTTTTATTACTCCCACAGTTCTTATTACTTTTTTTGAAGAGAGTAAAACCAAATGTGACATAACAGAACAGAGTCAGTTAAATCAAAAGGATGGACATAATACATAATATAAAAACAAAATACAAGGTGATCAACAATGGTTACCATTAATGCCTCTTGCTACCTTAAAAAGAATTGCCTATATCATCAGTTATAATAAAATTGAACAAAACAGTAAAGAATAAAACCAAAACATTAGAGATATTACAGGACTTTAAAAGAAGATAATAGTCAATCAGAATGAATCTTACTGTCTTCACAGTTGTAGCCTATACTTTCGAACTTGGTACTATCAAACAAAGCAGAATAGGGGAAAATGAGTCAAAACAAGATGGTGAGAGCAATACAGGATTTCAAATCAAGTTAATAGGAAATCAAAGTGGGTTACCATAATATATACTGCTATTTTTATTTTTTCCCTTAATTAAAAAGATAAAAATAAAAAAGTAAATAATAAAAAAGGAGATTGAGATAAAAGAGGGCATAACAACAAAACAGCACAGGTCAGAACATAACCATTTATGCAAAATAGTGCTTCATCACAAGATAATCCCAACATCAGAGTCGTTACCATAGTGTCTCTTTCCTTGAAATCTTTGAGTATAACTTTGTATACTGTAGCATCAAACATCAAGACAATCAGGGTATTTAGAATCAACTATCAGAAAATGAACAATGGTTTCTGTATAATCTCCTTGTCTATAAAAGTTTTTGTTTATATTATCACATATAATAAAATCCAATAAGATACAACATGTTAAGACCGATGGAGACAGAAGAACAAAAGCTTGATGGGACTTCAAAACAAGATGATATTAAATCAGCACTAGCTATTATGATGTCTTGTTTTCTCCAAAATACTTGTTCCTATCATCTAACCTTCTCTGCCTCATTTCTGTTGAGCTCTTTTTCTGTCATTAGTTGTCAGTCGTCCTCTTCATTTCGCTTTCTGCTCCATTCATTGTGGCCTCTCTGCCACTGTTTCTGGAATCTTGCTATTTTTTTTTTTAGAATATCCTGCACTATTCTCTGTACAGTTGAACTGGTGGTTGCAAATCCCTCTAGTTCCTCTTTATTCTGGGAGCACCTTGTTTTTCCATCAATTTCTAGGGACAGTTGTGCAGGATACATCAATCTTGGCTGGAGGTTATTATCTTTCAAAGCTTGAATTATTTCCCCCCACACTCTTTGTGATTTGATGGTTTGTGCCGAGAAGTCTGCTGTAATTCTGATGGGTGTTCCCTTGTAAGTGATCTGTTTCTTGTCTCTGACGGCTTTTAATATTCTGTTCTTATACTGGATTTCTGGAATTTCGATTATTATATGCCTGGGTGTAGCTCTGTTTGGGTTGTAGGTGGCTGGGGTCCTGTATGCCTCAAACATCTGAGTATCTTTACCTTTTGCTAAGTTAGGGAAATTCTCCTGGATTATTTCTGTAAATAGCTTTTGTAGTTCATTTGTTGTGTCCCTACTTCTTCTTTTATGTTCTTAATTCTTAAGTTACAGATCCTCTTATCATCTTCTAGGCTTTGTATTATTGCTGTTTGTTTCTTTGTTATTTTTAAGAAGTTTTTCATTTCATGCTCCCACATTACAAATCTGTCCTCCAGTTCAGATAATCTATCCTTAGTTTCTTTTAAGCTGTTATGCCAGCTTTCAATAGAGTTTTTAGTTTCCGGGTAATCTCTTTGAACCTGCTTCACATAATTCTATGTTTTCTCTATCTTCTCCATCAAACAGTTCTCCCCTTTTTTTCTGTTCTTCCATTCCACCATTTGTTTTTCCTTGGGCAGTGCTTAGCATTTTTCTAACTATTCGACTTATATCTTGCTTTATTTCATTAAATACTTCACATTTGAACTCGTCTATGAGGCTCTGGAGATATCACTTTATGTCTATTGGTGCCGTGTCTGATTTGCATGTTTTCTGTCCTCATTGCCTTTCCTGGATCAGTGTTCTCAAGATTGGGGACTGAGGACCCTTTCTTGTTGCTCCCTCTCCCCATACTTTTTGTTCTTTCCATACAAGCATATATAGGAGGCCCAGTTGTTTTTTTGTTTTGTTTTGTTTTGTTTTTGTCAGTTACAGTTTGTTTGAATGCACTGGCTAGGTGTTCCTGCCTACTGCAGTATACTAGGGAGACACAGACCTGGGCAGCCTCTGCTGGGCCCGCCCCTCCAGGTCAACCTACTGAAGGTTTCACTGCTAGGGTGTACCGCCAGGCGCTGGAATCTGGTTTGGGCTAGCCTACTGGGTCTTAGTCAGCGGCATCACCCAGGTCAGGCACTCCCCACCAATCCCACTTCAGAGGAAATATGAAACTAAAGTCACTGCAATGTCCTGTTCCGACTAGTCTGCCCAGTCCCAGAATGTTCTCTGTTGGAGCCTGCTAGGCTATGGAAGAGTCCCCGTTCCTCTCACTCACCACAGGTCGATGCAGGACTCCCCACCAGTCCAGCTCTCAACTCTGTTCACTGATTCTGCTCTCAGAGGTTTCGCGTCTCTCTCCCTGCTGTGCCAATTCAGATGCAGCTGATTGAGATGCAGCTGCGGTAGCAGGATATTCAAATCTCTTCCTGTTGTAGCATCAGGATTGCATTTCCAGTTGGTTTCTCTCAGCTTAGTTCGTTCTTGGGTCGGCAGGGTATAACTCCCCATGCTTAGGACTCCTCACACCACACCATTCCTGGATTCTAAGCTGGCAATCTCAGAGAGCCTCCATAGCTGCTGTTATCTGTCCACCATGTTCTCCCAGAAGTCTCTTGTTTTGTTTTTTGAGACAGGGTTTCACTCTGCAGTTCAGACTGGCCATGTGCTTACTGTGTAGCCCAGGTTGGCCACAAACTCACAGTGATCCTCCTGCCTCAGTCTCCTGAGTGCTGAGACTACAAATATGCACTACCATACTCAGCAAGAGTTTAAATTTTTTAAAAAGAAAACAAAGAATTCATACCTTAGAACTGGAAGCATTTAACATGGTAGCTGAAATTCCTAATTGTTTTAAAACCATTAATTGGTCTTCCATAAGAGAGATCAATGGGCAAATCACAAGTGTAAAACCTAAAAAAGAAAAAAATCTGCCTTAAACTTTATACCACCAACAGAATGAACTATGATTACTTTCTTTACTGTATTTTATAGGAATTATACATCACTTCAGGAAGTTTTAAATGTAGTTTTAACACTATACTACCTATTTCTTACCCTCCCTAAAAGAGAGACAGATATGGATAGATGGGCCGGCTATGATGGCACTTGCCTATGATGCCAGCACTCTGAACTGAGGCAGGAGGATCACTGTGAGTTTGAAGCTATCCTAGGCTACACAGTGAGTTCAAGGCCAGACTGAATTGCATAGATGTTATGGCTTATCTCTAGATTTCTCCTCAAAGGTTCAAGCACTCATATGTGGGGTTTTTCGGAGGTGACTGGATCTAGGATGTGTGAATTTGAATTAAAAATATGTGATAACTAAATTAGTCCACTGATTGGTTTAGCAGAGCTGTGGGTGTGGATAATGGGAAGTCTCACCCTGGATGTGAGTGGCACCAACTAATAACCTTATAACTTGGATGGATTCAAAGAAAAGGGATGCTCACTATTTCCTACCTGCCCTGCCATGGACTGTTTCACCTCTCATTCCCCATCCCCGTTACCTTGTCTTGGAGCCAGACAACAATGTACTGGAACCTCTACAAACTCTGAGCTAAAATACACCTTTTTTCTTTTAATTTGTGGATGCCAGATATTTTGTCCCAGCAATGAGGATGCAAATAAGACACAAGGTGAAGGTATACTAATAAACAAATATAAAGCTAAAATTATGTTTATTTTTATAAGACTGAAAAAGGATAGAAATCGATCCTATAAAAATAAACATAGATTTAAACATTTTAAGTGGTTAATTTGCTATCATTTTTAACAATCATTATTTGTAATCTTGATATATTAATATAAATTAGGTCAAATACTAATCGATTACATCAGGGACAAATTACCCCAAAGTTTTCCAAACAAAAACAACTGACTATATAATTAAGAATGTTAGCTGCATATGTATTATACTTTTTGTACCCTACTAATTTAGACTGAGTATGTAACCAAAGATAACAGTATGCCTCATCTCTTATAACTGACATTGTTTATAATAAGACATTTTAAATTGTAAAAATTATAATGGCTTCACTTTTATGTAACCTGACAAAAGGCAGGTATTTGAAAATATGTACACAAATTATGAATTTACCAGGGATTCTGACAGTAGGTTAATGACTCACCTATATTTTCACCTTCTCTCTCATTACTGACCTCTTATTAACTACAATTAACATGGTCAACTGTTTCTCACCTTAAAAAAAAAACCCTAGATTCATCCTATGGTGTGAATATTGGTATTCATCCTCTCAGTTCTTTGGCTGGACCCCAATGCTAGTATTAAAAGGTAAGGCCTCCGGAATATGATTAAGGCATGATGTTAGGCCCTTTAAGAATATGATTAATGCTCTTGTAAGAGGTAGAAAAAAAGCCCTTTCTGTGAAGATGCAGCACAAAGATGTCATCTCAAATTGCCCTTCACTAGACACACAATCTACTGGCCCTTGACCTTAGACTTCCCAGATGCCAAAACTATGAGCACTGAATTACTGTTGTTTATAAATTAGCCAGCCTAAGGTATTTTGCTAAAAAAAAAAAAAAAAAAAACTTTGAATAGCACTAATTTACAGCACTCTCTCATTCTTTTTAAAAAGTGCCCCATAATTACCAGCTCCACATCTCCAACTTTTACTCATTTCCAAACCACTGCTACTTGGTTAACATAAAAAATGAAATAATTCACTCTGATGGCTTTAATAGCCATCTTCACACCAACATCCTACAAGTTATCCTAGGTCTCTCATACTCAAGCTTAAGACCCAAACATCCTTCACTACCAAGACAGTTCCATCTGCATGTCTTAGAGGCATCATACATTTTAGTATGCTCCAAATTGAATTCATCATCTTCTCTTTATTTCTATTTCTAAATAAGTTCTTTCTCCTGTGTAATCTATTTCAGTAGGTAACCTCTATGAATACAGAGACAAATAATACAAAAATACACTTGACTTTTACATGTTAAGTTGGGAATTTGTTTGAAAAATAATTTTAAAATATTAGTAGAATCATTTCAACTTAAAATCAGCTCTTATTAATACATACCGTCAGAACACAATGCTGGCAACTGGTAACATAAACTCTTCCCACCTCCAGTAGGCATAACCAGAAATATCTCCTCTCCAGCCATTGTTACATTAATAGTTTCAAGCTGAAGTGGTCTGAACTTCTGCAGTTTGAAGACATTTTGCAGAACATCTTTCACTTTAGCAGACCATGGAAAATCTAGAGAGAAAACATACACTAAAAATCCTAGAACTATTAGGATTACAAGTGAGACACAAACATAACTGGATACTTTTATAGCATACAAAACTCAAGACACACATAATTAAAATGTTTAATAGTTACAAACCCTTACATTAAATTTTGGTAATTATAATTTTGAGGTTAGTGCAACTCACTAAGCTAAGCAAATTAAGTGATACATTAAGAAACAGTGCATATTGGGCTGGGGATATAGCTCAGCGGCACAAGTGCCTGCCTGGCAAACTCAAGGTCCTAAGTTTGATTACTGGTACAAAAAACAAACAAACAAAAAAAAGGAAATATTTGCCAGTTGAAAATTCATCCACATAGAAGAAAAAGATGTTCAATTGCATGTTTGAAGAACAATCTGGACATTGGCCAGGTAATTTCTAGTATCATAAAAAAATGAAATATCTGGAGTTTTTGGTATAAATATCTTGTTTTTAAAAGTCAACCATTGAAAAGAATCTCCAAAAAACCACCACAACTCCTTCTTGAGGTTATAGTATCGCTATAATACATGATAAATATAATGTTTCATTAAAGATTTTGAATTTATCAAGAATGGTTTGTTTACTATGGCACAAAATAAGCAAGACTTTGGCAAGGAGTGTGAATAATTACAGGCTGTTTTTTTTTTTTTCCTAGTTAAAACTTAGAAAATTTAGTTGAAGTAAGTATCTTTCTTTACAAGCACTAATCAATGTTGTTAAAATTACTTTTGGAAAAAATAAAGGGGCTGGGGATTGAGCTCAGCGGCATAAGCGCCTGCCTTGCAAGCAGGCAGTCGTGAGTTCGATCCTCGGTACCGATAAAAAGGAAAAAGACAAAATAAATAAATAAATAAAGCCCCAATAATAAATGCTCAAATTAAACATTACAGAATATGGGTAAGGAATGGGCTGACTCCAAGTTTTCCAGTTCAATGAAACAATGACAATTTCACCTCTAAGCCTAATAGAAAGCACTAACCCGTGCAGAATGACCTAAATTCTAGTTTTCAAAAAAAGAAAATACTAGCAGAGAAAAAAACCAAAAAGCTAACCTTCTTTATTCCAAGCAGCTGGTGAAGAATCACATTCTTTGCTGGCCCCAGCCTCTGAATTCTCTAAACACTGCTTTATTTTCTTTGTTAGGGCTGATTTTTTCTGAAGAAGCTCCTGCTGCCTTTCCGTAAGTTCTTGAATTTGAATGTCTACCGCATGTAGCTCATTTGTCACAGAATCCAGTTCCTCTGTTAGAGCTATAGGGCACAGAGAAGAATCTATGACTGCCCAGAGTTAATCACAGTTTTAAGTTTCCTATTGATTTCTTGATGTTCCTTGCCATCGAAAAAAAGTAGTTTAGCAGAGTGGTGAAGACCACATATTTTGGAGGTAAACCAGCTGGGCTCTGATCATGGATTCTCCTTTCACCTGCTAAGTGATCTCAGGCAAGATACTTACCTGCACCTCAGTTTCCTCTTTTATGACATGTAGCCAGTACCTAACTTTAATAACATTAGAAAAAACTAAGTATGATAACACATTGAAAGTTCTTGATAATGTGTTGGGTGTTTGGTTAAAAATTTAACAAATCCTAGTTACTACTATTATATCACAAAGAAGTAATCCAACAATCTCCTAAATCATCTAAAGAAAGTGACTGGACTGAAGCAAAATGAAATGAGCCTCCCAATTCCTTAGCTACCATTTCCATATTTATACTTTGCCCATTATGGTGTCAAGGTAAGGAGCTGCGAACTCTAAACAAGATGATGTAACAAGTAAATAACAATTGTGCCATCGGAATTGATATTACGACTGCATCAGAATTCACTTATAAAGAAGCCTCAATGTGTGATCCTAATCCACCCAAGTATTAAAGTCAAGATGAGATTATTTTTGACAATGGAAGCTAGAAAAATGATAGGCTAATGCTTTCTAATACAGTCACCTGTATCATGCCTCTTCTTAAAATGAAATTTTACAGCTGATTTAAAATAGGATGTGGTGGTGGCTTTGTGTTGTACCAACTGCCTGAATTTCCTGCCTGCATGATTCTGGGCTGAGTGACAGGAAAGGTGGACCTAAGGGAGCAGCCTCATTTACACTGGGACAACTAGGACACTGGCACACAGTCAAACGGCACTGCAGCTGACGCTCACTGTCAGAAACCTGTTCGGTCACCTTGCTGAAATGGGGCAGAAGCTAGTTCCTCCAGCCCCTGCTAAACCTTCTTGAGACAGCAAGCTGGCCCACAGTTTCTTGGCTTCTCTGAATCTTTAGTTAAGTTTGTTAGCAATTTTCTGTATCAAAGGTACCAGCTCTTCAACAGGATCCCACCATCCTGGAAATCAGAGCCCTGGGGAAGGGTTAACACACTGAGCCCAAATCCACAGAGGAACTGATGGGTTCCACTCTGTCTCCACTTGATCCAGCTTATCCTGTCAGTTCCAGCTCGTCCCACGGGGGAGCTCATCCTTACTCTGCCACTGTGTATGTCCATCTTCTCACTGCTGCCACTGCTGACCAGAGACAGCTGCCTAGCTGGCTCCATGATCACATACAAACTAATCCCCATGCTAAACCTCTTATAATACACCTAATGGGTCATCTGACCTAATTAAACTCTAATTTAATAGGGTCTCCGAACTGCTTTTGAAGTGTCAACTGACTCTCTGATCTGATTAAATTTAGGAGCATTGAAGACCCTTTTTCCACAGAGAAAGGAATATAGCTGTTATATGGTATGCAGTAGGAAAAAGTACCTAAATAATAGTCTTACAGATATCAGTAAATTAAGTTACGTAGTGAAGGCAAGGCTTTGGGTGATCAAGTGTTTGCTGTTATAAAACGTTTTGGTAAGAATTATGGACTTGGCTGATTGCTTCTGTGTATGCAGAGAACTTGAGGGGGAAATGCACACTCTGTACTAAAGGACCTTAAAGTGTCTATAGTTCTCCAGAAAGAAACTTTTATTCCCTAAAACTACAAGCTAAGATTCTGAAAATCAATCCTAAATCTAAATTCTGAGGTGGCTGAATTACAATGCAAATTGAATTCCCAACCTCGCAGGGAATTTCATGCTACACAAGAGGCCTGGGAAGGACTATAATAGAAATTGGGATGGAAACATAAGGGCACACTCCAAAGAAGCAGGGGACTGGAACCACTAAACTCTAGCAAGTCTCTTTTCCTGTCTCCGCCATCTGAAACAATCTCTGCTGGCCTGAAAGTCCTGTGATAGCCCTTACTGTATGATAAGGGATTGCTAATCCTAAGGATTGCCCTGAGTCTAGTAAATAATCTGATGTGAGTCATGGTAACAGTCACAGTCCTTCCACCAACTTTCAAAGCTGAGTTAATTAATAGAACCAAAAATACATGAATAAAGTTGTCATGGTTTATGTCTGTGGCCCCCAGACCTCATGAGTTTGCACTGTGCATTTGTGATGCTTCATTGTCTAGTGCTTGGATTGATGGTGCCAGTGCTCCACCCACATAGGGGTGGAGCCACGATGTGATGTAATGGCAGGAGGAAGGTGTGTCTTGCTCTTTGCTGGTTCCTGCTTGTTGTTTGCAGCCACCATGAACTGCGGCCCAGCCATGCCCGCCTGCCTTGGAGCCAACTAAGTGTGGACTGAAACCTCCAAAAACTGTGAGAAATAAACCTTTCCTTTTCTAACTTTGGGCTTCAGGTATTTTGTCTCAGCAACTAGTAAAAAGTAACTAAGACAAAAGTCAATATTAGATCCCCTTAAGAAAAACTCTACAGCAAAAATGTATGTTGTAAATCTTTCTATTAGTCTTCTAAACAGAAATATGTCAGGGTAACTATGCTTAGCGGACAGAAAAATAACTTTTCTGAAATTACTAAACATTAGTACTGCATTGATGCTAATTCTAGAAGAACCAAAATGTCCTTGTGGTCCAGCAGTCAGACTACGGATTGGACTTTACGGAAATTGGCAATTTTGGTTCAGATCTATCATGCAATAGGCTCAGTGGGTCTATCTCACTGTGTGATTACTGTCCCAGTTCCATAAGTAAAATTAGAAAATATACATACCAAGTGCCGGAACCCATTTACTGATCCCCTGGACCATACGTGTGGACTACAATGAGTAGAAACGGTCAAGTAGAAACCAGCAAAACTGCCATTGTCTACCAACACATTACCCCAAACCAATACTGCATTTCAGTAGGGTTTACAGAGATTTGTTCACATCGAAAACTTAAAAGAAATTGAGTTAATGATTCCTAACACATCTCCATTCAACTTGTGTTGCCTGTGCAGAAGACAAATGGATCCTATAGGCTCACAATGGATTATGGAAAAATTAACAAGGTTGTGGCTCCAAAAGCAACTGCTGTTCCCATATGTGATTTCATTGATGGAACACAACACATCCCCTGACGTGTGACAGCTATTCATCTGCTGAATGCTTTATTCTCTGTACCTTTATGACTGTTATAAAAACCACCGGAGAAAGTTTGCGGGGCCAGTAATACACCTTCACAATCCCATCTCAGAGCTTCCTCAACACTTCAGTCACATTCTGATCTGCAGGGTTCAGAACTGTCTCTTCATTCCACTAGACATTACCCTGGCTCATTACATTAGTGATGTCAGGTTTATCTGACTTCTGAGCAGGAAGCAGCAGAAGCAGCTACTGCACCAAACCTATTAGGATAGAAACACGGCAGAGATGGAAAATAAGTTCCATAAACACTCAGAAGCTTGCTACTCAGGTGAAATGTCTAGGAGTCAAATGGGGTGGGGCATGAGAGGCAACCCTTTAAGGTGAAGGACTAGTTTCCACATCTGGACTTTCTTATTAGTAAGAAAGGAATTCGAAACCCAGTAAGATTTGAGAAGCAACAGGTGCTTCATTTGCCAAGCAACCCAAAAGCTTGCCCATTTTGAGTAGGGCCCTGAAATAGAGGCACTGCTGCTCAACATAAGATCAGAAGGCCAGCAGACCCAATGGTAACTTAAAAGTCTGCAGCGGGTAAGGATGTTATATGACATCTCTGGTACAGTTGAGTCACAACAGAATTAGGATTTGGGGGCAAAACTATGCTACCCTATGCAGATAACAATTATCCTCCTTTTAGAGACAACTGGCTTGCTCCCAAGTCTTACCAAAGACTAAGTTACCATGTGACTTGTGCTGCCTATTGTGAAGAATATATCATCTGGTCCTTCAATTTATAAAGCAATCATTCATTTCTTAAAATACACCTATTTAATGCCTGAGTTTTTTTTTCTGAGTTATTTTTTAATCAAATCTCGTTGATAAAGCTTAAAGGCTTCTTTAGCAAAATAACATGCACAATTTTTAAAATGACCATACTGAATAGTCTGTGTTCAGTAGCACCTCTTAAAATCTCATTTTTGTTATATAAAGATTACTTGGGTCACATTTAATATACATTGTTACCATTTATTACTTCAGCCTGTGACAAAAATAAGTCATTAAATAAAGCTAACATATATCATTATGTATTCATATTTATATTTGAATAAATAATAACATTGTGTGTGTTGTTCATAATGGGCCCCATATTTAAGAGTAACATTTTCTTTGTAAGTCTGAAAAGAACCTTTTCATTTTACTGGTAGAAGTGGTATATAGCAATGGTCATATTCATTATAGCATACCAAAGTCTGAAAATTTGTCATAGTATAAATTCGTTACCCTGCTAACCAGCTGGAACCTAACAGATAGCAAGATCTTGTTTTATAAGTATGTTACAATCTCTTGAAGTTTATAGAAACAGACAGACAAAAATACACCAAAATACTAAAGAGTGTTTGCATGGCAAGGTAAAACAATGCATGTTTCATACTTTAGAAAAGACTTCAAGTAACTTCATTTCCAGGAACTTACCTTAAGGGAATACACAGTATGACTGACAAACACAACCAATGTTGAAATTTTTAAAAATTTATTACAGTAAGACACACACCACCATTAATCCTCCTCAAAATATTTCCAGCCTTTGAACACTTAGCCCACCATTCTTGCCACTTTCTGAAGCAGTTCTGGAAGCTATCTTAAGTACCTGCTTTTGGCTGCACTATTGAGCTGCCTTGAAAACCTGAATTACTTTAACACATCTACTTTTCATGGTCTTTTGCGGGTAAGAGTCAGAAGTCACAGAGCGTCGGATGGTCAATAAGGTGCATGAAGACACACCATAATGTTTTTACAAGCCCATTTTTCTGTTGGGTGACACTCAGCAGCAGCGTCCACCATATTTTTTTTAATCATACCTTACAAAGACACTTAGGAAAAAAGATTTCCTAGAGCTCCTTCAAGAAGTGATAAGAATGATAGGAGATGAATGTTCAAAAAGAGGGGGAGTATTTTGAGGGAGATTAATAGCAATGTATTTTTCACTATAATAACTATGATTTAAACTTTCACCATGCATTTTGATCACCCTGTGTACTCAGAGAAGCACACAAAGATTTATTGAATATGTTCAATACAGCATTATTTACATCTTAAAAATGGAGACAGGTTAAAACACTAAGCAAATTCATAATATCATTTCAAAGCAGCAAAATGGTACACAGGTTAAAAATAGAATAAACTAGTAACAGAATTTATTTAATATCTCTGTTCAAAATAATATGTACAATTTTTTTAATTTGCTGAAAAATAATATAATCAAAGCTAACATCATTAATTTGAATAGCAGTACATGTGCCATATTTTATTCTTCATATTTCTTTAGGTACCTAGAACTCTATCAAAAGTGTATTCCTGGAAACTCTGTACATTGCTAATGATACAGCCACACTATGACAACATGGTAGTTCCTCAAAAGGTAATCACAGAAGTACCATATGATTTGACAATCCTAATTCTAGTTATACACCCAAAAGAAATGAAAGGATGAACTTGAGTTGATATTTTTATACCAGTGTTCATAGCAGCATTATTCATAATAGCCAAAAGTGAAAAACATCCAATGTTCCACAGAGGAATGAACACACAAAATGTATATGCAACATACTATGGAATATTGTTAATTTTAAGAAGGAACGAAATTCTCACACATTTTATAAAGTGAGTAACTCTTGAAGACACTGTGCTACATGAACAGGGCCAGACACAAAATGACAAATCATGTGTACATGATTCAATATATACAAGGTACTTGGCACAGTCAAACGCATAAAAGCCAAAAAGAATAGTTAACTTTATGAGGTTGAGGAAAAGGAGGTAATGAAGAATTTTAATAGATACAAAATTTCAGTATAGGATGATGAAAAACTTCTAGAAATGGATAGGGGTTATAGTTGCACAATGTGAATGTACTTAACGTACATGAATTTTTCATTTAATAAAAACTAAGTGGTTACATTTGTTGTGTATATTTTACTATAATAAAATCCTGGAATCTGAGCAACTACTTTGAAGATAGCAATATGCAATATATTACACATTGCTAATTTCCCATTGTTTTGAAATTCTGCATCATTGTTTAATTATTTTCCTCTTTAAAAAACCTAAAAAACATCATTTCTATAATCAGAATTTTTTAAAAGTCAATCAAAGAACATATAACTTAATATAAGATAGAGTGAACTACAAAGAGTAATCATTTCCACTAACCTGAAATGGATGCCATTTCTAAAACTGAACTGGAGATCCAAATTTCTTTCTAAAAGTGAAAGAACAAATATGGTAACAAGTTTTTGATTGGGCTAGTGACATAGATCAGGATCAAAGTGTCTAATAACACGCTTGGAGTTATGGATTTGATCCAAAACCAACAACCAAGCGGGACTAACGACAACGCTCAGTCAACGGAATCTGTCACTAAGCAGAAAAAGTTAGTAAGCAGTGTATCGCAATGACCTTTTCAAAGGTGAATCTTCCCAAATCGGAAGTTTTCTGGATTTTGGCAAGACAATCAACAAATTATCTAAAACTAAGAGTGCTTTGCAAAAGCGGCCCCATCACCATCCTGCCCTTAATCAGACTATTTCCTAGATTGAATCACGCCCCTCCAACGCAGAATTCTGAAGCCACCATGGGGCTGCAATGATTGGCTGAATCTGTCTTGTCTTCCTAAGTAGTAACACACTAGCCACATTACTAACATCCTAGGATTCCAATATTCCTTCTATAGATTGTAAAATCCTCCAAATGTTCAAGCATTGAGTCATTTCACCTTTGTATTCACATAGCGGAGCAAAGTGCCTTGCATTTAGTGCTGGCTCAATGAAGCAGGGACTATCTCGACCCTTATGAAAAAGTATGCTCTATATCCAATTTTCTCTGTTGTTTTAAATGACTCCTTGGCTGCTAATAGACTGCTTCTTCCCCAAATTACATAATTTAAGAGCATACGATATTTCACAGTATATTCGAAAACCAGTAACCTAGAGTAGGTCTGTAAATCAAAAACCTGAGTAAATGGGAAGGGGCAAAAATGTGTGGAGTGACAGTTGTCATTAGTATTGAAGGAAATGTACCGTGGTACAACAGGCTAACCCAGACCCATACCTCTCTAATCCTCACAAGAAGAATTTAATAATACCCATCTTCTTAGGCTACTGGGAAGCAGAGGATGGAAGAAGCACCCCCACTGGTATTTCCCAATAAATTATGCCCGTTACTAATCAGTGATCGCCAGGCCTCATGAACTGAAAATCCCAGAGAAAAATTTTAAAAAGACACAGTCGGCAGTCAGAAGCCCCCCCCCCCCCGAAAGACCTGGGTTCTCTCAGGACTAAGCAACCACTACCGGCGCTTTCCCCCCCGCCGGAACACTGGGAGAATGCTCCGGAATGCACTGGTCTCGCTCGCTGGCAGAAGAGGAAAGAGCAAAGAAGGAGCGCCATGCAATTGACTCCTCAAAGCTGCACCAAGAGTTACCCCCACAGTCTCTACCCACGGGGTAAAAGGAGTCGCCTCTGATGCCCGGGTCTCCAACCCAGGGGCGTTAGAACCTCTGGACTTCTACGCACCTACTTCAGCGGTTCTTCAATAAAACCTTCCCGCCACCCACCCAGAGCATCCACCCTTCCGGGTCCGTCCGTTCAGCTAATCACAAACACTACCTTCTCTAATAGGCCAGAGGGTGTGGCCAGCAGGAGCGTCATCCAACAAAACCATATGTTATTGGTTTAGGTAAAGATCAGGATTAGCCAATAGGAAGCTGGATTAAATCGGAGATGGGGCCGACTGCGTGTTTCCGGAAGACGTGGCGGCTCTCTTCTGGGCTGCTTCCCGGCTTCATTTCTCTCGACTCAGCTTCCCACCCTGGGCGTTCAGAGGTGCTGCGGCCGCTGGCCTCACCGCTGCAACCATGATCTCCTTAACAGATACTCAAAGTAAGCACTTCGCCCGGTCTTCCCAGCCTAGAACCCCGCACACCCTGCGCCTGGCTGGCTCTCCAGTCGGTCCCTCCGCTTGGGTCAATGAATGAACCTCCGCGTCTGGGGGCGGCGGACTGAGAGACAGAGCGGAGGTTGCCGGGAGCTGAGAGCAGCCCGAAGGGACGGGGCTGGACTCGCAGAGGCCGACCTGGCTCGGCGGGAGTCCGGGACTGGGTGGGACGCCCGAGCTGAGGAGCGGGAGTTTTAGTCGGGCATCTGGGTCGCGCCACTAATATTTGACTTTTGCCACGCCTGAAGGCAACTTTCCAAAATTTCTTTGCAACGACTTCACTTTGTTACTCGCCGAAAGTTCCAACAATAGTAAAAAACCACTTTGTGTTTGTTGGAGGATTTCTTTCCTTCAACAAAGTAGTAGGTTGTGCTTTGTGTCTTTATTATTATTATTATTATTATTATTATTTTAACATCATGTCTTTCTGCATGTCACAGGGCTTTCCAGGTCTTTCTCATTTCTAAGGGTAGCGTTACGATCTCTTTCCTTTTCTTTCAATACAACTTTTATAAGTTAAACAGTTCACTAAAGTGAAAAGAGAATTTAATTTAAAATGCTTTCTTTTAAAGTGGAACGCCTTAAGCCGGGCGGGTGGCTCAGGCCTGTAATCGCTGCACTCTGGAGGCTGAGGTAGGAGGATCGTTGAGAGTTCAAGACCAGCCTGAGCTACAAAATGAGCTCAAGGCTAGCCTGAACTGCATAGCGAGACCCTGTCTCAAAAAAATAAATAAATAAAGTAGAACGCCTTGATATAAACTTTGAGGTCTTAGAATGAGCTGCGTCTGTAATATTATATGTGAATTATTCTGTACTTAAGAGATTCTGTTTCATTGGAGACTTAGGGATGAATGCCTCATTTATAGCCTTCCAAAAACCAAAACAAGGGAATAGGGTTGGACTGTGGGCAAATATAAAGCCTTCTCTCTTCATTAAATTTGTGAGGAAGATACAATTTTACTATTTGCTATTCATTTATTAAATACTTTATGTGAGACAGTGGATCAAAACATATGATTAGTCAGCCAAAAGATTTTGAATTTTGCATTGTGCTTATACCTCTATCTAATTGCAAGGGACTGGCCATCTTTCAAGTGATTTGCCAAGATTATTCTGGGATTTCAGTTCTAGAAGAGAGTGACCAAAGTACCAATCAGACTAGAATAAATGGTCTGATTCTTTTAAGGGATTCTATAATTGGACTCTTCCCCACTCCACAAAAGAAAAGAAATAAAAAGAAAAACCAAGACTTATTTAAGGGAATGGGATGGAGGATATTCCATTTTGCATCTGAGTTGTCACTTCATTTTGTCACACAGGATTAAAATCTGCTGTGATACTCAGTTGAGTTATTCAGTACAGTTGATGCACAGTTACTATAGAAGAGTTCAGACAAGAGTACATTCCACCTAAATTTATTTTATTGAGTGTGGTGCTGGTGAAGAGACTGCTCTGCGTAGGCCTTTTGACAAACAGAAAGCTTATAAATGAATAAAGGTAGAGAAAAAGGAAATTCTGGAGGTAAAGGAAGGGCATAATAAGGCTAGTTTCAATCTTGACTCATCTATATCAGCAGATAGTGGACAGCAAGCCAGTGCCAATTTTGGCAGAGGTGTTACAGGCAGCTTGCTGTCCCCTTCGAACTTACACTGGATCTAGGAGTGAAATGTTTTGTTTCCATGTTGTGATTGTAGGATCCTTAACTGTGGAATGAGAAGACTGGATCTCACTTGTAGCCTGACTCCACATCCACCACCACCCACATACACATCTCTGCTGATTGTATGATCGAGGACAAGTTACCTCATCTCCCTGGTCCTTGGTTGCCCATATGAAACAACATGGAGCCATTGTGTTAACAGTTTTGTTAAAGGAATTACAGATACGTGTATAAACACTTGATTGACAGCCCATGCTCAGAGATTGTCCTTTTTCAATGCAGTCCATTTTTAATAGTTCTGGCACCTACTTAGTTATTAGACAATATACTGATTTTAAATTTGAGTCACCTAAATGTACTTTCCTCAGAAATTTGGCTATATTTCAATGTCCTTGAGTTACACCACCAAACATAACCTGAAAAAAAGTCTTGTGGTAGAACTGTTCTGTATTACTTAAAGCACGTGAACTTTGAGTTCAAGTCGACCTGGTTCAAATACTTAACCTGAAGTGTAGCTTTGGGTGTCTTAAGTCAATTACCAAAATTGTAGTTTCTTCCATCTATAAACTGATATGAGTGCGCCTACATTCCAGTAGTGTTAGGAAGATTAAATTAATCAACTCTATGAAACACCTCATAATGCCTAATTCATGATATGTTCTCCGTACATAGTAGGTATATTTCTAAATAATCTCCTTTCTAATGATCAAGCATCTCAAAATGTTTGTATAATCACTAAGGTTATTTGTGGATTTTCTGTGAAAAAAAGAGATTATTGTTCAAATAACTTAAATGTAGTAACTAAACCCCAACTACTGTATATTTAATAGAATTTTACTTGCTCATATATCTGCAATTTCCTGGAGGAAATTGTATCTGATGTCTAAATCATTATTTTGATAAATTCTTTAAGGTTTATAAGTACTAGCTCAAATTTTCACGAGAGTTTATGTTTGTGAAATAGTTTTAATCTGGTGTATTTAGAGACAAGTACCTCAGTTCGTTTAGGAGCAAAAAGCATGGCTAGAATGGAAGATAGTAATCATCAGGTAATTGGGAAGATGGGAAAGGCAGGAAAAGGTAAAGTTGGTATAAATTTCAAATCATTAGAACATTTCTGTATGGCTTAAGTTTTCTGTTTTTAAGTAGCTTTTAGCTTTCTGGAGCTAAGACAAAACAAGTTAAAGTGACCATTAGAAATCACTAATAGTGTATTTTATATTGTGTTTTCAAAAGTATGGTTGCATCTTCTCAATCAATATCCATATGCAGATAGTGCTTCTAGATACAATCAGCATTGATAGCTGGTCCCTAACAACAAAACCAAAATGTTCAGGGAGGTAGCTTAGTGGATTGTGCTTTGTAGTATTCACAAAAAAATTCACTGCCTTAGAGGATTAAGACTTTTTAACCTAAAAAGATAATGCAAAGGCAATAAAACTATCAATTTATGTGCAGGTAACCACAGACTTCAAAGTTTATACTTTATCCACAACTGTGTATTCAGTACCTAGAATGGTGCCTGACCTCAACAATTCTTTAGTTTTAAGTAAAAAAGAAAAACTCTAGAATACTAATATTAGGTAACATGATATTCTTTGGAGCAGACTGTAGGACTGTAGACCTAAATTTGTGAACAGATTCATAGTTGAGATAAATTTACACATGGTGAATTTGTAATAAGCCATCTAAAACTTAGAAGTGGACCAGCTAAGTGGCACACACCTTGTTCTCATAAGACTAGCTCTAGGCTAGCCTGGGCAAGTGACACTCTTGTCTTAAAAAGTTAAAAGTGATACCTAAACTTCTAAAAACTACTTTTAAATTAATAACTACCATAATTCTCAAACTATTTCTTGATACTTCTGTGATAAGCAGTATATTATTGAATGAAATAAATTGTGATGACCTACATAACATTTCTAAGTAAGGAACCAGGCGTGATGGCATACACCATTCAGGAGGCTGAAGCAGGAGGGTTGTTGCAAGTTCAAGACCAGCCTGGGCTACAAAGTGAGCTCAAGGCCAGCCTAAATTGCATAGCAAGACCCTCTCGCAAAAAAGACCAAAAAAAGAAAAAGGATAAGGAAACACTACATACAGATTTATGCATACTTATAGAATGTGAAAGAAGATAAACCTATATAGTCTGTTGAAGTCTCAAGCCAAAGTGTCTTAGGAGGGGGAAAAAATGCAGCCAAAGGTTTAAAATTCTCATCTATCTTTTCTAGTCTGGTATGTCTATAAGAAATATTGTTTCCCATGTAAGGGAGAAGAATTTCTCTTCATATTTTTTAATTCTGTGGTAATGTACTGATGTTAATTTGCTGTAGACATAATTCCTTATATTAGTCCAGAGGAAAACCAGAAACTTCTTAGGTAATTAACAGGTGTTAATGTGACTATAACTTTTCTCTGTCTTTAACTATATTGCAGAAATTGGAATGGGGTTAACAGGATTTGGAGTGTTTTTCCTGTTCTTTGGAATGATTCTCTTTTTTGACAAAGCACTACTGGCTATTGGAAATGTGAGTTTTGAATATATATCTTTACTAAATTCATAAGGAAGTTATCACTGCAAATGAATTATTATCTTGTCATTGGGGAGTACTCATACATAGTTACTATTACATTTTTCTCTTCGGTCAAGCAGAATCTGTTAGTTTACTGCTTAGCTAAAAGACAACCACTCAATAAGATTTTTCTCACTCTGTAAGTTAAATGTTTGTTCTGTGATTTATAACACAGTAAAATAGAAGTAAGACTGCACATTTGATGGATATGCATAAAGTGAACAACTTTTAATAATCTCTTAACCCTTTTAAAAACCAATTCTCTATGTTGTTGGCTGACTTGCTTAGAAAGAGTGGATGCTGTTTATTTGCAATGCGTAGTGTACTTTCCAGGTGTGGAGGTTGTGCGAGACATACAGAGGTCAGTGGTAGCTTCTGAGAAGGCAGCAAAGTCACTAGCCATCTTTTGAAGCGCAGATGCTGTTCAGGCTATTAGTTGGAAATATGAAAAGAAAAAATAAGGAATAGCAAAATTATGCAAACTACATGTTTTAATAAATGATGACATAAACAGTTTAAGCAGTGGGCTCACTGTATAGCTGAAATACTTTTCACTAAAGAAAGTCAATGAGGGAGGGAAGAATTTGCAGATAAATCCAGCAGAAGGCAAGGATTTAATAAATTGCCATTTCTTGACCAAGAAAACATACAAAATATACATGTCCTTCTTAATATCTGGTTGTATTTTTATTTTTGTTGCCACCAGATACTATGGCTTTAGTAAAGGGAGAGTCTTTGGCTTTGCAGCGTTGCTTCTGCTGTGCGTTTACCTGTATCAGTGTTTCTCCCATCTGGAGATACCCCGTAGCCCCGAGTACATATTTCAGAACCAGGAGACCTTCGGGTGACGTATTTATGGGCAGCATCTCTGCTATCCCTTGCCAGCTCATCTGCTTGACTAAGCCACCCCCATCCAACAAAAGCTGGGGAAACCACTGCCTGTGCAGATGCCCACTGATAGCCTCTCGGCTTTGTTTCCTTTCCCCACTTAGAAAAATGAAAGTGCAGTACAACTGCACCTTAACATGCCTGGCCCACTCTGGTTCTGCTTCTTGCAAATGCACTGAAGTTCTCTCTGGCCAGTTGCCCACATTAAAAAGCCAAGCAAATGTGCTTCTCTTTATTATATTTAGCTTCGACCTTTAGAAATTTATGCAGTGTGTTTAACTACTTTTTCTATGTTAAATTTTCTTTGTCTCTTAGGTTTTATTTGTAGCTGGCTTGGCTTTTGTAATTGGTTTGGAAAGAACATTCAGATTCTTCTTCCAAAAGCATAAAATGAAAGCTACAGGATTTTTCCTGGGTGGTGTATTTGTGGTCCTTATTGGTTGGCCTTTGATAGGCATGATCTTCGAAATTTACGGATTCTTTCTCTTGTTCAGGTGAGACACTCATTTTATTTTCTGTTGTAATAAACTGAGTATTACAAAAGTACAGATACTTATATCAGTATATGATAACTTTTATTTTTGGTTTAACTTGAATCTTAGTTTTAGATCAGTCACCTATAAAAATGTTTATCAAATATAAATGATTAAATAAGAGTAAACTGTCTTGTCAAGTATTTTCAGTGCAATAAAAATTATGTAGTTGGGACTGGGAATTTAGCTCAGCGGCATAAGCACCTGCCTTGCAAGCAGGCAGTTGTGAGTACGATTCCTGGTGCCGATAAAAATTTAAAAAAAAAAAATGTCGTCATTGTTAGACAGATATTTCTATGAACTGAACAGAGATAGATGGATGGGTACCATAAAATAGATCCAAAATTTAGTATATAAAACCTTATACTGCATAATTCAAATGACAGGTCGTTGTGATGGCAGTTTGTTTAATATATATGCATAGAAAATTCTGTATCATACATAGCATGGGAGATTTGAGTGAGTTAATAGTATGAAATGCCAGTCAATAGTGAATTAATGTGCATATGAAGAAGAACCTGTAAATACAGTTGGTCAGCATTATTCAAGAAATCCATAGCCTTTGCCTTCTTCTGCGAGGTCCTGCATTACATACATTAGTCATAAAAAGTGTTTAATGCCAGATCTGTTCTAGGGAATTTCTCATTTCTAATGCAGGAGATAGATTTTGAAGATATCAGTAGAATAAGTGATAATGTTATAAGTGTTTGTGTAGAATATTATAATAGCATAATTCAAGAAGGAATTAATAAAGTCAGGAGGAGGTGAGAAATGTTATCTGATAAACTGGACCTTAAAAGAATGAGTGAGAAGAATCCATCCATAAAAGAAAAAAGAAAGGATATTTTACTGACAGAAAGAATAGAGAGGATCTAGAAAGTACACAGCTTCACCAAAAAGAATGACCGGAGCGGCAGGACAGGAACGTAGGATGGATGAAAGGAACCAGCTGGCAGTGAGACCAACCTGCAAGTCTGCAATGAGGCTGCAGACTTATTTCGAATGACTTGTTACTTTATTTTCTTAGCAAATCTGAGCAACGTGGAGGATGAGTAGGGAGCAAAAAGATTTGTAAGTTAGAAGTGATATGGCCAGATCGATGTTTTAAAAAGATTGTTCTAACTTCAGGATTAAGTATGTATTGAAAGATTAAAAACTAAGCCAGATGTGGTGGCACAGTCCTGTAATCCCAGCACTTGGGCAGTTGAGGCAGGAGAATTGCTATGACTTTGAGGTCAGCCTGGACTATATAGTAAGCCTCTGTCTCAAAAAAAAATTGGAAAGACAAAAAACTAAAGGCACGGCGCCCAGTTCAGAGGCTCTTGATGGAGTACAGAATACAGAATAATGCCCCAGTTGAACTGAGGTAATCTGCGGATATGACACAGCTACCTCTCATTACAATCTGCTCCCATTTTGCCAGTAATCAAAATGTTTAAATTTATAGAGACTCCCAGTTCTAAGTTTGAAGTCCCTAAAACATTTGCAACTGCAATAGGGTCCTTTCTTTTGACTTGATTGGTGATCGATTGTGGTACTAGAAAATGCTGTTTTTAAAAAAGAGCTTTTTTTTTTCCTGTCTCCCAGGGGCTTCTTTCCCGTGGTTGTTGGCTTTATTAGAAGAGTGCCAGTCCTTGGATCCCTCTTAAATTTACCTGGAATTAGATCAGTAAGTAATCATGTATTTAGCAATGTATTTTTAACCCACCAAAATGAACACATCTTGATGCTTATTACTTCTAGAAATATAAATGATTGATACCTGATTAAATAATGAATTGTTCATTATGCTGTAAATGATTGCATCACATAGATTATGGCTACCAAAGCTATAAACCTAAAATTCTGTTTTACCATTTCCATTTTCAGTATTGTTCTCTATTTTTATTTTTAAACTTCTTTTTATTATTGTTTATTGGTACATTTTAAGTGTACATAATGACCACATTCATCATAGGGAATTTACATGTGTACACGATATATCTTGATTCTTTTTCCCCATTCCCGTATCCTTCCTTCAACCCCCTCTTTTATTTACAAAAGCTTTGTTCTCATTTTTTCCTTCTTCTCTCATATTTTCCCCTTCCTCCCCACACCCCCAATTCCCTTTCCCATTTGAACATTTTCCTCCTATTACAATATCTGTTACGCATTTTGGTCCTTATTTACACTTTGGGTTTCTCACATCAGAGAAACAATGTGATATTTATACAAATGTCTGATTTATTTCACTTAAGAGTATGGTCTCAAGACATTCAGCTAGAAATGTCTCAAACTTACCTTTTTTATGGCAGAATAGTACTCCATCGTGCTTTTTTTTAAAAGCATATGTTCTTTATCCTTTACTGGTTGATGATCATTTGAGCTGTTTCCAAGATTAGCTATTATAAATGGTGCCACTGTAAACATGGCAATGGGCCAGGGATTTAGCCATTGGCTCAAGTGCTTGCCGGGTGAGTGCAAGATTGTGAGTACAAAAAAAAAAAAAAAAAAAAGTGGGTGTGCATATATCACTGTGGTATGATGCTTTCAATGCTTTTGGAAAGATAGCAAGAAAGGAAATAGCTGAGTTGAATGGAACCTCTAGTTTTAGTTTTCTGAGGAATGTCTACACTTGATTTCCAGTCTGCAAGCTTACCAACAGCGGAGGAAGGGTTTCTTTTGCCCCACAGCTCTGCTAGCATTTGTTATTGGTTGATTTCTTGATGATAGCCACTATTTCTGGAGTGTGATAAAATCTCAGCATTGTTTTAATTTGCATCTTTTAGATGACCGGTGATGCTGAACGTTTTTTCACCATTTCTACTTCTTCATCTGAGAAGTGTCTTTTCATTTCAGATTCCCATTTTTGGATTGAGTCTTTAAAATAAATTAGAAAAATAACACCTTATTTACCGCAAAGGACTTACCTCTCTTACAAGTTCAGCCTACTGCCTTGAATTTTAACACAAAATGAGACGCTTAAAGTCATAAAGAGTCCGGGTAATCTGTAATTCAGCAGAGCTGAAATGAATCTTTTTGGGTCTAGATCTGACCTGTGTCAGGCACATCCTGGTACATCTATTTCTTTGGTTTGGTTTTATAAAGTCTATCCTGAACAGTCAGGATAATAGGACTTTAAAGACATGATAGAAAGACCTCATGTTCTAGTTAGGTCCAAGGAGTTTCTCTGCTTCCTACGGTTATTTTCAGATGTTTCTAGAGAGCAAATCCACTGTAGTAGTTGAATTCTCAAAGAGGTAAAGGATGGCTTATCCAGAGGAAAACAAGTACCAGTATAAGCCTAATCCTGTGTCCATCCATAAGTTAATTTTCCTGTCAGAACCTTAGAACTAAGACATCTGAAATATTTGAAGTTATCTTAGAAAAGATACTACTTTTTTGCACTGAAATTTGCCTTGAAGTTCTAATGAGTCCATGAATATTTTCAGGGCAACTTTTAATGTATCATTTAGCTATTTGTGATAATATGAAATTATTAGGTATTAAACCTAGTTACTAGGCTTATAGGAGTATATCCTGGTTTCATTTGCCATCTACCTCATGTAACCTCATAGTAGTAAATGTTTATATTTAGAATAATTTGAATTTATTGAACTTCTAGTTAAAGATTTATAATTATTGTGTCCTTAATTTAAGAATTTTGCAGTATTTGTATAGATGGACACACCTACAACACATAAAGTTGCCTGTCACTATTCCTTTGTTATAATGATTAAGAGTGTGAAGTGAAATAAAAGGTTAAATGATTGATAGAACTTGATGATTTATAACCATTTTTGGTTATATAACTTTTAATATCTCCACTAATGATATTCTTTGTTTTAATCTTTACATTACCATCTGGAATGCTGAAGAAAGCCAAACTGCTTTTTATTTGGAGTGGAGTAACCAAAATAAATAATCATTTACATTAATGTGTGTTAAAACTTATATTTAATGGTTATAAATTTATGTTTGCATCATTAAATCTGTTTTAATGCCATTGTCACTTTCAGTCTGAAGTCCAGAATACACATTTAAAGTATTATTAGTTGACAGTTGTTGTTAAATAATTGAACTTAATGGAGTTAAATCTGTTTGTTCAAAGACTACATAGGCCCAGAAGAGATCCACAGTAATGGTCAGTGGAAATACCTTATTGGGTTCATTAATGCATGAATGGCTGGCATTTCAAGTTTTTATTTTTTGTTAAGCTAACACTGTTGACTTCATTTTATCCAATTTTTTCATTCATTGTGTTGCATTTTCATGTTGCACCCTTAAATTCATATGTATAACATGTCATGCAAATACAACTTTCAGAAAAAAATTTATATACATTTATGTGTCAGAAAGGTGGTGGTGAGTAAAACTGGATTAGTCATTGTCAGTCATACCCTAAATTTCCACAAATCTTGCAAAGCTGGTTCTTAAAATCAGCCTTTGAACTGTTGATGTGATGCTTTATAGTACTGTAGACTTGCTTTAATTTTCTGTTTTTCTTCTCCTTACAGTTTGTAGATAAAGTTGGAGAAAGCAACAATATGGTATAACAACAAGTGAATTTGAAGACTCATTTAAAATATTGTATTATTTATAAAATCTTTTGGAGAATATTCAGCACAAACTTAAATTACACGAAATAGCTTGCAGTGTTCTTTACAGAAGTTTAAATGTGTAGCCTACAAAGTACCAACAGCAGTTAGCAAAGAACTAGTGAACACAGGCTTCTGATCAGATGGTCTGAGACTCAGCAAGCAAACTGAGGGAGATGAAGCCCGTGTTACCATGTGGATTGAAACTCTGGGAGGCTGTTTCTCTTGTCTTTCCACAATACTCAGAACACAGCCATCCTCAGAAAACTGTGGTGCCTGTTACTTCTTTTTATTTTTAAGGTTCAAGAGCATCCCTAAGCATTGGCTTTTAGAAATATCCACTGTGATAGCAAAAATATTTCCAGTTTCACTGTGTCTCTGAAAGTGATGCATGAGTTGGATGGGATTATGTCATTTTGATGTATTTAACCCAAGGAAAGCCCATTTTCATGTTTGGAATCTTTTTGTTTTTTGTAAACATGTGATTAAAATAAAACTGTTGTGGTTTTTCTGAAACATATTTTAAAGCCAAGGGAAAACCCAAACTAGATAAGTTTAGTTCATCTTTTACTAGCTTTTAGTTTCTAGCTGGTGAAGCAATTTTGGTCAGCGACACACTCTGGAAACACTCCTATGTCTTGGAAGTCCGATCTCCGCATCTGTTTGTGTCATTCATTACATGTAAGCCTTTGACAGCATTCTTGACGCAGAAGTTACCTACCTATTAGATAGCTAGTGTCTTTGAATAGTCTTTATTTAAAATACTGAATGATGCATATCTAATGAGTTTTTCCTTCATGATGTAGTTTGTCTTTATGTTTTCATTTTTAAATTCAGGAGAGGTTTATCACTTTTCTATAAACTAAAGTAACTTTTGGTAATGTGTGAGACTTGTAACATGTTAAAAAACTAAACCTGTAAGTTGTTTTAGGACTGTTCACTTAATGAGTTTTTCCCTGTTTTCAACTTTTTCATAACACAAAAACCAGCATAGATGATGTATGCTTCCCATGATCACTCTTGAGCTTCAGTTAGTGGAGAAAATACCTGAGCTCACGTGGGGACATTATTTTACCATGATTAAACTGGCTATGGTTTCTTAAAAGCATGTTTTCTTTTTTCTTCCTTCCATTGCTGATTGATAGACAGTAAGATACAGCAATCATTTCCTTTTCTAAGGTGACAGCTTTTGTTATAGATGTAGGAACACAGTATCCACAGTACTATTTGTTTTATGAGTAACAGTTGCACTATTTATTTTTGTAACAGTTGCAAAGCTTTTTAACACATAAAAGCATAATTGAAATTTGTACTATTTATTTACAAACATATCTACAAAATAGATAAGTGCTTTTTTTTTTCTCTTTTTAATTATATCTCAGAATGCACAAAGAACTCCCAAACTTGCTTGTCTACAGAAAGAAGGACTTGGGACACAGTGTAATGGTTCAGTCTTGTGGATTACTGTTGTGTTTGGTACTTGCATTGGACTTTATGATGTAATCTGTGAAAATGGGACAAACGGAGACTCCTACCTCAATAGTTCATGAAATAAGAGACCTAGTGTTGTGTCTGATGTTCTTCAAAAAAGTAATATCCTCACTTGGAGAGTGTCAAATATACATTCTTTGGGAACTGACTTATATAAGGTGTCCTGTAGGACTCACCCACATTAGTTCCAGTAGCTACATAGTTCTCCCTTTTTTAGAGTAGGAACCGCATCTGTTAGTGTAAGGAACATCTGTATCATTAAACTCCTTTGTAGACATGCATTTCTATCAAAATGTTTTTTGCACTGTAAACAGAGACCCCTTTTTCAACAATCTTATTTCAGAAAGCATTACTGGACTTGAAAAGATTGGTAATCTCCGAGTCCTTAGTGATGTTGAGGGGCTGGAGTGATTTTCAGTTTCTAATGAGGGTGCAGTTAATACCGAATGTGAGTGTGGGACTGCTTGGCAGCGTGTATTTCTTCTTCAGAACCTTGATGAGGCTCTATACTTAAACTTACTAGCCCTCCAGCAGAAGCCCTGTCTTATTGTTTGTCCCCTTCCCAAATCAGCCTTCTGATTTTGTGACAAAAATGTACTTTGATTTTTTTTTTCCCCTTTAGGGATGGAGGAAAAGGTCTGATACTACATAGCCTTAAGTATTTCTGTCATTTTTCAGATGTATTTTCTGTAACAGAAACATTTGGAATGTTTTCTTTTCCCCTTACAAATTTTAATTCATGGTATACTGCTGCTTTTAAAAGTCTCAGAATATATAATCTAACAATTAAATATTGTAAATGCACTTGTCTTACCTCTAAATAAAAGGGTACTTTTCTATTAATTGGTGGTGAAGCATGTCTTTATTTTGAAATCCTAAAGTTTAGTTTAGCACTGCAAAAAACCCTACCTCATTTCTTGAAAATAGTAAATTACACATTTTTTATGTCTACAAAATGGTCTTACCGTCTTTTGTTTCCTTATTTTTAATGTTGTCACATATACAGATAGACTTCAAATAAGTAAAATTACTCTTAAATTTGAAAAGTATTTTAAAAACGAAAAAGAATGACTCGTGCCTAGAGCCATATGTTATTTAAGAAAATCGGGCTTGGCTGAGTTCAGTAATCCATGCCTGTAATCCCAGGCTGAAGACAGGAAGGCCACAAATTTAAACCCAACCTGGGCAGCTTAGAGATTTAGTGAGATTCCATTTCCAATAAAAGAAGATGGGGGCCAGGGGAATATGCTTCATAAAAGACCTGGCTTGAATTTCGAGTACCTCAAAAAAACAGACTAACGTCTGAGGTCTAGGCATTTGGTTCTTCAGCAAACATTTTCCGAATATCTCCTGAGTACGGAAAGTCCTGCACTGAATGAGCGACCCAAGAGAATAAGCTGTGGTACCTGTCCAGAAAGAATTTGTAACTTTTGCGAAATCTCAGCCTCATTTCCAAATCATTCAGCCTGAGTCACACTGCAAATAATTTGGTAGAATAATTTGTGGTCTGCATACCATAATCGTTATGTTCTCATCTAGACATTAGGACTCTTAACTCCCAATGCTGCAACAGATGGTTTTCTGGCATCATCAGAGGAAAACGCATCCGATTAAACTCCAGAAGGTTTCTCTATATGATTTGTTTTGCAATTCATGTATATACCAACCTTATCAACTTAGCATAGCAGGTTTTCCTTTCCTTTTTTTGGAACTTTATTCTTTAATTGTAACCTAAGCATGTAGAACTGTCACCCTTATTTGTGGGTCTAGGAGCCTGCTCTAGAATTTGCATTGCTGCAGCCAGCTGAAGTGATTCATTGAAAGCTTGTGTGACTACTACCATTAATTACAAAATTTAAAAGAACTATGAACTTAGGTGTTAGTGGAGAAATGCTTATGTAATTTTTCTGTGAAAAAGGAAGCAATATATCATTACTTGAGTATTTGTGACCTAAATAAACTAACTTCACATCTACAGTGTTCTAATTTTGTTAAGGTCAAAAATCACTGCTTATGTCTACCACTGGGTGTACCAACAGGTACAGTATTTGTGGAATGCAGTAATTAGAAGTCTACGAAGTGAACTGAAAGTCTTGGATCTGTTACTAAATAAATGAGCTAATCTCTGATGACTTGCAGTCTGGGCTGAATAAAGTCCTGACCTCTGTCCTCCTCCTACCTTATATGAGAGGTTGGACAGAGAAGCAGCGTGCCTGGAATTTATTGCCTGGCTCACTTCGTGACCCCACCTTTATTCAGTTCTCAAGGCCTAATTAAAATGCCACTTCGGTCCCATCTTTCCTGACCCGCTCGGTCTAGACTCAGTCTTTTCATAGAACTATCTACTTGCTTTTTATTTGGTAACAGAAAACAGTGTATCTCCAGTTCCTGACGTTTAGTAGGTGCTCACTAAACTGTTGGTGGAATAAATGAAACCTGGTTATTCCCATTTTCATATTACTAACTGCTGATCATTGTGATCAGTCTCACGGAGCAGATTTCTACCAGCCATGAAGGTGAATGATTGGGCCTCTGCCATTCTGCTTCACATTTCTTGTGGCCTGAGAAACTGACTCTGCTATACCCAGCAGCTCATCAGCAGACAGGAGAAACCATGAAGGAAAGAGTTCCTGCAGACTGGCTGCTCAATTGCCTTTTTTCGCTAGAGAAGGCCCAGAAGCTACTGCACAGGTTCTGGTGAGGTGACTCACTGATAGTTTTCCTCTCTTTTTCATATGAAATTTAAAAAGAGGTTTCACTGTGGTGGTTCTTTTTCCAGATGCTAGCTCTGTAATTAAGAGTTGCTATTATAGAGAAAAACTCCCCAGGAGAAAATTACAAAGTGACTTCATGAAGACAGGCAGAAAGTCTGCTCCAGGAGGGCTCTGGGCAGTGCTGTCTTTCAGATATGTAACAGTGTTGATGGTGATGGACAATCATCCCTGGAGGAAAAGCATTCAGGTGCAGGCCACTGAGGCAGCTGTGAGCCCTGGTCTTGACCCTACCGCTTAGCATCATGTCAGTTGGAGTCCTCTGAGCTTTCTCATAAGTGAAACTCAGTATCTACTACGCTGCTGTAAAACTGAATGGAAAAATGAATGTAAAATGACTCACAGTGTTAAGAAAATAAGTATTATTGTCTTGGAAGTATTTCTGGTTCAAGGTAGGCCCACTATTTATCTCACCTTCTCTTTTGCTCATCAGACCTGATTACAAATAATGTCCAACCTAATGCACATTACAAAATCATCCGTTCATTCTCCATGTTTCTGAGGCTCACAATTTCCAAAGTACTGTTGAGTATGGTATTTTGATGCTTACATCTTTTTCCAAAGTGTTTTTGTTGCATCTTTTGGATACAGTGAGGTCTGCCATTAACAGCCCTGTGCTCTTAGTTATCCGGCAGCAATGGTTACTGTACATTCATTCATACATGTCATGTTCATTTTAGAAATGGGTGTTTAAATATTCTAATTGGGGCAATCATGCGAAATAGTCAACTTTAGCTTTGCCTAGTTTACTTTAGCCCCAACTTCCTAGACAGTGCTTTTTAACACTTAAGAAAACTAGTTTCTTTACCTTGTCTTCTCTTTTTATGTAGCTCTGAAGAAAGGATCCAGGGGAATTTGTAGAGAATGACATTATCCCAGGGCCTAATCTCATTGGGAATCTTAAACCCTAAGTAAAAGGAAGATCTAGTAAGACCTTGAGCAATGAATAAAAAGTTATATTTTGGAGAACAAGGCTTTTTAAGGACCCAAAGCCACTCCTAAGATTGATAGCCTTTTGGAAAATGACATCTAACTTTTGATAAGATACCCGGGCTAAGGAACAGATGCCATGGCATAAAATAAAGCCAGTACAGGAGATTAAACCCATGTCCTCGTTCATACTGTACCAACCCAAACTTCTGTCGCTAAAAAAAAAAAAAAAGTAATTTGGGCATTTTAGTACCATTATAACCATATTATCCAAGTAACCTTTTCCAGGATAGCAGTTGCTTTCCATTTGTGTACAATAACCACTCTCCTTGAGAGAATGCATTTAAAAAGTAACAAGTAATTGTTTAAGCAAGGTCACTGTACAAATCTAGATAGCATTAGTGAGAAAGGCAGATGATATCCCTTGAGTATGCCTTTTAAAAAGATTTAGGGGGCTAGGGATTTAGCTCAGCGGCATAAGCACCTGCCTTGCAAGCAGGCAGTCATGAGTTCGATCCCCATACCGATAAAAAAAAAAAAAAATGTAAAAAGATTTAGGAGACTACTGGTTTAGCACCCACTGCCTGGTCATATTGTGAGCAGAAGGAAATTCAATAGTTTGCCTATGATATTTTTTTGTACCAAATAGCATAGCCTGTCTCTTGGTTTAGTTCTTGTAAAATATTAAAAAGTTTTGTGATTTAACAAAAACATATTAGGGACCAGTTCCCTCTGGAAAACCTTTAAGAAGAAAAAAAAAAAATTCTGGCAGGTTACTCTTGATAAGACCACGCTATTGATAACATGTCAAACCATTCTCTTCATTTCTGCATAAGAAGCTGAAAAATGACAACTCTGACGTAAAACATCTACTTGTGAATTCACCAGTTAAGCTATTATCAACAAAGCTCATTCATTTTTCCTAAAATTGAAAGTTCAAAACATCTTTCATCGGTGATTCATTTTTCTTGCCCTTCTTCCTAAAACCTGTATGTGCTCTAACTATAAAGGAAGGAGAAAAATCATTTTACTTGTTAGGCAACCTACTAATTGGGTTTCACGTATGACTTCACTTGAAACAAACACAGCATATTTGTATGATTTATTGCTCTTTTTTGGAAATAGTTTTTTTTTTGTTAGTTTGAAATTAAAACCTTAAAATCTAATATTTAAAGCAGAATAACAGTTTTATCCAATTTCAATAGTTAGCTTACCCTTAGGTTTTTTTATACTCCTTTCTTATTCACCAGTCAAATCTCTAGTTTTACAAGACTATCAAAGCACCAACATTATAATCTGTCTTTCCCAAGTATTTGCATGTACATAGTAACATCAGCCCTTCAAACATCCATCCCAAATGAAATGTAGCTATTTGTCCCCAAACTTGCTAATATTGCTATGTCTTGCCGTTCTCCAAGTTATGCAGACTTTCAGGTGGTTTTCCTCAATTCCCATATCCTAAGCTTTGCTACTCAAAATGTGCAAGGGTCAGGATCATCTGGCAGTTTATTAGAAAAGTGGAATTACACACCCCAACCCAGTTGTATTGAATACAAAGTGCATTTCAAAAAGATTCCCAGCTGATTTTTATGCACATGAATGCTTAGGAAGCAGGGCCCTACTTTAGAAAGAATTGCTGTGATCTAAATGTCTGTATCCCTAAAATTCCACATGTTGAAATGCTAATCCCCAATACCCAAGTTTGTAGAGGCACCTTTTGGAGGTGACTAGATCAGGAGCAGAGCCTTCATGAGTAGGATTTATGTCTTATATAAGGCCCCAGAGGCCCTTCTGAGAAACGGAGTAGTGAGGCGGCACACAAAAAAAACTACTCCAAGTTTTGGTGTCCAGAACCTGGAAGATAGCAGCATGAGAAAGAGAAGGGAGTGGTGGGTCCCATGCACGCAGAAAGGATCTGGACTGACAGTTGAAGCCCATGGAGAAAGAGAATTCAGAAATTCAACAAAAATAAGGCCAGGAGCAGCGGACCTGCTGGACAGGAAAAGACAGTGGGGAAGCAGTGTGGCCCCCACCCCTCCTGTGCCCACAGAGGCCCTGCTGGCTGCCAGGAAGAAACAGCAAGAAAGCCATGTAGCCCCCACCCACATGCATCAGTGGAGGCTCTATCAGCCCAAGGAGAAACATCAGGAAGCCGTGCAGCCTCTATGTGTGCCAGTGGAGACCTTGAAGGCTGGGGAGAACCAGCAAAGAAGCTGCCTCTGCCTCCCACTCACCCCTATCTGTGAGCAACTGGACAGGATAAGGCTGAGATGATAGTAACTGAAGGAGGGAAGCAACCGGACATTTATGTTATTTGATCGAATTGCAGGCCTGGGCCCAGTGGTCTGGGCAACTACTTAGAGGATAATAATATGCAATATAGTAATGATTGTACATTTCCTACTGCCCTTCTATGTTTCATTTTACTGTTCTGTTTTACTCCTTTTAAAATAAAAAATAAGCCTCTGAGAACTTGTGTGCCTCTCCCACCACAAGAGACACAGCAAGAAAGTCAGCAGAGGAAGGCTCTCCTGAAAACCTAGCCATGCTAATACGGAAGACTTCCTAGGCTTTCAGAACTTAGTAATGAATTTCTGCTATTCAAAAGCCACTCAGTTGCATTAGTTTTCTGTTACTCTAACCTGAGACAACCAATTTAAGAAGAATAAAACTTATAGGAGCTCACAATTTTGAAGATTCCAGTTCACCATCCAGTGAATTTATTACTTTTAAGCCTGTGTCACCATATTGTGATGGTACCTCCTGCCAAGGAAGTAAAAGAAATGAAGAGGTTGGGGTCCAACTCCATTTAAAGATCATGACCTAGTGACCTGAAGGTCACCCACTGACTCCAACTCTTAAAGATCCTACTGCCTCCCAATAGCACCACTCTGTGGAGTAAGCCTTGGGGAGATATTTAAGATCCAACCTATTGCACTTGTGTATTGTATTTTGTCATAGCAACCAGAATGGACTGAGATGAAGGCCATCTCATTTCTGTCTCATCTCATATTTCACATGTTGGATACACGTCCTTGTTCAGTGTCTGCCTATGGATATAGCTAGTTCAACTAAATACTGATATACTTTAGATCCTATCCCTCTGACCTAAAAGTCTTCTGTTATCTTCTGTTTTTTGATTCTTTCTTCTGCATCATTAATTTTCTCTACTGATCATTCCCTTTGGCATCCATATCTTACAAATGATTTCTCTGTTCTTATCAATAGAAACCAACCAACCTAACTGACCTAAGCAAAAGAAAACTTTACTAAAAGGGTACTGGAACCACGATCATCACCCATGTAGCACTGAATGCTAGAATCAGCCACTAGCACTGTAGCTAGTGGTGCTCTAGAAACCCAATCTGGCTGCGACCACTGATGCTCTAGGAGGCTTCTCCCCGAGCCCCCCAGCTTAAGTGTCCATCTGAGCATGCACATCTGCCTATGAAGGTCTGTGCTCTGGGCCCACACTCTGCCTGCAGGGAAGACAGAAAGTCTAGGAAGACTGCCTTTGCCCCTTCACAGCATTCATAGTTCACAATTTAGGGAATTTTAGCGATTTCTTAAAAGTGAAGAGGTTCAAATGTTACAGGAAGACCAAAAGAATAACAATTTCCCACCAAGTTTGAGTATTTTAGGAAGGAAACTGGGGCAGTTCAAGTCCAGCTCACTCAATTCATTAAAAATAAAATAAGAGGACAGGGCACATTGCTCAGTGGTAGAACCTTACCTAGCACATGTGAGGCCCTTGGTTCCATCTGGATGCTGAAAAAAAACAACAATCTTCATTTTATCTCTTCCCTCCTTTTGTGACATTTTTAAATCCCTTGCCTTTATTTTCTCATATCTTATTCATTATTAATCCTGCATCCATCTTTGAAAACCATCATATTTTCAAATCCATTGCATATTTCTGGACTTTATCTTACTTGACCTCTCAGTGCTACTGGGTAGCCTCTCTTGGCTTCTTCCATGGCAACAGTATCCACTACAATTTCTCTTTCCTTTCTGATTGTTCTACTTGGTCTTTTTTTTTTTTTTTTTTTTTTTTTAACTAGGAATTGAACTCAGGCCCTTGTCTTGCCAGGCAGGCGCTGCACCAGTGAGCTACATCCCTGGGCCCTTGATATTCCTTTTCTGACCCTTCATTTGCTCATTGTCTGTATGTTTGCTTTCATACTTCAATCCCTGCTTCTTTTCTTTAGCCCCACTCACTTTCAGGGTTTTTGGTGCCTTGAGATTCTTAGAATTCTTAAAATTCTTAACCATTCCTATCTTTAGGAGACAATGTACAAGCTGATGATCTCTTTGCTAAGCTCCCTTGAGTTTGATTTCCAACTGTCTATTTTGCACTTGCATATCTAATATACATACATTTTAGTGTTACTGTGACCATAAAGGAGTTCTTCATTTGTCTCCCTTCACTGGTTCCTTAAGAAGTTTCCACAGCACTGATAAATTGTTTCATTGTTTACCCCATGCTGAAGCCCACAGACTTAAGCAGTATCTTTGATTTATTTTTTCACACACTCATATCATCGTCATTCACAAATCCTATGTCACCTACCTCCAATATTTTCCACAATTCATTCATAACTCTCCACTCCCTTCTACTCCACCCTAGTGTAAGCCATCCCATGTCTGACTCTATCTCATCCTTCAAGAATTCCCTTGATTTTTAACTCCCCTGCAGTGCCCCTGTCACATCACCTTGTTTACTTTTGCTTAATAATTTAAAGCACTTGTGTTTTACTCTATTCATCTGTCCACTACTTTCAACTGTTTTTTAAGTACAGTTTTTGTTTTATTGGTATATAAAGACTACATTCCTCAGGGGGAGTTGGTTTACATACACGTAATCCATCTTAATTCTTGTTCATTCCTGTCTGCTCTCCCTCGGTCCACTGTTTCTTCCCTGAGTAGAAAATAAGCTTGATCAAAGCAGAAACCATGTCTTTTTAGTATATGGCTGTGTCCACTGAATCAAAATGAGGCTTGTTCCATATGTGACAGGCATTCAATAAATATTTGTAAAATAATTGAACGGATGGATAATTAAGTGTATGACTGATGTCCAGTTCCATTGAGCGTCCCTACAGATTTCCTTTGTACTGAAATGACTCATCTGCACCCATCAGTGACAGCTTGATAGCTACTTATCTTAATTTATTCATTCATTTACTTTTCAGTCTGCCTTAGACTATTGATCAGTTTCATTCATGTGAACGCTGGTAATAAAATGCACTCGGTAGCTAACAGGAAAAGCAAAGACAGTGATGCTTATCTGATCAATATCTAAACAAACGATGTCCACCCATCAATCATTCCTCTACTTCCTGCAGTTGAAAATCTCCTTGAGGGAATCATCAGATCCCCTCCATTCTGACACCTTTACGTATGGTCCCTATGGGATTCCCTCATCTACGCAGATGGGGAGGTGTTCCTGCCACTAAGCCTTTAAAAACCCCAAATTCCGAACAAGCTTTAAAAACCCACCGGAAAAGTTAAGGCTTTCCCAGGATTCTGGAAAGGAGCGGAACATGAAAGTAAGTAAATATTTATTTCCTTTATTTACTGGAGACTTTGTAGCTATTTTATAAAAAGTTTTCCAGCTTTCTGTTTTATGCTTAGGGACTATTTTAGGGGGCAACAGGTATTTGAACAAGATTGCTTTAAAATGAGAAAATCATTTTATTTTATTGAGAAAAAAGTCATTTATTCATCTCACTAAGCGGTGGAGTTAATAATAACATATTTTTGAGTAATATGTAAAGTTGGACTCTGTGTAAACCAGACTGCAGAGCGGGGTGGGGGGTCAGCTCTCCACGCTAAGCATCACAGCAGCGCCAGAAGTGGAAGATTGCAATTGTCCAGAGGGCAGGGGACAAAGCAGAGGATCCTGCAGGGAGGGGGGGGGGTTGGCAAATGACCTTCTGGTTCCTGCATTCCTGTAGGGACCCAGCAACCTGGCAGCCACGACCTTGGCTCTTCTCCTGGTGTTTTCCGTTCTGGGAGACACCCGCGGCGCTCCGCAGGTAATCAGATGCAAGCACAAAGCCCCAGCCAAGGGGCCACCACTCTTGCACCCCTCTGTCTTTCTGTTTTCCTCCTCTGTCTTGCTCCACCCACCCCCTACCTTCTTTCTAGTTTTATTAACTGCGTTTCCTTCCTCCCCGACGTGCAGAGACTTCTGGAGAGGAGGAACTGGACGCCACAAGCTATGCTGTACCTGAAGGGGGCACGTGAGTCCCCGCGCTTCGCTCTGCCCGCAGGGACCCAGAGAGTGCCGCGCGCGCCCGGGAACTGATAGTGGGGAGGGAGGGTCAGGAGTGGGATCGGACGGCGAGGCAGGCAGGAGAGGGAGAGTCCCGATGGCGAGCGATCTGCCACCCTAAGCCGGAGAGGTGCTGCTTCTTGGGGACTCGGGGCTGCCCGGCTGGTGAACGTGGCTGGGCCGGGAAGTCCGGGGGCCGGACGCCTGCAGCCCAGGGCCGCCGCCTCAGCCCGCGTCTCGCCTTTGCAGAAGGGCGCCGCTTCCTCTCCGACCAGAGCCGCAGGAAGGACCTCTCGGACCGGCTGCCTCCAGGTGAGCGGCTCCAGCAGCCGGATGCGGCGGGCGGGGCAGAGCGTGGCCCGTGCGAGTCCAGCCCCAGTGCACCGCGGAGGATGCACCCCAACCCGGCTGCACCTGCCATGGAGTCCGTGAGCGAGCGAGTGACCCAGGCCCAGGCGAGGCCAGGGGTTCGCTCAGCTCAGAGGGGTTGGTGGAGCAGGCCTGTAATCCTGGCACTCCTGGGAGGCTGAGGCAAGAGGATTGCAAAGTTCCGGCCCAGCCTGGGCAATTGGTAGCGATTTAGCAAAATCCAGTCTCAAAGTTTTAAAAGAGGGAAAGGAGGGAGGGCTAGGGATGAAGATCCTGGGTTCTGCCCCTACAACTGGAAAACAAAAACTGTGCAACTTGTCTTTAGAAACGCATCTGCTCCTTTATGGCAGTGTATTTACAAGGTTTATGCTTAAAACAATATTACTATTTTTAAATAATTATTTTTCCTAGGACCTTCAAATGTATGCCTCTAAATAATTACTAGAAAGCACTGTCAAAAGAGTCAAATCAAAAATGGTTAAGTGAAGGCCATGAGGATGGGGCTAGGGAATATTATTTTTCATAATAAATCTTTCCATGGCAGTGAATTAAAAAGCAACAATTCAATTGATTTGTATAAAATCGTGAATTGAAATGCTAAGAGTAAAAAGCATACTTACTTTGAAAAATATCAAACGTTGTGCCTACTGCAATAGTAGGCACTTAACATTTGTGTTTTGCCTCTTAAAGCTTGAAGTGTAAAGTTTCTTTCTTTTGTGATGGTAAGATTTGTTTTCCACTTTCAGTTGCCTCCAAATTAAAAAATCAAGATGTGTGTCGAACCAGCGCAATGTGTTTCTGTCAACTTAGATTTGACATCACTTTGGAAATTTAGCAGATGCTTCTCTAGTCAAATAATTATCTCTGTGTAACCACGAATGTAGATGATTGTCTCAAATTCAACAGTAGTACAGGCTCCAAGTAGGATGGTACCTATATCTTTCTGTCCAGACACCCCATCTTAAACTGCAAAAAGAGAAATTTCCCAAGGGCTCTTTCTTTTAATCCTGCTCGCATGTTTGGGATTCTCTTTAGTACAGTATAAATTTAAAATTCTCTTCCATTTCCTGCATGGAAACACAACATAACCAGCTGTAAGTCATTTTCAAGGGAAGTTGGAGAGAAAAGGCGTTCTGTATACGCTGTGTATGCTCTGTTTTGGGATCAAATATCTGTTTCATAGAGGTCGTTCTGCTGTTGTACCCTACCATTATAGCAGGTATTTATGTGAATATTGAAGTGCTAATAGAATCTGCATATGTGTTTGTTTCTCCAGAAAGACGAAGCCCAAATCCCCAATTACTACCTCTTCCAGAGGCTGCAGCCCTGTTGCTGGCTTTGTTATCGAAACCACAAGAAGGTACAAATATGATGATCTCTTTTTGCTTCAAAACAGCTTTGCTTACTTTTGGAATTCTGGGTTGAATGCAGACTTATCTACCCACATCTAAATTCATAGATATTTATTGTAGAAGAAGTATACTTCTTCTGGTTATAACCAGTTATACTTATAAGAAGATATTATATTCTTCAGCCAGTATATTTCTTATTAAAGTAAGCCCCAATCATATAAAAATATTTCTACAGTGAGATTTTGGAATTTGATATGAATTCCATGATTTGTGCCTATTGTAACATCTCTCTTGAACCTTTGACACTGAGAGAGCCTCAAGTCCAACATCATCATTTCAGTTGAAAACAAATTAAATAATCATAAATCCAGTCACTTACTAGTACAAGTTAAATCAAGTGGAATTGCTGACATCAGGTTAAATCAAGTGGAACCAGAAGTCAAGGATGCCAATTCTCAAGAAGAGAAATGCAAGGAAAAAGGGGAATAAAATCTGTCACATACAGGTACAGATTCCCTAGGAGGATTATGATCAGTATGTATATCTAAAATGTACCAATAAACATCATTATTAAAAACACAAACCAAAAAAAGAAAGAATTGTTATCAGCAGCATCATATCTGGCATGATGGTTAGAAAGAATACAGAACTCAGGGGACATTAACCAGGAGACCACAGACTCTCTCTCCCAGCTCCTAACCTGTCATGCACCTTGCCATTGCCATGCCCTGACACTTTGTTTAAAGGGAAATTTTGTAAAAGACACTAAAATGCAGAAAGGCAGATCATAGGTATTTGAGAGCTGGCATAGTTCTCAAATCTCTTGCAATGACAAGTTGAAATATAGTTGAATAATGGATAACAGATGTTATATCCAAGATTATCTTTTTTCTTTTAATTCAAGATTTAAAACTGACCAATTTTAGAACTCAGTAGGAAAAGATCTGTTGGCAGAGATTGGTCGGCAGTGACCTTTTAGATTTGATTATTGGAAGCTATAGGCAAAGTAGGATAGAAAAATGAGTTAAATAGGGATGAGGAGGGGCTAATTTTTAAAGAGGAAAGGGATGACCTTTTACAGAGGCCTTTTGCAAGTGTTTTTGCAAAATAAATGCAATTTTCTAATTAATGAAATTTTCTCAATAGCTTGTCACTGATGATGAAGTGAAGAAACAAAATATTGTTAGTCTACATCAATGGGAAATTTTGGATTTCCATATGTTATATCAATTAATAGTTTCCTGTAGTATTTTTATCCTAAAGTTCCTAAGTATTTTTTTTTTTTTTGTCTTTTGCTTTTTCTTTTTCTTTTTTATCAGTACCGGGGATTGAACTCACAACCACACACTTGCAAGGCAGGCGCTTATGCCACTGAGCTGAATCCCCAGCCCCAAGTTCCTAAATATTATTTAGAAGATTTTTCTATAGTGAATTTTTATGGCAGTGGAACATAAACTGGGTTACTTTTCTGGTTGGATGTGATTTTTTATTTTTCTCTCTAAGTAACATCCCACTATTTTTTATATTCCAAAATGTGCTAGCAATGTGGGCTAAGATATAACTCAGGCATCTGGATCGTATTATAACTGAGGGAATGTGACTGTGTTAGAGGTGATCTCAGAGGAATTAGGAGGTGCGATTTGCTTCCAGTCACTGCTCCCCCCCCCTTGCAGGTGGATTCTCGTCCACCCTATTTTTAGTCACAGGAACTTGCTACTGTCTGATTTTTAAATATCCTGCCCCGGATGTGCTATCCCATGCCATGAAGTTTTGTAGTTCTATGCAGCTAACAAATGTCCCTGCTCTTTTCTCATTCTCTGCCTGAAGAAATCATCTAATAAAGAAATATTTTCAGACAAGATCATATGTGTTCAGGATGGCATGGTATAGATACATAAAAAGGAATATTTTCAAATATGTTCCTGCACCAACTTTCCCAACTAAGAAGCATTTTTATGAAGAAATACATAGAAAGTAGGTTGACGCAAGTGACTGATTGTAATGACAGGTGTTTTAGACAAGAGACATATTCATCAGAACAAGCCATATGGTCCTTCAAATTTCTTCCAAATCTACCATGTTACAGTTTCAATAATTATAGATTCAGATGTAAAATGTAAATTTCTCAACATATCCTAAGTTGAGGGGGAAAATATACAAACCGAACAAATCAAAAGCCATTTTTACTTTTAAATTTTCAGTAACAGAGCCTACAAGTTAATACAACTGACCAGGTTAAATATCTATTTGTTGAAATTCCCTTCATCTTTTCAAACACAGAGTGTATATTAACTTTATTTTCAGATAGAGAAGAAAAATTTGATCGAAGCTGATTTCTACAAGACAGAATGCTTAGCTGGTGAAAATACACAGGATTATATTCAAGTGTACATCTATTCTTGTTGAAAATATAAATCATGTGAATAAAATAATTGGACCCTTTTTACTTCATTGTAATCCTAGAAACATGCATCATTCATTTGATTTTTTTGGAAACAAAAGAAAATGTAGAATTCTCTTTCCTTCCTTGTTTCAGGCCCGGTGTAAATCACCTTGTATATTGCTCTTGAGTTTTTAGAGCATTTCTAACGATTGGCTGGATACTCTTAACGTTTTCTTTCTTTCTGTCAGGACCAGTACCTGTCTTTATCTTAGTTGTTGGGTTTTCATTACATTACATATCTGTATTTTATTATTCCTCAGCAATGATTCTTTCGCTGTTTATCCTTTTTTCTCATTCCCCAAAGAGGCAGATATATGGTAAGATGGGAAAGACTGTGCCTCTCTGTAGTTCATCCAGGGAGATAAGCTGTTAAAAAGGGAAGTGGGATGGCTGGGAAGAAGCATCGTGAAAAGACCGCGTCAGTGTGGTCGGTGAGAGAAGGTAGGTAAGGCTGCGACCGTGGAAGGTTTGCTGAAGACCTGCAACCAGAAGCCACCTTGCGCTCTGAAGGGATCCCAAGTTCAGTGAAGAAACACAGATTTAAATATTCTTGAGAAACAGAGAAAGAGACACTCTGCTCGTGTATATGTTGTACAAAAGGAATGAACCAGTCTTTTAAAGGTAAAATCATTTTCCGTGGCTAACCAGAGTCAGTGGAGTCCAACACTGCTCACCGTAACTGGCTAAGTTCCTAGGCTATAGTTACCCCAGTAACACAGTATACCTAATAAACCTAATTTGCTTTTTTCCAAAGTCAGTCTGGTCTCAATATCATCTCAACAGACACACACACACACACACACACACACACACACACACACACACACACACACCTATGGAAATCATAGTAATTTATCTGGAGTTACAAGATCACATTATTTTTACCTGATCAACTCGGAGTTGTTCCCCATAAATGTCTTAAGTGGAAAGTACTGTTAATTATTATTGTTATCAGTATGTAGACATTACTTAATAGCCAAATAATATGCTATATGAATGCCTCTGTAATTCAAAATGATGCTTTCACTGTTAATCAAAATCATGCTTATAACATTGTCTGCATTTTGTTTAAAAATTGAATAATGAAGCCCTATGCAAGTTAATGTAATATTTATCTCTGCCAAAAATATACAATTAAAAAACTGCATAGCATTATAATAGGCACCTGTCATTAATTATGACTTTATTAGTCATTCTACCAACCAAACCCTTCTCCCTTCTTTTTTGGTGCTGGGGATTGAATCCAGGGTTTTGTTATCCTACACATGTGCTCCACTACTGAACTACTACACCCCCAACTCCCCAAATTACCACCTACGGACCCCACTTCCCACCACCATCACCATAACAGCAAACAAATTTCAACGTAAGTTTCAGATGAAACAAACTATAGCAGGATTTTGTTTTGTTTTGTTTGCAATTTTCTTATTTCTGTGGTTTTTACAAACTGACATGAGGAAGGGGTTACAGATCGAAAAATGTTCACATCTTATGAGCCTGTATCTTAAATTAGAACATGACTGATTTCAACACATATTCAGGTAATAGGATATCCCACCTGCAGCTAGGACTCAGCCACTTTCCACACTATGAAGTTGTCCTTCCTCTCTTTGCCTCCCTCCTGCCTCCAGCCTGGGCTCCCTGTTATTCTTTGTTTTCCTGTAGGTGCCCCCTCTCACCACCATGCCCGATCTCTGCATTCTGAGAAATAAGAGGGAAAAGGCAAGGAGATCTTGGCTTATTCAAATCAGTCTTCAGCCTCCACTTCTTTACCTGGTTATAATAAATAAAAGTGTGTGTCCTATCAACTGTGAGGTACATTATTTTATCTTGGCCTGAGGAGAAAGAGAATTCTCAAGTTCAGCTTTGTTACCTCCAGTGTCTTTCTACTGACTAAATTCCTTTAGGAAGAGTTCATTCCTAATTTAATGTGATCTTCACAGCCATCATGTGAAATAGGCAATGATATCACTTACATGACTTCATATAAATTTGGGCTCATCCCATGAAGCCTCTTGGGCTCTTCAAGTAGATTTGACCAGTTGCTTTTTTAATCCTCCTTCTAGCAACACGGTACTATAACATTGTAATACATCTGTGTATGCCAAACAAGCTCCACTCACCCATACTCCTGCCACAGAAGACAGGGTGGTATTTTGATAAAACTTGGGCTGCAAAAACAAAGTATCATGATGTGGGTAGCTTATAAAGAAGAAATGTGTTTCTTAAAGTTCTGGAGGCTTGGAAGTCCGACATCAAGATGTTGGCAGAATTGATGATATTGTGAGGGCCCACCAGGCAGCTCTCTGATGTTTTTTTCTTTTGTCATCAAGATTGAAACCAAGGCCTTATCCATGCTAAATATGCACTCTGCCTCTGAGCTACACCCACCACCATCTGGGGACTCTTCTTTTCTGTTCTCATGACCTAATCACGCCCCAAAACCACAACTTAATATCATCATATTGGAGATTAGGATTTCAGCATGTAAATATTGGGGGAACACAAGAGTCAGATGTCAGCAGGCATCACAATCCATTTTAAAAAGTCTTCCTGTCAATTGATGGAACACCATACACTATTTTCTACACTTGCATTCTTTAAAAACGTCAATTTTTTGTACCTTTGTTTCTTAAAACAAGACCATTTATTTATGCAACTCCTATACACACAAGGTCATCATATTAGATACAAGGTCATCTACTAACAGTCCCATTTGTTTTTCCCACCTGCTTTGTTGATCTTGGGGAAAGTATAAATAAATGACTGGGGTGGAATCGAGCGGCAGCAACTGTCTCTGTAGAAAGCCTAGTGCAAGGTAGAAATTCTCATTTCTACATTTGACACTTAAAACCAGATGTTTCCAACTCGGTTAATTTCTGCAATTATTCATACTGCACACACGTCTCTTCATAGAACTATTACCTCCTTGGACAAAAAACATTTATTTTTTAAGGTTTTATACTAATATATTTTACTGTGCACATACATCATGCTTTCAATAACAGTAAACCAATCACCAACCAAACATATCCTTTAAATATACACATTGTTATTTTATTATGGATACATTTGCATAATTGTTATAACCATGAAACTCTCCCCACTTTCATGAGATTTTTCTGGGAATTTAACAAATAGGTCTACAACAGAAATTCTTGTAATATTTTTTTCTGCTTTCTAATGCAGAGTTTTTCAAGCTTCTCTGCAGACCCTAGGTTAACTGGCATTTGCAGAGCAGTTTTCAAGAGTTTAGGGAAAAAAAGAGTTAGGCTTTAGGTAATTTGTTTTCTTTCTTCTTGAACTTCTAAAAAGAATGAATTTGCAGCCATCTTCTATTTTGGCTTGATTTGTTGCTTATATCCATTATTCCACTTGTCCTAGTCAGTGGGAAAATGGGCTGGGTTGCAGTTTTTCACTGGTCTTTAACCACAAGACACCTTGTCTTTACCACTCTCTGTCACTCTTCCACTAACCATCATAACTGAGTACCTAGAAGATCACATTTTTAGAGTCTCTATAAATGAAAGCCAACTGGTATATCAATCAAGATACTCACAGTGCACGAGATTGAAACTCACACAGTAAATGGTTACTCAGTTATTAAAAGGGAAAAAAAGAATTCAACAGTGAAATGTGCTGCTTTCATTTTTTTGCCAATGTAGATTTAATTGCAGTTAAGACATAAGCCAGCTTAAGTATAATTTTATTCAATATCTCTAAGCACATCCCAGAATATGCTAGCCATTGTTCTTATCATAATTAAACAAATATATTTTTGCTACTTTTTATAAAGATAGTTTTAAATGTTATCTTAGGTGCTAATGTGTAAAATGATTTTTAAACAAAACATTATCAATAAAAATTAAATCTTTAAATATTGATATACTTATTCCTTGGAGTTTAACAGTTTATCATTAATGGGTGTTATGGTTTGTGTCTGGGTGTTTCCCTAAAGCCTCATATAGTCATGGAGGTGGCTGAATCTAACATTTGTGATTGGTTCGTTGTCTAGCACTAGGATTGGAGGTGTGAACATTGCACTCACTCTGACAGTGGTAGCCTGCATATAATAGGTGGAAGGGAAAGAGGCATGCTCTTCCCTTTTGCCCTTTTGCTCTTGTTGCTTTTGGTATCTGCCACAGCTGCCATGAACAGGTGTCCCTCAGGCACACCATCCTGCCTTGGAACCAGCTGAGTGTGGCCTGAAACCTTCATGAACTGTGACCTAAATGATCTTTTCTTCCCAATTTTGGGTGTTGGGTATTTTGTCTCAGCAATGAAAGAAAAGTAACTAAGAAAATAAGAGATTGAAAAATTCCCAAAAAAGTTTTCCAGTTATTTGTGTTTTGTTTTTTGTCTTGTTTTTTTTTTTTTTTTTTGAGACAGCATTTCATTATGCAGCTCAGGCTGACATTTAACTCACTGTAAATACCAAGCTAGCCTGGAACTCACAGTGATCCTACCTCAGTCTCCCAAGTACTGGGATTACAAGCATGCACCATCATGCCCAGCCCAAGCTTTTCATTTAAACAACATAAAAATGTTACAGTGAGTTGGTATACTATAGGGGGCAACGTCTTCCTGTCATTGATTTGAACATGCACTGTAGATTTCAGATTCATATAACTATGCATCAAGATACAGATCTAGGATAGCTATTTTTTATGGATTTAGATAATTTGCAGCAAAGCTAAATATAAATTTATGGTTCTAACATATGCCAAAATGAAAAATAATAGTTACTTGAAATATGTAAGTAGTACACATTAATAGCTAAGTTGAGGATCTTTGGGAATTGACTGGGAGATTTGCATGGTTGGCTTTGAAAATTGTATAAATACTAAACACAGGATTATGATGACGGCAAATTAAAAAGTAAACCCTGGGTTGGACATTATGGCACATACTTATCTGTAATCCCAGCACCCCAGGAGGCTATAGCAAGAGGATTACAAGTTGAAACTCAGGCTAGACAACTTGGTTACTCAGTAACATCCTATCTCAAAAAAGTAAAAATAAACATTAAAAAGGCAGAGGATGTAGCTCAGTGTGAAGGCTGTGAGTTCCATTCTCAGGACTGAAGAAAAATAAAAAACTACTGGTAAAGAGAATATTTCTATTGCTTCCATTAACAATTTTTAAAAATTTCCAGTTTTATTCCTTCAATATTCCTCCTTATGCGTAAATTTATAGAGGAAACAAGAGGAATAATAACACGGATTTTATTCTAAATTACAAATTGCCACGCACTTACTCGGTACTTTCTAGGCAAAGAACAAGTTCCGTTGTAATGCTAAGAAGAAAATGAGCTGAAACGTGACATTTTCGTTCTTTTAAGTAGTCCCTCTGACTGTGTTCTTACTAAAAACCAGCTCCATGCAGCAAGGATGGGACTCAGTTCTTGTATTCACCGTGCAGCTTTTTCTTCCCACGAGGAACATGGCTCAGATTAAAAGGTGACTTAATGTTTAACCGATCCCTTTTGGCCTCCTCTTCCTCGTTGTATCGTTCGTCTTCATTTTCATCTTCCACATCACTGCTCTGAGGGCTGGAGGCCTGAGACACGGACGGAGAGGGTGGCACAGAGGAAGGCCTGGGGTATTTAAATCCATCTGCCTGTCAAAGACACCATGAGACAATCACATTAAGACTTGCAGTAAGGTTTTCAATTATGTAAACACTTTACATGTACATATGTTTTTAAAAGTATGTGGGTATGTTTTGTGATCTCTTCAGGTGATATTAAATTCTGATTCATTTTGACCCTGGTGTCACCAGCTTCAAGAAAGATTCATTAAATATACAATTATCTTTTATTAAGCATTGAAATGTGCCTGGTGCTATACACATGTTATCACCTTTGATCTTTTTAGCAACATCTCAACATATTCTTCCATTGATAGAAAAAATTAAAAGGCAGAGAAGTAAATGATTTGTCCAAAGTCACATGGCATAAAAGTGATAGAGTGATGATTTACACCTGGTGTCTGATGGTTCCGGGCCTTTAATCTGAACTCTATATAACTGCTAACATTGTCACTGTGTCAACTTACTAAACCCCACTGAGTGAAGAGGACAACATATATAAACATATAATACAGCCAATATGTGCCCACCCCTATGTACTGTTGCATTGTCGCTTAGTTTGTACTTAAGTGCCCTTCAATTGAGTTATAAAAAAAATTGCTGAAAATCACATAATAGTTCATGACCTTGTGGGATCACATTTCCGGCTGTCAGGGCCACCTGCAGCTTAAGGACCACAGGTGTGACACAGCTGATTTATCCTTCAGATATGCCTAGCACAATTGGAGGACACTGGCAGTTGGATGTGCCAGGGATAGCTAGTACTAGTGAGAATCCTAGGAGCCAGGCTGCTTAGTTGGCCCAGAAATTCTACCACTTGCTTTCATTTTAATTAATGGACAAATGTCATTAGGTTTTAAACAAATTGCCTCACTACCTAAGAATCACTGGGACAACTTGTTTTTGACCATGTACTAAAGCACCAACTCTGTGTCAGGTACTGCAATGGCACCAAAGAAACAAATTAGAGAACATGATCCCTGCCCTGCGCTAGGAGTGCATGTGCTAGAACTAGAAGACAATGTGAGAAAGTGTTACAGCAATTGCCAGTCTGTATTTTAACCATGTTTGCACATCACTAGTAGGGTATCATCATTTTAAGTTTCAGGTGCTTTCTTTATTTGAAAGGGTTACACATACAGAAAAGCTGGATTCTGCACTTAGGACCTCAGAAAGAGCTAAACACTTTTTAATTGAATAAATAAATGATTAAATATAGTTCAGCTATCAAGAGGACTATCTGCCTTTAAATAAGTAGTCAACTCTGAATGCTAAAAACATAAGCATGAGAGTTGGAATTTGTAGATGGAACAATCAGGGAAATCTTTTTGCCTTGTCATGGGCTAATCTTTTTGATTGCCTCCTCTGGAAACCTAACTTAAGGAGAATATAAATTATGATTAGGCAGATCATTTACAATCAAAGTAACTACTGGTTGAGATCTTTGATCAGATGTGTGATCGGTATGATCAGATCCATGTGAACTTGACAGATTCATAAACACTTAATAGGGATCTGTAGTTTTGGGGGTTCTTGAATATAACTCATAATTGAGCCTATTGCTTTGAGGGATTGTGGAAGCCTACTTTTAGAGGTTTGATGAGATATCAGCTCATTTAGAGCATAGAGCCCCTCAGCCAAGGTGGATCTTTGGCTGATTATTTGTTGAGATGGATTCTCTCTTACTCAGGCTGGTCTGGAACTTGTGAACTTCACACCTCACACTCCTGAGTAGATGGTAATGTAGGTGTGCACCACACTGTGCTAAGGCGATTCTTGTATCCAACAGTATGAATCTTATCTCTCTGCACCTTGATGTTACCTAGTACACAGGAAGCCAAACAAGTTTAGCTCTTGGGTCACCATTTAGGCTTCTGCAATGACTGATCTCACTAAAGAGAAACAGCTGACACTACCCTGCTTCAAGTTGCATTTCCTGTCTTCTCTACTTCTAAGTGAATCTCAGGGCAAATGTGACCTATGGTGATCTCGTGAATATAAATGCCTCACTTAAATTTAGACAAAGACTCCCTGTAAGTCACTGCTGAGTGGTACATAAATGCTCATCTGTGCTAGTTGCTCCTCTGATGCTTGAATTTATTTTGTTCTTGACAAATGGTCATCCTATATTTAACACACACGCTGGATAGTAAATGCACTCCCTGTTGAAGCAGCCCAGTTATTTTTTGAACAACCTCCAACAGAATGGATCACTTTGAGGCTCACCGCAGAGTTTTAACACAGAGAGGCCTCTCCAATCTACTTCTCCCAGACTAATGAATCAGGGACTTTGAGATAGTCATGTTTGTGAATTTCTTAATTCTTTGCTTTTATTAAACATACTCAAGAAGTATATTTTTAGATTGAAAAGTTTTGTTAGAGCTTGTTACAAATAAGAAATGTAGTTTTTATTAAATATTTACCGTTGGTAGTGACATGAATTCCACATGGAAGTCATCTGGAAAAGCTCTGCTTAATGTCAGATGCCTGGCGTGCTGGTAAAACTATTGACAGAAAGACAGTTCACAATTTAAAGGAGAAAGGTGCTTGGGTATTTCAAAATCCAATTTGAATATAAGGGCTATTCTCCTTGTTCTAAAATTTATTTTAATACATAAAAATTTAAAAGTTATATATATTAATAGTGTAATATTTTGGTACATGTATATATTCCACTGAAACACACATACACACAACAAATATATAGAGAAGAGAATCTATTCTTGTTAAGTTTGAGAATTAGGAAAGAAACAATAACCTATAGTTTTATTGTTTTTCAAAACACAGGCCAAAAAACCACTAGAAAAGTGTTAAAATCGAGCAGCAGTACTGGCCATCCTGAGTCTTAATTGCATACTACGGTAACTGAAAATACTGGTTTAATTCTACAGGGAAACAGAATGACAGAAAAGAAAGGAAGCCTGGATAGTCAGACAGGCTGGATATAAATCCTGCTTCAGAGCTGAGGTGAGAAGCATGACGCCTAATAGCTTTGCCTTTCTATTTTAATTATACAGTGGAGGCAGTAAAGTTAATCATCCAGCTTATACTGAGGATGGCATTACTGTGCATAGATTCAGCCAATAGAAGCATCTGGTATTTGACCCAGAGGACTTAGTAATATGCAAGTAGATTGCATGAAGGAAAACTCAATTTATTTAACATTGAATCACTTATTTCTAAGACATGTGAACATTTATATACCTACTGCATAATTGACAGGAGGTTTTTTCAGTTCTTGTCATTTGAAAAGCAGCATCATTTCCAGCTCTTACTGTAGTTGGCAAATATGATCACGTTACCTTTCTTGAGAAAGACTTTAATAAAGGAGATCCTTTTCCATCCCTTAGCTTGTCCTGATAATTTCCCTGATTTCAGGAAATGTTTTCATATGGTTGCACTGTATCAAGTTAAGCACTGACAATAGAATAGGTAGATCAATGCTAGATCCTGATGGACCTGCTATTACGCATAGACTCAAACTCAATGCTAAGGGTTGAATTTAGGTCTTCGAAAGCTCATGTTAAGTTAAAAAGGACATGGAAATACACCAAGATTTTAACAACTGACTCTACAGATTATGACTAGAATCCATGCTTTAGTAGTTCAGTGGAACTTTTAAAGTGGTTCCTCTGTGTTCCCCAAAAACTTGCTTACTCTGCCCAAGTATCTCCAGTCCAGAAGATCTGAGAGCCTCTCAGTCCGGTTCCTCTGGATGATTCTTTGGCGGCGTGACTGTTTGCAAAATCCATAAAGAAACTGAGTCAGCTGATTGCAAGAATCATCTGGAGAGCGGAACCGCCTATCCACAATGTAAATACCTGAAAGGCACAAAAGCCAAAGCACTGGTAAAAATAGGTTTAATCTTAAAATATTCCTCCTATTCTTTATTATATGTATGATTCTATCAAAGAACATATGCACCATCTGCTCCCTGACTTAACTACCACCAGGCTTCATTTTTCTCTTTTCTAAGGCTTTTTAATCTTCTGTGGTCTTCTAATGGCTTAACTATCATAATCAGCCAACCATGTGGATCTTACAAAAAAAAAAGGCTGGGTATCTAGGGATATGTTGGATCAGTGATCCTCCAGGGGCTTCTCTCTAACCAGGATCTCTCAGGGAGGACCTGGATTACTGCTTTTTAGCTTCCTCAAGCCTTCCCACACCCTCTAGTCTGAGAAAAGAGTACAGCGACAATGCAATAGTAAAGGAATTGGCAGCATCCAGGCACACAGTCCACCCTATCCTAATTGTGTCCACGCTATCCTAACTGCTCTTGCCACCAGGAAACACGCACAGATAGAGAGTGATGTGCAAACTTTCTTGCCGTCTTAAACAAGTCAAGGGTTTTACTAGCTTGGCACGAATAGTAATATCAATAATAATATATGTATATATGAAAGCAATACGTATGATACACATATATCAGAATTATACACATATACTTAAATATATAATAATGCATTTGTTTTAAATATAATGACTAACACATGTACTCTAAGACCATGGTGATTATAATATCACTTCCACAAAGTAGAGGGCAAAGGTGAAACCAATGCCATTGGGGGGAAAAATAGGTTAAGGGTCAAGTTTGTCCAGGTGTTGCACTGCTTTTGTGGTCTGACTTTGGGGCAATATCTTTGACATTAATAGCATTCAACTATAGGCCACCTAGCTCAATATACTTTTAATGAAATAAGAAATGCAAAGATTCATTTACTCATCAGGGCAGCTGTAAAGTTAGGCTCTGATAAGACCCTGTGCTCTCTTGGTTAGAGGTTATGTCTCCCCAGATTAGGCTGATGATGAAAACCTCACCATAAGCAGTCGGATCAGCCACATGCTCCTGCATGAAACAACCAAAGCCGGAGAGGTTTGTGGTCACACTGGGGATCCCCATCACAGTGCATTCGGCTGTCAGGACAAAGAGACAAAGGCAGGGTTGGCTTCAGAGCATCTTCATTAGCATGCAAAGGAGAAAACCACCCTAATTGGTTTAGGAATAGCTGTTTACTTTATGCCAGGCAGGGACTGAGATCTTTCCATGTTTGTAAATGCATTTAAATCTGCACAGCAAGCCTATATAGAGATACTGTTGCTATCCCTGGATAAATGGAAGTACAGAGAAATTGAGTAATATGGCCAACTTCACAAAGCCAGAGGAAGAGGTAGAGCAGGGTTTGAACCAGGAACCCAGCTCTGGGATCCTTGCTAGGTGGAATGTCTGTGCTCTCCTGTCTGTTCCTCCAAGTATACATAGGTATGTTTTTGATTTGCTCCAACCTGAGCCTGCAACTCTACTTGGCAAATGGAGGGAGTAGGATAAATATGATTTGGGCATGAGTAGCTTCTTGTCTCATGTCAATCTCCTTGGCTTAAACCTCTGCCAATTTTGTAGATGCTCAAAGAACCAATGAGCTCTTTCAATACTTTCTCATTTTTGGTCCAAATTTGTTTCTTAGAAAACATAGTATATCTCAAAAAGTCTACTGCTCTCAAGGAGGTATCTTTTTTTTGTTTTTGGTTTTTGAGACAGCATCTCAGTGTGCAGTTCAAGATGGCTTCAAACTTGCTATGTAACATAGGCTGGGCTCAAACTAGTCATCCTCATCCTCCTGTCTCAGCCTCCCAAGTGCTGGGATTATAGGCATGTGCTACCACACCTGAGAGAGGTATGCATTTTTTTAAATTTTTATTTAAAGAAAGACTAAACAAAACAGAAAAAGGGTAGAAATAATACATACTTTCAAAGAAAAAATAAAAAGTAAGGAATCACTAACTGATGATTACACATCATCCTCTTACAAATAGTTGTTCAAGTTACAAAAATGAAGCATACAAAGTGGGGATTCAAACAGCAAGACTGCAAACAGTTCTGTCCAACTATCCAACAAAAATTTAGTAATATGGTCATCAATCCTATACATGCAGTCATCCATGCCTTCATTTATGCTAAGATTAAACAAACTAAAGCAGGCTAAAATCACTCTGAACAAAGAATAATAGTATTGCTGGATTTCACATCATGACACTACAGGATCAGCACTGGGTATTGTAGTGTCTCTTTTTCTTCGAAGTAGTTGTTCATTACATCATGCATTATAAGATCAATTCTCGTAAACTGTTTATAGGTTCTATGTATGCATGAGTCTCAACATGTATTTCTATCCTTTCTATATTAGAGGGAGAAACAAAACAAAGCAAGAGAAAATAAAACATATTCCTATAAACACATGAACCAAAAAAGTCATATAAAACCACTGTACAACGTGTTCTACCATGGTTCCTGTGTTGTTTCTTGTTATCTTCAATAGAATTGGCTGTATCATCAGACATAGTATAATTGAATATAGCAGTACCTAATAAAAACATAAGTTTGTAGATAGCGTAAAACTTGAAAAATAGGGGTTGGAGGTTTAGCTCAGTGGCATAAGTGCCTGCCTTGCAAGCAGGCAGTCGTGAGTTTGATCCCCGGTACCAATAAAAAGGAAAAAGACAAAAGAAAACTTGAAAAACAGGTAATAATCAAACAAGAATGGGTATCCTGGTGAAGAGGTATGCATTTTTAATGAAGAGTTTATATCTAAATATTGAATTTCTATTGGTTGTTGATCTGGTGTGGGTACAAAAGTAATCTTTCCCTTATCCATGAAGTAATACAGTATGGACAGTAGCTTCATTTCTTGCTCAAGCATTTCCTCTTGGGTTAGATCTCCAGCTAGAGATCAGTGGTTCTCCAGTTTGGAGGTGTAGTAAAGGGGAAGAAGACAGATGGGAATTACAAATCTCTGTGAGAATCTGATGACAGTTCTGGAATTCCTTCCCAGACAAATTTAATTCACATAACTATGTACACACAATTTTGCCTATAATTTCATTTTCTTTTTCTCTCCTCTATGCTCTGCCCTGCCCTCCTCCTCCTCCTCCTTCTCTTCTTCTTCCTCTTGTCTCTGTCTCTCTCTCTCTCTCTCTGTGTGTGTGTGTGTGTGTGTGTGTGTGTGTGTGTGTGTGTGTCTCCTTTCTTCCATAATAGGGATTGAATTCAGGACTTTCTCACTACCTACATGCCCAATCTTCTTTTTTATTTTTAATTTTGAAGCAGGACTATGCTACATTGCTAAACTAGCTCAGACTGGGTCCAAAGTGGCAATCCTGCCTCAGCCAAACAGAGTGTTGAGATTACAGGTGTTCATCACATCAGCTAGATCTGTACTTTGTTTTTCTTATTAAACTATTATTAATAAACTTTGTAGTAAAGTGCCAGGCGACCATGTAATCCTTAATTAATGAAATAAGCATTTTTATTAGTTTAGCTTTCTTAAAACATTGAGCAGACTTTAATGAATGCTTCCTATAGTAAATTAGATCCAATATCACATATGACTATTCTACAAAGAAATCAGAGCGTTACCTAGTATACAAAAACTAGATTTATGCCACCAGAAGTCTTGCCATTTATGTAACTGCAGGTTGGGTGAGGAATGACAATTCCCTCTGGATAATTTAAAACAGAGTGGTTTATCAATTATGTAGTACTCTATAAATTTCTTTCCTCATCAATAAACCATTTATCTGGTCTTTATCTTAGAACATTAACTGAAGCTTGCCTAACATTTTAGGTTATTCAGTTTAACCTTGTTGTATGGAAAAGCATTTTGGAGGAAAGGCAAAGAATGTTAGCTGCATGACATTCTTTTCACACAGTAGAAATGAATCGTCACATGCCTCAGTCATTCATACATTTGGACTTTTTCCTCCTCTATCTGTGATAGGTCTTATAGTAAATTGAATTGCTTCCTAAGAATAGTAGAAGCAAGTTTCAATAACATTGTGTTAAGTTCACTGGTGAACTATTTTCTTCAGTACTCTACTGAATGAGCTAAGAGGCTTATGCAAACACTTCATAAGAAGCCAGCACTGTAAGAAAAGTTAAACCGATGCCAGTGACAAATTTTTGAGCTACAAGAGAGTGGTTCAAAATCAAGAAGCGTTAGCTACATTTTTCATGGTATGTTTCAAGAACATGGTAGTAATCCTTTGTTGAAAATTTTTAAGATTTTCATAATTGCTGGCAAATTAGCTTGGTGGAACCTAAAAAGAGTAGAATAGCACTAGAATAGAATTAATATAGGCAGAGAGTGAAAACTCTAAAATCCTATCTTTATGGGATTGTAAATTCTTTATTTAAATTCTAGGGGAAGAATGCACATATAAGAAAGTTGTTTATTTTATCCCTTGTGTTCTGTTCTGTTGTTTGTTTGTTTGACAATCCTGCTATATTTTCCAGGCTGGTCTCCAGAGAGCATCCCAGCGCAGTCTACCATAGCTGGGGTTACAGTCAGCCCCCCTTAAAGGGCTACTTCTTTCCTTTCTTCGTTCCACCTATTACCCCCTTACCTTGGCCTCTGCTGCCCCTTACTGGAGTTTCTGCTCATCAATGGCTTCCAGATGTAAAAAGCAAAATTTAGTCTCTTAATTATCAATAACAAATGTTTTCTGAACCTTTTCTTTTATTGTCTTAAAAGGAATTGTATCTAAATGAGGATGACTATCTCTGATTATCAATAAGAGACAGGGAAAGTCATTTTTTATCCTTTATCATTGCCACGCAGTTAAAGTATTTGTTTCCCTTTTAATTGGTCATTTCAGCATTAATGCATAGTCCTTGTTCTTGATCACAACTGTGCTGCTAAAAGCCAGAAAGGACAAACAAAAAGTGGACCTGAGAATACACCATCTCTAAAAAAGAAAGGGAAATGGGGAGAATAAGCTCTAAAAGGGAACGATGTCGTTAATGATGATATCTACCTTTAACTGCCTTTTTTCTTAACAGCACCCTTTTTTAGGGGGACACATGTGAAAACAATTTTTTACTGTATTTTTTATGCTAATTGCTTCTTTAAACATGTGGCTGTATTACTCATTACAAATAAATACATCTGTTAATTTTTTAAAAAATGTATCTTCTGGAATAAATTTTCAAGGACTATATTCCTGGGTTATTATTTCTCATATTACTCGCAGCTAACTTCTCCTCATTAGTGCATGGGTTGGGTGGAGATAACTAACTAATATGCAACCTTAAGAAAACATTGTTTTTTTTCTTTGCAATCCCATGAAGCAATAAATCACACTGTGGTGTACTTGTATAATTTTGTCCTGATGCTTAGTATCTACAAATCATAAAATTGACCCCTGAGATAGAGCCAACCAAAAAAACTGAAAAATCAAAACCTTAGTATGTACTACCTATCAATTTAATGCTATACATATCCATGTGATATAGTATACTACTTACTCCATAGTTGATATTTTTCATTTTCTTTTTCTTTTTTTTTTGTCTTTTTTGAGACAGGGTCTCACTATGCAGTTCAGGCTGGCCTTGACATAGTTGATATTTTTCACATACCTGGAGTATAACCCCAGGGTTCATAGTATGATGGGAACACACCAAGATGACAACCTCGGACGAACTCTTCATAATCCATCGGCAACAGAGGGCTGGTGGAGGATAGAAATTCTGGGTGCAAAATTATCTAAAAAGACAAATTCTAATGAGAAAAAGAAGGAAGTAAAGCAAAAAGTCCCCTACATTTGGTTATTTTACTGCTTTAAGAATACTTGTGTTCTGTATTTGATAGGGAGAGGAAGAGATAAGAAAAAAAAAGAAAAAGAAAAAAAGATTTGGTCTCTTTTCCTTCTCACTTTACTTATTCTTTGGTATTGGGGATCAAATTCACAACCTCATGCTTCCAGGCAGGTGCTTGCACCGCTGAGCTACACTTCTAGCTCATTCTAGTTACTCCTTAAATAAAAGTACGCTCTGCAGTCTTAGCTTTCCTTCTGGCGTACAAGAGGGCCCACTTTTGCTATCCCACAGAACAGTGTCTTCTAATCTTGCCTTGAGCAGCAACAAAGGTTATATTTTGTTCTCGACTGATGACTTGTCTTACTTATTAATTTATCCAAGTTGTGCAGAAAGGGGGCAAGCTATGCATGTAATAGACCGCTGTGTCATACCCTGAGCCTGAGTTGACCAAATGAAATGGAACTAAAGGACAGGGAAGATGTTCTCGTAGTCCTGTCTAGATTCAGTCACACATCCAAGCTGTCACCCTCTCACCTAAGATGCCTTTGCTTCTGTTTCATGACATTCTCTATTCAACACAGCCAAGTGACCCTTTAAAAATGTTGGTCACAGACAGATGTAGTGGTGCACACCTATAATCCCAGTACTCTGGGAAGCTGAGGCAGAAAGATTGTAAGTTCAACCTCAGCCTGGACAACTCAATGACCTAGACAGACTTGTGAAAAATAAATAAGGGGCTAGGAATGTAGCTCAGTGCAAAAGCCCTGGGGTCAATCCCCACCTTGTTCAAAATTCCATTCTATTTGAAGTAAAAGGCAGTAAATTTATGCTGACCAGTACGCAATGGTGTGCTGGTGTTTAAAAATTGAAAACCAATGTTTACATGGGTATTTGTATATAAGTGCATTCTAGGTTTTAATCATAAGTTATTCTTAGTGTATTACCCCAAGTAATAAAAAAGTACACATATCAACCTGCACACTTCATCACACACACTGTGTAGTCCTGGCGCCAGGCTGGCTCTGACTTTCTGCTTCAGGCAGTGTGACCGCTGTGTGCCCTTTCGTCACCTGCCTAAGTGCTGACACCTCTCTGGATTACCTGTACACCCCTCCCACTCTGGTACCTGTGCAGGCTCCACTCAATAGCTGTAGAAGCAAATTGTTCTAGAAGGAAAGAGAGAGGAAAAGGCAGAGAACAACGAACAGGGGCACTGCACTTTTCATGCTCTGTTCACAGAATAAGAATATTTATTCTTCCAAAGCGATTACTTTGAAGAACACCCCTAATTTGGAGACGTACCAATAATCATAACACTTTTATATAACACTGAATATATCATAAACAGTTTTCACATACAGTAGCTCATTTCATCCTAACAACACTGTGAGATGAAATGAATGGGTATTCTTATTATCCTAATTTTAGAATTTTGGAAATAAAGAAACCAAGGCAGAGCAGGGCCATTGGTTTATTAATTTTAAATTGACTTTATTATTTTATAATCATATCACATGCCAGGAATTAAAATAAAGAAATACTCAGAAGTCTTCATTTTAATGGAGAATTTTGACTCATTGATCTACGAAGATCTTGACTCTCAGTGGATCATAGGAGCTTGTTAAACTGAGGAAGAAATAAAATTGTACAACACATGCAAAATGTTCAAAGCCAGTACCTAAGACGGATGGTTTCTTCAGGCATGAGAGTTACAAAATGGCAAAGCAAATGGATAAGCTATTTTCTTCCACAAAATATGATTTGAGTTCCTGGTAGATGCAAAGTAATGCACTAGAAAAAGAGACAGCCTGCAAATACTGTATTGAGCAAAAGTGAAATCTGCTACCCAAGGGTTCTGCTCTCTTGGCAAAGAATCAGAAAGAAGGACTGGAAAATTATTGTACCTATTTCAGCATTTCCAGTTTAGAGAAAAGTTGCCCTCTCCACAGTCCTATTTTGTAACCCAAAACATCATGGCTCATTTGTTTTGTCCCCAAACAGTGTAGCCGCATGACTCAACCTAAGAACAGCCACCTGCAGAAGCCAAGGGCAGAGGAAGGGATTCTAGAGGTCAGTGGAAGGTTGTAGAAAGGATTAGGTGAGATTTTATAAACAAAGGATGCCACACGTGGCTCACAACAACCTTTTAGCAAGAAAAACAAAACCAAACAAATAAAAACTCCACTGGCTTTTTATTTATCTCAGAGAGAGGTGAGGTTCCAGGAAGCTGATTTATTTTCAGAGTAGTAGCCCAACCTACTCTGAAAATAGAGTACAAACAGAATTAGAGGCAGGGATGTGAAGTAAGACAGTGTGATTATGAAATAGCTCAGATCTCCTACAAGGGTCCTGGCCCCAGAGATCTTGATTGACAGCTGCAGCTGCCTGTTCCCCTCAGCCTATAGCCTGGCAGAGACACAAGTGCTGATCCATTTCTGCCTGCTGGGTGATTTCTCTGGTGGGCAATTCTTGTTTGTGAAAGCCCTAATGCTGTTAATAGTTATCTCTATTAAAACCACTGAGTTCATTGCTCATAGAATGAGATCCCCTGGTAGTTGCCACTTGGAAATTTCTTTGTTAAATAGAAGGTATACATACATGAAGGTATACTGAAAAGAAGCATTTCTAAATACAGAAAAAAATAGTGTGTACTAACACTGATATATTTAAAATAAGTCAAAAATAAGCCGTTTTCCATACATGGATATGCAAAACACAATAATAAGCCCCTTTCACGTTCAGAAAGAAAGCATTATAAAATAATGGTGAATTTGTGTTAGTAGCAGATAATGCTACAAAGTCGTCATTTGTATTTTTGTGTGTACACGTGTGTCTGTGTGTGCATGCATGTATATGCTTGTGAGTGGTTTAGGTCCATTAACTTACAAGAGTTAGTACTGGTCCTGTACCTCTGCTCCTCCCCTTTGTGTATCACTGTTAGTCTGCTGTTTTTAGTGTACTTTTTGGTAACTAGTTTGCTAACTAATTTTGATTAATTCTAGTTTTTCATGAAATACATTTAACTTTCCTTTCAGCAAAGGAAAAAGAAAAAAGAAAGAGAGGAACCAAGGCAGGGAAGGAAAGAAGGAAAGACAGACTGAGACATTTTTGAAATTGGGCTATAGTTTATGGATCTTCCTGGCTCATTCGGTCTGCCCCCCTATGTGGGTGGCTGATTGTATCTGCCGTCTGCTCTTGCTTTCTCCCACGGCTTCCCAGGCATTTCCTCTAATGAGCCTTTTGCGTATCTAACCTGTCTGCACATCTGCTTCGGAGAGGACCCTATCCGAGGCTACATTATGCTTCAAAGAACTCACAGCCTTTCTAAACATATGGGCACATAAAATTCTTGAAAAACAATTTACTGGATAATTTATATAATTGCAGTAGATATACAATGCCTTGGGAATGTGGATGAGGAAACAACTGTTCTGTCTGGCATAGAGTAACGTTTTAGGGAAAGGAGCCAGGGAGACATGACTTGCTGGTTGAATCTCAAAGACATTGTTAGAATGAATGAGATATGAGAATTTCACAAACAAATAATATCATCAACCAATACAATGGTGTTGAGTGTTAATATGTTTAGGAGGTACTTGTCCATTCCTGAAAAATTGTTTCACTGATACAAAAAAAAAAAAAAAAAAAAAAAAAAAATTTAAGGCTGGGGCATGGCTCAGTGGTAAGCTGTTTGCTTAACATGTGTGAGACCCTAGGCTTGGTCCTGAGCACTGCAAAGTGAGAGAAGGAAGGAGAACAAATTAAATACAGGTTGGCAAAGCACTTTCTGTTCAGTGCTCCCAATTGCAGGGAATCTTTCAGCCACAGTTTTCCCAAGAGTGACAAAAGCATGGATCATTGTCAGGGTCGTGACCTGTCATCCTTTCTTCACCCTCCCAAAATCATCCTTCTCATCTCTACTTCTTGTCCATGGCTTGTACTGATGTGCAGACTTCACACAGGTCCTCACTGGAGGAACCCCAGAATTAGACATGGGTGTGACATACAAGGAGCTGCAGAAAACAGAAATGTACAGAAAAATAAGAATCTATCTTTGTCTCTACCTTTCTATGAAAAAAAAATGGAGAAAGATAGATCAGATGAGCTATGTGCTAGCAAGGACAAGTTAGTAATGACACATTCCACAGACAGATGTCTCTATGACTCCAGTCTGATGGGAAAAATATGTAAAGGATGGAGCATCTGTGACAGAAGTAGTCTACTTTTCTAGAAATGTGCTTTCTTGCTGTGGGAGGTGGGTTAAGGGTGAAAATTTGCACATACAGGAGCACAAACAAGAAATGGAAAAGCACTCACAGGCGCATGCCACAGGACAGTACATGTGAATGTGTAAGTATGTCTGACATGGCATGAGACCTTGTGTAAACTGCTTCGCTGTATCGTGAGCCTTTTCCACCATTATGAAAATTTCTTCTACCTTGAGTTCTGAAATACTTTCCTAATTTTCTGCTTTTTTCTTTTCCTAGGCTTTCTAACCTTTCCTGAAATCTTGAGGGTTCCTTAAATAAACATTTTTTTCACTAATTCCACCCATTTTCAAGGATTTCTCTTGTTTCCATCATAAGCCATGTGTCAGTAACTTCCCCTTGCAATTGCCATTTGAGGCCCAAACCTGTTTCTAAGTTTGTATTGTAAATCTCAGGTTGGGCATCTCACATGTCACTCAAACGAAATCTAACAAAAACTGAACTCAGTTCATGACATTACCTTCAAACCAGCCTCTCTAGTCTTCCTTTAGTTTTTAGAAAGCATTGGTTACATCCTCAAGGCAGAAAATGATTATATTTGACTTCTCCCTGTTTCTCACTACTGGTGTCCACTGGTGTTATGGCTTATACCTAAATGTTCTCCCAAAGCCTCATGTATTCATAGGTGAAGTTTTCAGAGGTGGCTGATCTAGAGTGTGTGAATATGGATTAAGGAAGTAAGATAACTAAATTAGTCCATTGATCGGTTTAGCACAGTAATGGGAAGGCCCACTCTGGGGTGTGTGGCACCAACCAATTGGCTTATCGCCTGAATGAATTAAAAGGGAAAGGGAGGCTCAATGCTGCTGTTTGCTGTGTCTTGCCTGTTACACCATGAACTGTTTCTCTGCCATGTTCCTCTGCCGCATGACCCTGCCTCAGAACCCGCTGACCACGGACTAAAACTTGTACAAACTGTAAACTAAGATAAAACTTTTACTCCTTTAACTTTTGAGTGTTGGATATTGAGTCTCAGCAATGAGAAAAATAACCAAGACAGAATCTAAGAATATATCACTTTTTTCAAAACATCTTACAGCAAACAATAAGAAAGGCAGGAACATTTAAACATCAGAAGGAGAGAGGGTTAAGACAAAATTTGCCTTCCAGTGTGGAGAAATTTAAGAAACATTTGTAGAAAGCAAACAAAAGGCTAATTCTAAGGAAGAAATCTTCAATATTAGAAAGTATAGCAGCTGGCCATGGTAGTGCATCCCTAGGATCCTAACATCCTAGAAGACTGAAGCGGGAAGAGCACAAATTTGAGTCCAGCCTAAGCAACTTGATGATTTAGTGCAACCTTGTCTTTAAAAGAGGGCTGGGAACACAGCTCACTCTGAAGGCTCTGTGTTCAGTCTCCACTATGATAGAGGGAAGGGAAGGGAAGGGAAGGGAAGGGAAGGGAAGGGAAGGGAAGGGAAGGGAAGAGAGCTAGAGATATAGTTAAATGATAAAATACCTGCTTATCATGTAGGATGCCCTCAATTTAGTTCCCAGCACCCAAAACAAAATCAAAATTTAAAACTGGAAAGGGAAGAGAATAGATAGAGCACATTTCCTAAGGTTACAAGAGTGAATGAAATGTTGAAAATGGAGGGAAACAAAGTCATAATCTTTATTTGAGGCCACTGTGAGAGGTCCTGAAGAAGCTTATAATTTATTGAATCCTCAAGACAATCATCTGCTAAAAGTGAAAGGAAAAAAGAATTGGGGGCTTTGAAAAGATTGGTAACAGCCTGTAATGATTTGCTCATAAACACAGATGGGCGGAAGTGAGCAAAGTTAAGTCATGTTCTGTTTCTGTGCTGTCCTCTGGCGTCTGCATCAGGTACCAGGTCTGGCACAGAGCCGGCTTGGTAAATATCATGAGATTAAACTCCACAACGGAGAAACAAGTTGATTCATGTAAATACTCTGAGCAAATAATTCTGTGCTTAGTTGTGGTCGAAACTCAAGAGTAAAAGAATTCACTGATTGGCAGAAAATTAGATAAAAATATCCTGTAAAACTGGAGGCTTTTTCATATTATTGTCTTAGACTGAATTGTATCAGGAAGAAGTAAACATACTTCCAATTAGTACTATATTCATCAATGTGATTCTTAGACTGTATTTGTATCATTAAAAATTAGGTGATTTTTTAATGCTTATTGATACCATCGTACAATGAAAACAAAGATTAGGGTTATAACTCAAAGCCATGGGTATAATTCAGTTTTCAAGAATGATCTAAAATATTTGTTATACTCTAAGTACCTAAAACAAGAAACAACTAATTTTCTATAGAAATGCTTTAGATATTTCTGGTAGATGTTGAATGACACATTCCATGACACATGCTAAGTCATTTGGAAGTACCCTTCATACCCAATTAGCTCTACCTTGACTCTGTCTGAGCGGCTGTTGAAAAGCCCGAGCCTTCGAATGGTGCTGAGGATGGGATCTGTGGAGTCATCGATCATGTTATGAGTTGTCACAGGTGGCAGAGAATGTCTCTGAAGACACGGAAGGAAGAAACTGTCAGTCGTGGAAGGCATTAACAAGCGTGACTAATTTCAACAACAAACCATTGACATTTGAGGCAACCTTTAGGTGCTCAGTCTTGTAAGATGACGAGGTGGTGATGACTAAGTTTCGTGTGTATTTCAGAGGAAGATAATTTCTTCCAGAACTTTCTGCACAGACTGTGTACACATTAAAGCTGTTTCTTTTACCCACACCCACTATAGCAAAGGCCAGACTTTCTGACTGCCTCTGAGATTTATCTGGAATCTGAGGGTGTTTGCAGTCTTACTCAGGATGAGCTTCTCCGGAGTCCTCTACCACAGCTGTTCTTTGGTTCCTGGTATCTCACTCTTAGGCTTTGGGAGCAAGCCTGAAACATTTGTTTTACCTCTTTTTGCCACAATTCCGTTCAACTGAGAATATTTGCATTTTTCCTACTCTGACAAATAATATGCCTTTGGAAAAATTTAGTGGTTTTTGGTTATTGCATGCACAGTTTTTCAGCTGAACACATTAGGTACAAAGGAATTTTGTTAAGTGGATACAAGAACCAATTTCACAATTTTAAAAGACTTTTTATTGTTCTTCCCATTTTACTTTTATTAATACATGTTGTGTTATATAATGAATGCATTCATTGTGGGGAGCTGGTACATGTACATGTCGTATCTTAATCCTTATTACTTCTTCTTCCCCTTCCCATCTTGTTCCTCCCATCTTCCCCTTCCCTTGATCTGCTCCCCACCTACATGTCATCTACTCTGTTTCCTATCACTTATCTTTGATTTTGCTCTGAAATTACTTATACTTTGGATAGCTCATAAAAGAAAAACCATACAATACTTAAACCGTGTCTGATTTATTTCACTAGAAATTAGGTCTCATTTCACTAGAATTATGGAATCAAGGTGCATCAACTTTCCTATACATGACTCAAGTTTTCCCTCTTCATAGCTGAGTAGCACTCCATTCTCTCTATATATACCACATTTTCTTTATTTAGGCCTTTTTTTTAGGTACCAAGAACCAAGCTCAGGGCCCCACACTTGCCAGGCAGACTCTTCACTACAAAACTACATGCCCAGCCCCACATTTTTTTTGTTTAGAAAGAAGCTCACAAAACTACTCATAAAAAAACATACAAAGTCATTACTAAAGTTGATTCTCAGGTCTACAAACATCCCTAATTGGCATAATAATCTTAGATTAATTTTAATAATTATGAGAAATGGTGGATATTTTTTTATTTTACCTGAGTTGAAAAGATAGCTCTTTTCATAATTGTCAGGTCATCTCGATCCAAAATATTATTCATGTCAGGAATTTCTCCTCTATGAAAAAAATAATATTAATAATAAAAATAGAAACAATTGGTGGCAATCCAGTGCTAAGAACCAGATATATCTGTTCTACATTTTATTTATTTTTAAAATGTTATTATGTATCAAGTAAAGATAGTAATGTAGATTTCACATAAGTATATATTATATAATATTACATATAAATCATTTATGTTTTGAGTTGGAGACTCTCTCAGAAATATTAACCAGTAGTGATTCCTCCCTAACTTAAAGCTTGCATAGTCAAATTTGTTTTCCTGCATATAAACTATTTTCTGGTATTTTTCCAATAAAAGATAAAACATTGCTTACATGACATATTACATCTCCAAGAGCTCTTAATTTCTTCATATTTGGAACAAAATACATACATGACAGTATCTAAATCATGACATCTGAAATATTAAGCCTTCCAAGCCCCTACCTTAACAATCCATCATAGAGTTTCTTTCCAAACTTTTCCTTCATCGAATGTACAGTGTCCCTGTTTGAAATAGAATGATTTCTAATTTAGGTGGTATCATAATTTTTTTATTTTCCTTTGTCATAACAATGCAGTTGCTTCATCAGCATTCTTTGAAATTACAGATCCTCTTTAGAGATCTTCTTTTATGTTCGACAATTCAGCTTGAGTAAGGAACTACAGAGCCTTGGAAACAGAACCCTGTGACCAGCACAGAGAGCTTAAATGTCTTCTACTTGATCATAACTGAGGGATGGTTGAGAGATGGAAGAACAGGGGCTGGAGATGCAGATACATCTGGTTTAGGAACGGGTTGATAATTACTGATTCTAAGTTGAATATAGAGGGAATCATTATACATGGAGTCTAAATATCCATGATAAAAAGTTTCAGACATATTCAACCCATCTTTAAAGATTTCTGCTGAGGTTTGCTCCTTCCACGGTTGCTCATTTCCAAGTTTTTCTAATAAGACCTGTGATGGTATAGGCCATGAGAGCATCTGACATAAGGGCAAGATGAGGAGAGAACCAAGTAGGATTAATAATCTTAAGAAAAAGAAGTTCCAGGTGAACTCTCAGAGATGACGCAGTAAAGGACAAATCCCTTTACATTCACTGCCAAGGAATGTTCATAGGACTTGAGATTACCACAGCTGCTTCCGCACGGCCTGTCCTTTCAGGGTTTCCACGTTGAAATTGTTTGTCTTGGCAGGCATAATGAAAAACACCACCGCGGTGACGCTGCTTTTGTGCATCTGAGGAGAGATTAGAAAACACAACAGAGTCAGCTGTCAGAGATTAAGAACACGTGTGACGGACAGACCTTAAACTTTGAAAAATCCTGTTTTGAAATGTTGTTAGGAAGAAAAAGCTACTTATTTATAATTGACAGAAAAATTTCTCTTCTTCTCAAGACTTTTCCAGGAATTTTTATTTAAATCTCGCTTGCCATCAAGATTTCACAGTTAACAGATTGAAAATTCAGGAGCAAAGTATTTAATGGCATTGATCATCTAAAACAGGTAACAGTTGCTACGGATTTCACAGTGCCTTTCTCTAGTTAAAAAGAATAAATGTAAGCTAACATACAAGGCCAATTAGTTCTCTAAAATTTCAGGCCAGAAATTTACTGAGAATTTAGTTCTAGTTTGTTCTTTCTTGTTTTTAGTTGATTCACATTGATTTGCACGAAAAGATTGTTCACATTTTTTGGTAAGTATTTGGATCATTATTATGTTGTGTCCTAGTTTTTAGGCACTAAGTAAAGAATAAGCCACATATTTATCAGTTTTGATATAGCAGGCTATTCTAGGACAATTTAAATATATAACTGAATCTATTCCTCATAATAATCATGTAGACTAATATCACCCTCCTCATTCTATTAATGTTAAAAGAAAGGCATGAGAGGTTTAACACTTCATCTGACCTCCTATAATAGATTAATAGCAAAACTGTTATTAGTAATTTTTTAATCTAAAATCTGTGATTTCTTCTTCATTTCCCACATATACTATCAGCCTTCTCTTTCTAAAGGAAGTTATACATCAAATACCTTTACAAATAAAAGCATAAATTTAACTAAAATACTGTAAACATATAAATGTTCATATATTGTGGAAATGATTGTTCTGTCTCCTGAGCATGAGATACTCTAGCTTCATCTAAAGGGCCTCTACATTCTAGGACCTGACACTATTGAGAAGATCTACAGAAGTCCTGGGAAAGGAAATTCACCCCCAGAGTAGTCAAGATGCTGTCAAAGAATAAATGTGCCATGTGGAAAAAGAACTCTTGCTTTTAGCTTTTCTGAGCAATATAATGTCTAGCATAAAAGCAATGGGGATTTTAGAAGAATCAAATGAATATTTAATCATTGTAAGGGTAGATTTATTGATAATGTTTCTGAAATGTTATATGTTTGGTGTCATTATGATTGCATTCATAAAATTTATTGAATGAATACATACTAGGAAATATGAAATGAGATTATACCAAAACAACCTTTTTGGCTTTCAGTTCTATTTTGCATGTGAGATTTGTTTTTTTTTAATTAATATACTGCTTCCTTAATATAAGTAAATCTTTTAGCATATTTGGTACAATATGTGCTCTAAGGCAAGGATAAATCTATACTCAAAGAGAAAAAAAAAAAAAAACCAAAAACCTTACTTGGAGGACAGTGCAGAACTCAGTACAGAGACAATCCAGTTTGTTACATTGTCTTAATAAGACTGAAATTTTACATTAGTCTCTTGGCGGTATTTATTTAGTCTATATTTTCATGTAATAAAATTGGAATATAAACTAATCATCGTAATGAACAGTTATGGCATGGTACCATTTTTATAGTTGATACCAGTTTTATAGTTAGTTTTATAGCAAAGTTTCATTGCTCAATTAGCAATGAGAAGCTCTTTTACGGTCCACCTTCCTGGGCAAAACCTGGCTCCACACTACTGGGAGTAAGAACCTCCTTTTCCTTCCTTTAAAGTTGGGGAGTAGGCCTGGCTGGTGACCTAGGGAGGAACTGAGTTTGCAAAATCCACTCCGGGTTTGCATTTTCTGACCTGAGTTTGCATATTCTGTGAGCTCCTGCTGTAGTGCTTAGCCAACTGCCATCAGCCTGTGCTACTTTCAATGCTGCTTCTCTTGGGGCAGTGAGGCCATGGTCACAGCTTTTGGGATTAGACAGCTAGACATAAGACCAAGGGTCAGAATTAGGACAACCAGTTTCACACTCAAGTGACATCTTCTATTGCTGTTGAGATATAGCCTAAGTATATCTTCACTAGCTTAAAAAATGAGTGACGTTTTGCTCTCCATTTGCTTAACCTCTCTATATTTATCCTGCAACTGATTACAAATCTCTGTAAAAGAAAAGGGGATGTTATAACGACTTGTGAAAACACAGCACTTATAATGTAAGGGTCTGTTTTAAAAACTACTTGACCACACAGACAAATAACACAATGAACACTGTAATATTCTAATTGCAAGAGCAGAGCTATTTTTAAAATAAAATTACTATTTTAATCTTCAAAATCATATCCTTTTGACAACTGTTTTTTGTTGTTTTTTTTTTTTTTTTTTCTTTTTCCTTTTTATCGGTACCAGGGATCGAACTCACGACTGCCTGCTTGCAAGGCAGGCGCGTTATGCCTTTTGACAACTGTTTAAGAAGCCAGAAAGCCCTCCCTTTCCCACAAAAGAAAGTTCGTACAAGAGCATCATCCATACACACATGGAATTTTCTTACCCTCAGCAAGAAGTTTAGTCTGGATAAGGATTCTAGGAAGATGTCAGCACCTTTGTTTGAAAACTCATACCTCCCCGCAATGAAAAAGAATAAGGTCTTTTCAAGGTCAAAGTCGAGATGACTAAAACAAAACAAGACAATTTTGAATGAAATAAAGCAATACCACAAGCTGTACCCATGAATTCTGTCCAGGTACAAAGAGAGCTAAGAAAGAGAAACATTTGCTGTAGCAATTTTGTTTGCTCTCTAGCTGAAAAATTATATGCTAGTTTTGTTTTTTAAATAACAAAAACATACCCATAGAAGTGACCTCGAACAAAATCTTGAATCCTGGCTTTGTACATGGCATGCAGATTTTGAAATTCATGTACTGCTGAAAACTTCTTAACGTTCAAGCCATTTGGAGTAATTACATCTGGAGAAACAAAGAAAAATCATCAAAATTCTCCTGTGAGAAGGGGCACCATTGTAGGGGAAAAATAGTTTTAAAATCTATTGTTTATTAACGTTTCTAGGTTGTGACTACCATAGAATCTAAAATTCATAAAACTTCAGAATTCAACCTTTTAGTTGAAATAGGAAATTAGAAGTATCTGACTAAATTACAAAGTGTGAGTGATACAAATTTCCATTTTTCTCTTTTGAAAATTGGTTATACAGATTAATAGGTTTAATTTTAGCAGATTGGTATGTGCACTTAACGTACTTTGATCATTTCCTTTCCAGCCCTCCTTGCTTTCCCCTCGAGTTTCACATGGGCATGGGAGAGCTTTCAATGATACGATATCTCATATTATATTCTGTTATCCTCCTTTATAATTTACCAGTTCTAATTTCTTCTTTGTAACACAACTGATTCGTTTTGCCCAAAGCATTTTGTTGCTCAGATTGGAAAACATTCTTGCTTTTTCATTACATTGATCTATGACAAGAAAGAGAGGGCTTACTTGGAGCATGTTATGGAAACCACTTACTCATTTGACTACATGGATTATTAAATTTAGAAGTAGTGAAAACAAAAGCAAGAGAAACACAGCTATATAAAATATCTAGCACACGACAATGGAGGTTTTCAATGAAGAGTTGAGTTACAATCATATCACAACCTGTTGAAGAATCTTTTATAATTAAAAGGCTATTTTCAGCTATTTGTGTTGGTGTTTGCCTATATTCCTAACAATCTGGACCCTGTCCCTAAAAAAAAAGAGCCAAGATTTCAGCTTAGCATGAGGAAAATCCCTATTTTCTTGACATGTTGTTATAAAATCAACCAAGTCATCTTGATCATTTTAAAAACTTATTTTTATGATTTTATTACTAAGTAATCAGGTATTTCTTATACAATCATCCCATAGGGAGCCGATTCTAGGACCCCCTTGGGTCTAAACCCCCTCGCTACTAAAGCCTATGGATGCTCAAGTCCTTATATAAAGTGATGTAGAATTGCACATAGCTTACACATCATCCTCCTGTATGCTTTAAATCACCTCCAGATTACCTAGACCACCTCATACAATAGATATACTATGAGAGCATTGTTGTACTATATTTTCTGGAAAATAATGACAATAAGACATACATGTTCAGTAAAGACAATGTTTTCTGTATATTTTTTATTATGATCACTTGCATCTGTGAATGCAAAGCCCTCAGACACAGACCACTGACTACTCCTTTACATAACATCTATAAATATTTGAAAAAACTGTGTCTCTACTGAAAAATATTTTTAAAGAGGTAGCATTATAGTATTTCAACTACATAAATTATGTGTATACATATGTGTGTATGTATGCATGATCACAGTAAAGCATAGTAAAATGATTAGGAAGTGAAATATTTTGAGTATTTGTATACTTATTTAATTGTATCTTTATATATTTAATGTTTAAAAAGGCTATTTGGTAACCAGTTCCCAAGTATCCTGAAGTTTAACAACTGGGTTTTACAAGCTAGTATGAGCTAGTACTAGCACACTGTTGCTCACATAACTTACAAAATAAGGAGAAAGTAGCCAAAGGAGAGAGGGTAGAAGTGATGAAAATAGTTAAAACATGTCACATGCATGTACTCATGCACAAAAACAAATCTCATTATTTTGTATTACTAATATACACACACAAATTTCTCTGCCTAGGGAATCTTACCCAGACATCCTTGATTATACTTGCTAAAATTTTAATATTCTGCTAGCTTAAAACATTCAAAGAACTAACATATATAAAGTAACTTAAATATTAAAAAAAGAAAAATCTTTCAAATATATTTTTCAGCCTTCTTCGTACAGAATTACAAGAGCATTCTTACATCTTGATCATTTCCTTTCCCAGCCCTCTTTGCTTTCCCCTCTAGTTTCACATGGGGATGGGAGGACTTTCATTGATGTGATATCTCATATTCCAAACATGTGAAAAGGATCTGGCATGCAGATAAGTGAAGTATATAAAACTCCAACGAACCATAACCAAAGTAAATCTACACCCAGACATATAATAATCAAGATCCCAGAAATTCAGCACAAGGACAGAATATTAAAAACTATTAGAGAAAAGAAACAGATCACCAATAAAGGAAAACCAATCAGAATCACGGTAGACTTGTCAACACAAACCATCAAGTCAAGAAGAGTTTGGAGTGAAGTGTTCCAAATCCTGAAAGAAAACAATTCGCAACCCAGATTGAGGTACCCTGAAAACTATCTTTCAAAATTGATGGAAAATTAAGTTACTTCCATGATAAAGAACAATTGAAGGAATTCATGACCACCAAACCAAACCTACAGAGAGTCTGAAGGATATTCTAAAGAGAAATAAAGATGACCACGGTTCAAGAAACAGCAGCAGAGAACAATCACCAAACAGAACAGGCAATTGAATGAAGGGGAAAAGTGGAGGGCCAAGAGCAGGTGGTAGCATGGCAGAGATGAACCAATGTATGCTGGTTGTAACCATTAATGTAAATAGTCTCAATTTAGCAATGTATGCTGGTTGTAACCATTAATGTAAATAGTCTCAATTTAGCAATGTATGCTGGTTGTAACCATTAATGTAAATAGTCTCAATTTAGCAATAAAAAGAAACACAGGGACAGTGGATCATGAAATAAGATTCATCAATATACTGTATACAACAAACACATTTAACTGGAAAGGAAATTCATAAACTAAAAATCAAAAGAGAGAAAACGTTTGTTCCATGTGACAGGAGACTAGAACAAAGAAAGAGTTACTTGCCCATCAACCGCAGAATGGATAAGAAAGATATGGTATTTTCATGCAATGGAAAGCTACCCAGCTATAAAGTAGGATAATCTCAAGGCTCTTGTAGGTAAATGGATGCAACTGGAGATTATATTCATGGGCAAAATGGTTGGAACTCATACGGGTGAACCCTAGCATAAAAAAACAGAAGGAGTTAGTGGGATCCAAAAAGCACATAGATATTATGAAAGTGATAGGGGAAAGTAACAGCCACTGCTAATCTCTTATTGTCAGGGCTGGGGATTTAGCTCAGTGGCATAAGCACCTGCCTGGCAAGTGCAAGGTCATGAGTTCGATCCCTGGTACCAAAAAAAAAAAATTCTTATTGTCTTGTGTTGAACTTTTTTTTTTTTTCACAGTTTTGTTAGGTTTGGTTTTGTTCTACCTTGTTTTGTTAGATTTCACTATGTCTGATGGTACAGGCAGCTATTTTGAACATAACGGGATATATTATGGTAATCATTGTTGGTTTCCTCTTATTGTGCTTTGAAGTCCTATAATGCTTTTATTCTTTTGTTTAATTGATTTTATTCTGCTTTTTTTAAATTTTATTATGGGTCAGGGTATGAACAGCTATTTTGAAGAAAATGAGACATTACGGTAGCCATTGCTGATTTCCCATGATTTTGTTTTGAAGTCCTATAATGCTTTTATTCTTTCATTTTAATTGGTTTTATTCTGTTGTATTTTGCTTGATTTTATTATGTGTGATAGTATGAATGACTGTTTTTGAAGAAAGTGAAACATTATAGTAACCATTGCTCATTTCCTGTTATCTGGTTTTGAAGTCCTGTAATGCTTTCATTCTTTTGTTTTGATTGGTTTTAGTTTGTTTTCTGTTATTTGATTTCAATATGGGTGAAGCTATGGTCAGCTGTTTTGAAGAAAATGGAAGACATTATGGTAGTCATTGTTGATTTCCTACTGTGTTGTTTTGAAGTCCCATAATGCTTTCATCCTTTTGTTTTGATTGGTTTTACTATTTTGATTTGTTTGAATTTATTATATGTGAAGGTATGGACAACTATTTCCAAGAAAACAAGAGACACTATGGTAATGACTATTGATTTCCTGTTGTCTTGTTTTGAAACCCTGTGTTGCTTGCATTGTTTTGTTCTGATTTGCTTTGTTCTGTTCTGTTTTGTTCTCTTTAAAACTAAAAAAAATTTAAAAACTTAAATTAAAAAATGAAATTGGTTAACACCAGCACAGTGGAAAAACACTAATATTCAAATTAAGGTGTTAGTGTGGCTCAGAAATTAATATTTGCAAACCTAATAACTACCTTAAAGGGCAAATGATAAATTTAAAATTTGACATTTAAGATATAAGTTGTATTGAACTGTTTATAATTAATACATATATACTATTACCTTCTCTTCAATATTATAAGCTATCATCTTTTCAGCATTAGTGAGTCAAATTTATGATAAAAGCATAATACAGCAATAAATAAGTCTTTTACAATTACCACATAATGATTTACTTTTTAGGAACCTGGTCCTGTGTAAGCTTTTAACCCAATCAGCACTTGCTTATTGATTGAAAATATGTCCTAATGTTGTAGTTGTGGTTATATTTTTAATTGGGGAGAACTTCAAGAAAACTAGAGAATACAAAATCATAGTTATGCCACATGATGCCTTCTTTCCTTTTTAGAGTGTTCTTCGTAACTTGACATGCTTAATCATCTACTAAAAGTCTATTTACCTTCTTGAGCCTCAAAGCATTCAAATATTTCACAATTTCAATCAGAGCCACAATGAGATTGTACCATTAGTCTGAAAGTGGACTGGATTACAGGTTTATAGTTCTGTTAGAACTATCAAGTGAAACCAGCTACTGGAGAGCCAGTAAGACAGATGAGAACTTAGAAAAATCTAGAAAATGATCCATACCAAATAATCATCACTGATTTTTTTCTGGACCTTAACAATGGACTAGGCACTGAGCTTAGTACTTTCCATATATTAACTCTTGAAATTATTGCTATTCTACTTAACAGACAGGACTGAAATCCACATTATGGTAGATCAGACACTGGAAATCTAAGTAACTTGTACAAAGTGGAACAGCTTATAAAATGTATGCAACACAAAATCATTTTTGGTACTAAATTTAGAAAGTTTTTCAGTAGTTTTCCACTACTCTGCAGCTGTAGTCCTAAGAAAGCAAAAATAGATAAATAAACAAAACAGTCAATAGTAAAACAAAATCCAGCATAATTTTGGAGAGTGCCTACTTTTGTTTGGTTATGTTTTCTATTTTTTGTTTGTTTGTTTGTTAGTGATGCTGAGCCCAAAGCTTCATGCATACTAGGCCAAATGCTCTAGCACTGAGATACAGCCCCAGCCCAGAATGCCCACTTTAAAAGACAGACAAATTAGAAAAGCTATTAGATACATCAGAAAATAATCATATTGGAACTCAGTATCTGCAGTGTTATGAAAAATAAAAAGGGAGGCGTCTGTTGTCTTTATGCCAGGGGATACCAAGAAACATTTTAAAAAACCAGAGAATTCTGAATTTAATGAGTTCTTAGAAAAGCAATTTCAAGCTAAAGTTAGAGGATAGAAGCCAGAATTCAAGGGTATAGAGAGTAAGTGAACACAGAAACTGTGGTTTTAGTCTTTCGAGATATTTGGCAGCAAGGGATAGGAAGAGATTGTTTAGATATTTGACAAGATAACAGCCTTAAGAGAAATTTCATTTTAGAATAGGAGGGAAAAAGCATGTTGTGAGCTCAGAAAAGGATACTGAGACAGAAAAAGGGAAAGATCCAGGAGAGAAATGAGCATACTGAGATCACATACTGTAAGAGAGGCATGAGTGTAGGAATAAAAGAGAATTCAAAATCCATCAGAAACTGTGGAAAGCATAAAGAGTACCACAACACAGGTGATTGTGCCCCTATTCATTACTTGGATTCTTATTTTTTGTTTGTTTTTGTTCCATCTTATGTCTTGAAATACCTCCTGTAGACATCTGAGTGATACCTAAAAATAAGATTCCCTAGAGGTAAGACCACAGGAATTAAGGAAGCATATATTAATTAGGACCATCTTGTTGCAAATAATAGAAACCTAGTATCACTGGCTTAAATGTAATGTGAGGAATTTATTAATAGGAGGGTACAGTGTTTCAGGGCAAACATTCAACTCAGCCCTAGGAATGACTAAATTGCTTTAAAGAACCTAGAGTCCTCTCTGTTTCTGCTCACTGCAGTTTCAGATTCCTGTATCCATTGGAACAGAATATAAATACGCACACAGCCAACAGCTTCGACATTCCCTTACACAAGGATGCACTCAAACAGAGGCTAGTCTGTTTAGCCGCCTTCCTAGGGAGAGCGTTCCTATTGGTCCAGTTTATGTCGAGTGTTTACTTTTGAACCAATCAGCCGTGGCCAGGTGATGAGCACACTGTTTTGCATTGCAGATTCTGACTGGGAATCTGGTTGCAGATTCTGGTTTGGGAATAGTTTCCATAAAAACTTACAAGGGGGTCTGGGGAGAGGTAAAACAATAGGTTTTCCCCAAACTGCACTGAGGAGGCACTATTACAAGATGTAAGACAGGGATAATCTCACAAAAACTTCTGATACTTTTTCTTTCACTTTTTAAAATTAGTCAGTTTGCTTGCACATACTAAATCATTATGTCAATTTCATTCCTTCCACGTCAAGTATAACTCATTTATTCAAGTACAGATTGATCTCTTACTGTGTCCCAGATATAGTTTATGTTGGTTTCACTGCAAACCTACTGACATTAAGAATAGAAATACATATGACTATTTGGGTAGTAAGAATGAATACGATTTTCCTGTAATTATTACTCAGTGCTGAGAAAAAATTTGTGTTTAATGTCATTTGCAATTGAAGGACAAGTGACAAACTGACAGACAATAATTACCAGGCTTTCTCTTTAGCATGTGTTCTGCCTCGATTGCCGTTATTTCAGACACCGTGGTGAACACGTGAGCGCAGTGAACCGAAGCCCGCTCCATGCAGTAGCGATGGTAAATCTGCCTTTCTCCAGCCTCTTTGTCGATGTTAAACTGTTTAAAACAAACATATGTGCTCATAGTGAGACCTCTCCAAAAGTAAAACAATATCACATATTTCAAGAATTGTTTTTCCTCAGGGCTGTGTAAGATTGTATTATTGCAAAAAGAAAAAAGTGGTGATAAACTTTTATGAAAATCATTGCTAAAACACATAATTATGTTTCAGGTAGGCACTTATGCCACTGAGCTAAATCCCCAGCCCCCATAATTATGTTTCAAAGAGCATCATTGACTTCATTTCTTCTTCTAAATTTTATTTAATACCCTAAGTAAATGATGTTTTCGCTTTGCTAAAATCAATTAGAATTATTGAATTTGAGGGATTTTAATTATAGTTTTAATTATTCCACATATTGTAAACAGAGGGTTAATTACTTTGCTTCGGCCTTTATCACATTTTTCTATAATCAATGAAACAAAGCTGACATTGAAGTTGAAACTTAAAATAAAGATATTTAATCATACCCTTAAGTCACTGAAAGAGAAATTGAAGAAGAGAAAAGGTAAAGGCTTTTCCATGATTAATATAACTTTTTCCACTTTAAAAATTTTAAAGTTTAGTTACTTTAATTAGATGGCATATTAAACTGTGAAATCATGTATTATTCTGAGCATCTTAATTTAGACAAGAAAAAACCAAACCCCTAACAATTGCTTAAATAACTGGTAATAGTAGTGAGCTTCTAACATTTCACTTAGTTACTGGATGTTATTTCTCTTAGCTTCGTAATGAACTAGCAGCATCTTATTGGAAAGCAGGCTATAAAATTTCTAACATTTTATTGATACTCTTCTACGCATGGTATTGTATTTATGTTCCCCTAAAACACAAAGACACATATGTCATTGTCATCTTGTAAGGGAGGAAACCAAACATTTTAGAGGTCAGGAAACTTATCCAGTATCACATGCCTTTTATTATCTTAGCCAGACCCTAAACTAATTCCTGATCAGCCTGACTCCAAAGCTTATCCACTTACCTGATTTTGTATCAATAAGATTCCAGTTCTATCAACAAGTCAGTACCAATAACTGCTGCGTGAAAGTGAAAAAAGTACTAAAAAGAGACAGATAATGTGATTCTTACAGCTAAAATAAGGAAATTCTTGGAGCAATCTTTCATGACTAGAGTATTTGCAACCATCTCTCTGAAAATGTATCAATCAGCTCTCTGTGGCTTGCTAGGGTCAGCAGACAGTTTCTTAAATACTCTGCAAGACCAGCCTCATTCATTCCAATTCTCTCATTAAGCAACATGTTTTGAGTCATTTATGTGTATCTGAACCCTAAAGGGCACAGCTTATAAGTTTATGGGAAACCAGTAGAAAATAGGCAAATTAAAAATGTACCTGAATAAGAATCAGAGTAAGATGGAGTCACTTTTGCTGAGCATGGGTCAGTATTTCATATTCTACAATACATGCTCATATGTCAGTATCACCTCTGGAAAGTAAGGTTTTTAAACTTAGGAACTGTGCTATATTTATTTTTTTATGCTTGGATGAATACAAGGGCATTTGGACTAGAATATGAAAGTTTAATTTAGGAAAAGTTATTTTGGGCTGAAAATTATCTTTCCTAAAAAACACTATAGTGTACACAGAAAATAGCAAGCCGTGTAGATTGGATGTAGAATGCAAGACACTCAAACTGGTAGGATACAATAGGGCCAGATCACCAACATCCATGTAGATGAGGCTATGAATGTAGCCTGTGTCCTGATAGCGTTATTTAGAGGCACCATAAAGACAAAACCTATATGTAAGAAAATTCTGGAAACAAGAATGAAACATTTTTGAGCTCACCAAGATTTTGTGACTTTCAAATGAGCTAGCATGTCACATAGTTAGAAAAGTTTCCAGCACATGGAAAATTCTTAATAACTTTACCTACTAGTATTGCTATTGTATAGCAATAATATTTCACGGACAAGCTAGCATTTGATAGACTTTTATAGATAGGAAGATAGGTTTTCTAAGTGAATAAACTGAGGCTGCCAAAATATAAGGGCAAATGCTGGGGGCTGGATAATGCCATGATAGGTCTTTGTGAGATCAGGCATGTAGGCAGCTCCTGCTTTTCCCTATCCTGTGGGTTTCCCTTGTTTTTGAGGTCTGTAGTAGACAAGGCCACGCTTAGCTTTCCATGCGATTTACCTTCCTGCATATTTATGCTAGTATATTGAAATGTCTGGCTAATCTTTCCCCCATATGGCACCCAAGGGGACACAGCTCTTTTGACAATGAACCTTGCTTTGTTACATTTTCATGTGTATTTGTAACTATTTATTGAATTCTGGATATATAAAAAGAACAAATAATGAAGAAAGTATTAACCAGTAAAATGCAGCCTGGTGAAAAAGGAAAGTAGCTCTATAATTGAGAGGACTAGTATTTCCAAATTTGGTTCAAGAGTAACCTTCCATCAATTTTCTAAGCCTTCCTCTCTCATTTTCTAATCTCTAAGAGCATTGCCTCAGTTTCCCTTCTAGGAAACTGCTGTTACTAAGAAAAAACTAGAAATTACAAAAGGAAATGTCTTTCTAAAAAAGCAAAACCATTAGCTACATATACATTATAATTGGCATGATATGAGGTGTGGCCGACAAGTACTGTATCTAAATTTTTAAAAAATATTACAGTAAAAGACACATTGGCATTAATCCTCCCCAGATCCTCCCCCTTGCTCTGAATGTACTTTTCACATACTTCTTGGCATTTTGAGAACCAGCTCTGGAAGCCCTCTTTTGTGATTGTCTCTAGTTGTTATTGTGGCTGTCTTGATCTCCTGAACAGATTCAAAATATTTACTTTTCGTAATTATTATCATCTTGGGAAAAAGCCCAAAGTCACAAAGTGCCAGACTGGTGAATGAGTTGGATGAGGACCCCCAAGAATTTTCAGATCTCTCTTTCCTTGGAGGCTGTTGGCAGTACTGTTTGCTGTATTTTAGGTCACATCTCATAAAGACTTTCATGAAAAAGGACTCAAAATGGCTTCAGAAAGGAACAAGAGCAATGGGATAAGTATGTTTCAAGTGAAGGAAAGTATTTTGAAAAACACAATGGTAATGTGTCCTTTACCATAATAAAATTTTTATATAAACATTCACTGTTATTTGTAAATTCTCAAAAATTTAAAAGCTGATTGAAATGGTTGCAAATGCTTTTTTACCTATATTTTTCTTTTTTAGCTATTAATTTTACTAAAACATTAAGCCAACATGAAGGTCTTTATAAAACGACTTAAGAAAAGATTTAATTTTTTCAGTTAGAGCTATCATTTAAGTAAGAGTTGGTTTCTGCTTTTACAAAAGTTCAATGCTTTTATTCTTTCATGTTTTCTCCATGTTTATTAACCTAAATCAGAACCTACAGAAACTGATCTTGAGTCCTTTATCAAAGACTACATAAGGATTCATTCTTTTTGTTGAACTTTTAAAAAGCTTTAATGTCCACAATATAGTGTTATAGGTCACCCAAATTCTAAACCTAGTGTAAGGATGAGGGCTTCTATTGTGAAAAATGATTACTAATTTATCTCAAAACCAAATTGTTGACTCCTCATTATGTACTAATTGATAAGCAGACATTTACTAGAAAGATGAGCTTGGTGGTGACTAAGCTTGTATACCTCAACCAGTAAATTATTTGAAATGTCTGATATATTTGTATCAGAAGACAGAATGCTATAAATACATCCTTTTATCAAAAGGATGGCATTATAATATATAACTATGGATTATACCGCATTTATTCTTTAAGAATAAATCTATTGCATACTAGCTTTTAACTGATTAGTAGTACATAATATTCTTGAGCATTTGAAGTAAAATATTCAATGTGCCACTTTAATATTTCCTGTTTCATGAAGATCAAAGCCTGTTCTTTTCCAGGAAGCATGGGTGCAGAGCTTAGCACAGATCACTGGTTTGCCCTTATTAGTTTGGCGTGATCACACACCATGAAGTAATTTTCCTGACCTCCTGGCTTTCTGAATTCCTTGGTGGCTTTATTTTCAATGTGCAACTTATACTTACAACTTGACCTTTGGTTTAGCTGGTTTTTGATAAGATGGCTGTCATTAGGACCCCGCCCCCCACTGTTTTACAAATGTTAAACTTTTTCATAAAGATCTTTGTTGCGCTCAAAGTGTGTTTGAGATGATAGTATAACTTTCTATATGATTATCAGATTATTATTCATGTAATATGCACCTTCGTGTGTATATATATACATGCATATTCTGTTTCATAGAACTCTGGAAGCTTTTTAAACTGGGAACATCTTTAGAATTCAACGTTTCAGTTTCCTGATAGTGAAACTACACCTTCACATGCTAAATCAATTTGGCAATATTGATGCCAAATCTGCAAATCTTCTGAAATTATGACATTCAAATGCTTTGCTCACTTAGTTAACAGGATAATTTAAAAGACACTTTTGTTATTCTAATTTAACGGACAGAAATTTTTTTTAAAAGGAATGATCTTGGGTCATGGAATCGTGCAGTCTCCTAAAATGAGGAAATACCACCAAGGGCCCAGTCCTTGCTTCTGTGACTACGTCTTTACTTGACCCCCAAGAACCTCATCCATGCATTGCAGTTACAGGAAAAATCTGGCCTATGGACGACCTAGAAAGTAAGGCTCCTGACACACCTTTGTGTGCCTTGATTCCCGATCACTGCCTACCACTCAGAGCTAGGTGTGAATTCAGCTCCTCCACAGCATTTACCAAGCCACAGGGCAGAGGAGGATCCCAGCCTTGGTTCACGCAGCCTCTCACTCCTAGCATGCCCCTCTGAATGTCCTGCTCCAAAGTGAGATGGAAATCAGTCCTCTCTCTCCTATGCTCCTCTGCACTCCGAACAAAGGTAAACTATGTCAGCTGCCTCTCACCCCAGAGGAAGCTTCTTCGTGAATATTGATTAGTTAAAAGGGCATCGCTATCATCTGGATGGCACATGAAATGTAAAGATCAATACTTCTCATCCTTCAGCGTCAGTGATCCTTAAAAAAAAAAAAAAAGACCAGAAAGGAGGAGATGGGACTGCTTACTTTATCAAGGTGATTGTAGAAGTCGGTATTTGCTGCACACAGATACCTCCCAAGCAGCGTGGCGTGGGTTGTGAATATTGTGGCAATTGGGAGTTTGCGGGCTCGAGAAAGAATCAGTCCGGTTCCAGCCTGCCATTCATGGAAATGGGCAATAACATGTTGACCATCTGCATGATCTGTCACCTACATCACAAAGAAAGCATTTAGAAAAGTTTTTGGTGATGGCTGATCCTAATCATCACCCACAGATCAAGAAGAGTTATGATATCTGCAAATTTTACTGAAATTTAAAGGGATCTAAATACTAGAGATGCAGACTTATCAAGTAAACAAGTGCTTTATAGGAGGGTTCAACAGCATGTTCATTAAATCCATACATTTTTATGTCTTATCCCCCCTTGCACTGATTCATCAGATTAGAAGGTACTAATATGATTAATAAATAATAAATGTTAGTAATAGTATTAATAAATGCACAGATGTGCTTAGTAAATACTCATTGAGTAGATGCATCCAAAATAACAATATTATTGAAGATATCATTGAAGAACTGCAATTTGATCACTTCTTTAAGAAGCTTCCTTATAAATAAATAAACAAACAATTCCATGTTTTAAATTTGTTTTATTTGAGTCTTTGCTTCTTTAAAGTCAAAAGCATTTAATAGTAAGCATATTAAAATTCAAAAATGTGGAACTAGGGAGAAAGAAAAATTCAAATAACTCATGTTTAGAGTTAAACAGTAGCTTATTAATCCACTACGAGCCCGGGTCTAATTCCATTGCACCGAGCTAGCTGGACATTAGGCTCTTGCCCTCAAAGTTAGGTTGTTTCACCTTTGCAGGAAAGAAAATGAACATTCACACTGCGCTCTCCTGATAGCTGACCACTTCCTTGTTGAAGAAAATAGTAAAACACCGCAGCTTAAACAGCCTGAGCGGAGAGCTAGTAAGCTTAGGGAATAAATATAAGATAGCGTTTATCACACTTCACCTGTACCAGAATCACTGGGGAAGCAGTGGATCTTATCTCCAGATAATCTAGTTTTCTGTGCTGGGAAGTAAGAATTTGCACCTTTTCAAGTTTGCAGGGAATGCTGGTGACCTAACAATGCACTTTTTGAGATCCACTGGCTTCCATTAAGGTCTCTGAGCTTCAAAGTAAGTAAACTTTGAAAAGTTCCTTATTGCTGTTAACAGTTCACAGGGTGAACCATGACAGCACACACAGGACTTGCCATATAGTTTTGGAATTTTTTCAACGTCTCTATCAACCTTTTGAACCAAAGAAAACTCTTATTTCCAAACCTTTTTACTTTAGAGAAAATTGAGACTCATGCTTCTTCTTCCTCTCCCTTCTGTTTTATGAGAAAAAGTAATTACACACACACACATGCACACACACGCACACAACAGCCTCAGCCTCAGGGCACTGGCTCAGGGCAGTAAACTATAGAGGAAGAGTTGGTTCCATTACTAGAACAGGACTGGCCACCTGCCACCGGGACAGGTCCTGCCAGGCCCTTCACTGCGTTCTCCCAGGCTGTACCAACATAAAGTGAAGGTACCTCACACAAAGGGGGAGATCATGCTTCACATGACTTCACCAGAAGGACAAATTTGGATGAAGGAACACTTTTCCCACACAGGGCTCTGTGATTTATTTTTGTCCTTGGACTTCTCCTCTGATGCTAAAGATGCACTGTATGACTTTTTGTGTATGTATAATCATCAGGAGGCAATGAAAGGGATGTACAGAAATCCACAGCTACACTTGGAAGAGTTAAGGTAATTCTGCCTTGACTCATTGAATAAGAATCTCTGTGTGTGTGTGCCTGTGTGTGTGTGTGTGTGTGTGTGTGTGTGTGTGTGTGTACTTGCACGTGGGTGTCTCCCTTTTTCCTTGTTTCCTTTCTTTTTCATTTAGGGGGAATTGAAGCAGGGCCCTCACACTGAGCCACATTCCTATCCCCTTTTTAATTTTTAATTTTGAGATAGTCTCACTAAGTTGCTAAATTTCTCAGACTGGGCTTGAATTTGTGATCCTCTTGTCACAGTCTGAGCTCCTGCTCAATCTCTCAGAGTGCTAGGATCACAGGCATGCGTGACCAGGCGTGGCTGAACTTTCTACCAGCCTTACCTATATATATTCTACCGCAAAGGACTAAGAAATAACTGCTGAGACTTTTTCAGCTCTTAGCAAATGATGAAAAAGTCCAGAAGCCACTTTACTTGCAAAAGCATTCATCCAAAAAAAAAAAAAAAAAAAAAGGATTATTTCAAGTTTTTTCACTCCCTAGATACTATAAGTCATGTGTTTCATGCATGATATACACTATCCCTTTTTCTGTTCAAACTACTGTGTATCATCTATACAACAGATAATACAATTGGATATTTAGATACAGTATGTCACTTAAATATTTTATGAGATAAACACTACTAAACATTATCATTACTTCATTCTAAAAGCTGGCATTTAGTTGAGGAATGCCAGACATTTCTTTGACTTCCTTCGAATCTATGAGGATAATCAATAATGGCATTATTTCAAAATGTACTTAATCTAAAGTCCTTGGGATTATCCTTGGGTGCTGAATGCCATTGTCCTCTTTTGTTGTATCCCTGTGCAGTAAATATTACCTCTTTTAAGAACCAAGCAGTTAAAGATCCGAATATGAGCATATCATTGGCTTCCCGGTCATGATGAGGGATCCCAACGTTGCACGCTTCCCACAAGTCGCCTTTCCACCTGTCCAGGTTCCATGCGGAATAGCTTATGTCAAAGAGCACCACATACGGACTCCCTTCTACCAGCCACCTTCCAAAGTGCACCTGTCATGGGAAGAGCATGCAGCACAGTACAGTAGTGAGTCATCAAAGCAGACAAATGGATTTGAGCTCAGAGAATAGAAACTTTATTGAAGATTCAACAACAGATTAAGCTACACAGAAAAGAGCTGTGATAACTTCAAGTGTTTAAGACTGAAGCTAGGGGGATGCACATCCATTTATTCCAAATTGCTGCTCTTCTTTAAATTTGGTCATTAAAGAAATGTATCTAGATCACATAATCTCTGTTTTTTTTTTATGTCTCTCAACCTTCCTGTGACCTCATGCTCATAGCTGTAGAGCTTGACATTATAGTCCATTGTTTTATGGTAGCATTCTGAAATGAATGTTCTGTATCTTTAACAACCTGTAGCTGGGTATAACGTTTGCTACAACACTTATTTTCCTCCATGAAAGAGGATTTACCATATTTCCTGCCAGAAATAATTTTTCTGTAAACAAATGTGTATGACTTTTCCTACTAATATTTAAAAATATGTGACACAACATGTTTCTCAGTATGGTTGCTGCTAATGGTCTTAATTAAATATTGTCCAAGATACATTATCATTGTTAATCTACTAGCTCAGTCTTATTACATTCTCAAAACTGAGTTCTTTCCTACTTTGCCTGCTCCAAATGTTGATGCATTAGCTATCTTATTTTTTTCTCTATTGCATTCAGATAGTCACGCATATATCTACGTTTTAACTTCTCTTTTGGGTGTTGTATGTTAGTGCCTGGGATATAGTTCAGTGGCACAGCACCTGCCTGGAAAGCACGAGGTTGTGAGTTTGATTCCTGGTACCAAAAAAACCAAAGCCTGAACAAGGTTGGTTGCTGTATTTTATAGCAATTTGCATGTTCCTTTACCTTGATTTTATTTTACATTTATTATTCTATTACATGACATGCAACGTCAAAAAGCACCTCAAATCCTTTTTAGAATTCAGTTGTGGGCCTATGGATCTAGTCCTCTTTAGAAAGCTAATGTGGTCACGTCATTTATATATTGACATGAAGGACTCGGGACCCAAGGCCAAATTTCACAGAGGTTGAAAACCCAATTAGATCATTTCCTCTCATGAAACTCAGGAATGTGTGGTGATAATCAATCCTATCCTTTATTTCCCATTTTGGTAAAAGGGTGTGAGAATGATTGTTTTAATATTACTTTGTATCTTGTTCTCAACATTGGTTAATTTTTTTTTTTTTTTTTTTTTTTTTTTTTTTTTTTTTTTTTTTTTTTTTTACAGTACTAGGGATTGGACTCACGACCTTGCACTTGACAGGCAGGTTGTGCCGCTGAGGTAAATCCCCAGCCCCGTTGGTTAATTTTTTAACCTCAGCAATCCTCTTTATCTTTTAAACATTGTATTTATTTATTTTTGTCTCTTTGAGACAATGCAGTTCAGGCTGGTCCTGAGCTCACTTTGTAGGCCAGGGAGGTCCTAACTTGCAACGATCTTCCTGCCTCAGCCTCCCAAGTGCTGAGATTACAGGCATGTGCCATCATGCTCGGCTAGCAATCCTCTTTAACCTCTCCCTCTTCCATAAAACTACACTTACAGTAATCCTAGCATTCTGGGAAATGGGAGCAAGAGGATGGCAAGTTTGAGTCCAGCCTGGGTAATTCAGTCACTTAGTGAGACACTGTCTCAAAATAAAGACAAATAAAAAAAGAGTGGAGACACAGTTCAGTGTAAAGGGTCTGACTTCAGTACCAAACCAAACCATGTACACAGTAAAACTAGCTTACAATGCTACCAGGAGCCCACATCTTGGCACACCACGCTGGAGCTGGCTCAGAAACTATCTCCTCTCTTGACTTGTCATCATGATTCCCACTGTGGATGTAACAAATTACCAGAAACCTAGTGCTTGCAACAACATAAATTTATTATATTGCAGTTATGGAGCTCATTACTCCTGAATGAGCCTTGGGGGCTAAGACACCGATAGAGCTGAACTCCATCTGTGCTAGGAGAAACCTGATGTCTTACCTTTTCCTGCTCCTAGAGGCCACCTGAACTCCTTATAGTCCTTTCTCTGTCTTCCAAATCCAGCTCTCCAACCTCTGCTTCCACTGTCACATCTCCTCTCAGATGCTAATTCTATTGCTTGCCTCTTATGAGGACATTGGGCATATATTGGCCCCACTTCGATACCTCAGAATCATGGCCCATCTTGGCACCCTTAGTTGAATCATATCTATAAAGTTCCTTCTGCTACATCAAGCAACACATGCATAGATTCTAAGAATTAGGATTTAGAGCCAAGCATGGTGGCACACATCTGTAATCCCAGCACTCCAGGGGACCAAGGAAGGAGGATTGAAAAGTTGAGACCGAGACTCCGGGAGAACATGGCGGACAGACAACAGCAACTACCGGAGGCTCTCTGAAAGGCTCGGCTCAGAGGCCAGGAATGATGCGGACTAAGGAGACACGAACCAGTAGAGATATGCTCTGCTGACTCAGGAATGAACTGGGCTGAGAGAAACCAACTTAGAATTCAGTCCTGGCGCTAAAATAGGAACAGAAAAGACTCGGTGTAGAGGCTCGACCCCGCGCCATTGGGTTTCCCGCCACCCGGCGGCTGGCTGCCTCCACAGCAGCTCGGCAAGGAGAGACGCGCAGAGCTCTGGGAACAGGAGTCTGCGAACGGAGTCGAAAACAGGACGGACAAGGAGGCGTACATGAAAACTGACTGGTGGCGAGGTGAGTGAGAAACTGACCCCCTACCACAGTTTGACTCCAGCGGAGGACTTTCTGGGCTCAGGCAGTCCTGTAAGAGCAGGACGCGGTGGCAACTCCAGCCACACATTCCCCTCTCGGACGGGATTGGTGAAAAGTGCCTGGCCTGAGTGACGCTGCTGGCAGACTCCCTAGGCTGGCCTAACCCAGATCCCAGAGCCTGACGGTGGCCCGGAAGAGCGACTCTCACGTAGGCTGCCTCCTCCGTGACTCCCTGGTGCGCAGTGGTGGGCGGGAACAACTAGCCAGCGCAATTTGATCAGGCTGTGGCTGACAGGCAGGGAAGCCGGGCCTCCTATGTAAGCTTGCATTTTATAAGGAACAGAAAATATGGGGAAGGGAAGCAACAAAAAAGGCTCCTAGGCCCCCAATCCTGAGAAACAGGCAATAGTGGACACCGCACCAATATACATTAAGTGCCATATAGAGAGCCTCATAGACCAATTCAGGAATGAAGTTATCAACGACCTGAAGCTAGAAGTATGCAGAATAGTTAGAGAAATGCTAAGCACCACCCAGGAAAAAACAGATGGTGGAATGGAAGAACAGAAAAAGAGGGGAGAATTGCTTGATGGAGAAAACAGAGAAAGCATTGAGTATGTGAAGCAGGTTCAAAGGGACTATCAAGAAATTAAGAAGACTATCCAAGACTGGCATAACAGCTTGAAAGAAACTAAGGACAGACTATCTGAACTGGAGGGCAGACTTGAAATATGGGAGAATGAAATGAAAAACTTCTTAAAAATAACAAAGAAACAAACAGCAATAATACAAAGACAAGAAGATGATAAGAGGAGCCATAACTTAAGGATTAAGAACATAAAAGAAGAAGTAGGGACACAAACAAGTGAACTACAAAAGCTACTCACAGAAATAATCCAGGAGAATTTTCCTAATTTAGCAAAAGGTAAAGATACTCAGATGTATGAGGCATACAGGACCCCAGCTACCTACAACCCTAACAGAGAAACACCCAGGCATATAATAATAAAAATTCCAGAAATTCAATACAAGAACAGAATATTAAAAGCTGTAAGAGACAAGAAACAGATCACTTACAAGGGAACACCCATCAGAATTACAGCAGATTTCTCTTCACAAACCATCAAATCACGAAGAGCATGGGGGGAAATAATTCAAGCTTTGAAAGATAATAATCTCCAGCCAAGATTGAGATATCCTGCACAACTGTCCCTGGAAATTGATGGAAAAACGAGGTGCTTCCAGGATAAAGAGGAACTGGGGGAATTTGCAACCACCAATTCAATCCTACAGAAAGTATTGCAGGATATTCTAAAAAAAGAAAAATACAAAGAACCCAGAAATAGTGGTGGGGAGGCCACAACGAATGGAGCAGAGAACAAAATGAAGAAGACAAACTGACAGCTACTGACAGAAAAAGAGCTCAACAGAAATGAGACAGAGAAGATTGGATGATAGGAACAGCTATTTTGGAGAAAATGACACCTTAATAGGTAATGCTGATTTAGTACCATCTTGTTTTGAAGTCTCATCTAGCTTTTGTTCTTCTGTCTCCAATGGTCTAAACAGGTTGTATCTTATTGGATTTTGTTATGTACAATAGTATAAGCAAAAACCTTTTAAAGACAAGGAGATTATACAGAGACCATTGTTCATTTTCTGTTAGTCGATTCTAAATACTCTATAATGCTGTCATTCTCTTAAATGGTTTTACATTGTTTTGATATACTTAATGCTACAGTATATGAAGTTGTACTCAAGGACTTCAGGGAGGGAGTCAATATGGTAACTACTTTTGGGTCGGAAATATCTGGTGGTGAAACACTATTCTGCTTAAATGGTTATGTTTTGATCTGCCGTTTCGCTGTTATGCCCTCTTTTTTCTCAATCTCCACTCCATTATTTACTTTTTTATTTTTATCCATTTAATTAAAGGGAAAAATATAGCAGGATATAATATAGTAACCCACTTTGACTTTCTATTATCTCGATTTGAAGCCCTGTATTACTCTCACCATCTTGTTTTTGACTGAGGTTCCTCTATTCTGTTTTGCTGGATAGTATCAGGTTCGAAAGTTTAGGCATCAGCTGAGAAGATAATGAGATTCATTATAACGCCCATTCTCGTTGACTTTTATCTACTTTTGAAGACCTACAATATCTCCAATGTTTTGGTTTTTGTCGGTTTTATTCTTTACTGTTTTGTTCAATTGTATTACAACTAATGATATAGGCAATTCTATTAGAGATAGCGGGAGGCATTATGGTAACCATTGTTGATCACCTTGTATTATGTTTTTACATTATCTATTATATCCACCCTTTTGACTTGACCGATTCTGTTCTGTTATGTCACATTTGGTTTTACTCTCTTCCAAAAAAGCAATAAGAACCGTGGGAGCAATGAAACCCAAAATGTGTAATAGTCACTGTACAAAAGAGAGGAAAAGAAAGTGCTCTAAACTATATAACTGCATGTATATTTAAATGTATAAGATAGAAAATGATATCACAGAGTTTTATTGGATCATTGAACAGAACTGTTTGCAGTATCATTGTTGGAATGTCCACTCTACAAGCTTTAATTTTGTGACTTGAACAATTATTTCTAAGATGGCAATATGTAATCCATTAACTAGTGATTTCCTACTGCGCATTTTTTTCTTCTGTAAATCTGTATAACTTGTACCCCTTCACTGTTTTTTTTTCTTTCTTTTCTTTTCTCCTTAAATAAAAATAAAAAAAAAAAAAGAAAAGTTGAGACCAATTTGCCAATGAAGTGGCTTAGTGAGATCCTATTTCAAAATTTAAAAAAAAAAATCTTTTTTAAAGAGATGAGGATTAGTTCAGTGTGAAGGTCCTGAGTTCAATCCTGATATCATCCCTTCAGGAAAATAAAAAGAATTAGGAATTAGACATCCTCCATTCTGTATCACTAATTTGCTTCTATTTACCAACCTCTGGCTCCTTTAAAATCTGTAACAAGTTGATAGTCTCCAAAGCTTGATTCAAAACTTTTCTCCTCAGTCTATATACTACTACTGAATAATTTTAGCAATGCCTCTGACTTCATTTACAATTCAGATACAGATGTCTTCCTGAAAGGCTTCTCTACCCTTTATCTTCTGCTGAACTCCAAACCCATCATCCATCCATCCACCTGATGTGAATTCATCATCTTTCTCATATGGTCTTTCTTGCAAACCCACTGTCCTTCTCTAAGTAGGTGTGAGAGTCCATATGTCTATGGCCATCTGTTTTCCCCTGAGTTCCCTGCGGTCAGGGAGGTCCCCGTCCTGTACCTGGCAGCCGTGCTTATTCATGGCATCCATCGCTTGTCGGACAGCCTCATTCTCAGGTTCACACTGCTCCACCTGAGTCTTCATATTATGCTCAAAATATGGACCTATCAGGAAGTAGTTTTCACCCCACTCCTCTGCTGTGGTCTTGGCCTTTGTCTGAATCACAGTACAGATGCCTCCGACTGTTAAAAAGAAAAAGAAGAAGGTTCTATCATCATTCAGGTTACAAGTCCACTGGAAGGGATGGAGATGAGCTCTTATTTTTTCCAAGTTAGCATTTAGGATTGCAGGCACAAGGGTTTATTTTGCTTTCTAAAAGAACAGGGTTAAGTCCTTTTTTCCTTTGAGAGGTGGGCTCGTTGGCAATTCATTCAAGACTACTCCTATCTCTCAGGAGCTTTTTTCCAATCTTCATTTCCCCACTCCTTTCACCAACAAATTTTTCTACTCTTAAGAGGAAAAAAAGGGTTGGACTAGGGGTTCAGTTCTGGGGTAGGGTGCGTACTTAGCATACATGATCCCTACCATACGAAACAAAGAAGGAAGGAAGGAGAACAAGGAGGAGAAGGGGAAGGGTGAGAGGAAGGGAGAGAAGAGAAGGGAAAGGAAGGGAAGGGAAGGGAAGGGAAGGGAGGGGAGGGGAGGGGAGGGGAGGAGTAACATTTTGTTAAATGTGGGATACTAAGAAATGATTATTTGGGTCAATTCCATGCCTCTCTGTTAAAGCCCGTGCTGCTAAACTAAACAAACTTTTATTTCTTCTTTTTCTGTTTCTTTTTTCTTTCCTTTCTCTTCCTCCTTCCTTTCCCTTTCATTCTTTCCTTCCTCCCTTTCTTTTCTCTGCCTCTGTTTCTTTTTCTTTTCGTTTTTAAAGTTTTACTTGAAGTACTAGGGTTTGAACTAGGCGAGCGCTGAGTTACACTTCCAACCTACTATTTATTTTATTTTATTTTATGACAAGTCTTGCTAAGCTTGCCTAGGCTGGCCTCACATTTGTGATCCTCTTGCCTTAACCACACGTAGCTGGGGTTACACGTGAGCACAGCCACCACTGCACCCTGCAGGAATAATCCCTTTCTAAGGCAGGCAACAAGGCACTTTCTTGATAAGGAGAAAGAAGTGACAGATTTCCAGGAAAGATGCTTGGTGCAATCCCGGGTCAATTCAATGATGCAAGTACAAATTTCCATCCTCATGTGGTACTTCTGCCTTCTCAGAATCATTGTTCATTTACTCCCTACCAGTATTAAAACACCAAGCTAGGCAAAAAAAATGTATATTTTTGGATCTAGCATCTTGGTCTACACCTAGAAAACTGTCCTGGGAGAAAATAAGAGCACCTCCAAGACAAGTGAGGAGGGGTATGTATTAAAATGATGATGAAAAATTGAGAAAATAAAAACTGATATTGAATTAGTTAATTCACTTATCTGGCCCATGAGTTCATTAGCTCATCTGTGAAATGGGTAGCAAACCAGGACTTAGGGGAAAAGACAGAGGTAAGCAGCAGTCTTCAGTGTGAGCTCTCACAGAAACGGGAATGTAGCTTAGTGTAGAGTGCCTACCAAGTACATGCCAATCGCTGGGTTTGATCCCAAGCAACACACACACACACACACACACACACACACACACACATACACACACACCCCTAAGGAGAAAGGAATACTTAAACATGTAATTTAATTAAAAGAATGATTAAAATATCAATTAAAAGAATGAATAGAAAGGATAGAAGAATTAGAGGGCATAGAAGGTAAATGGATATCTAGGGACTAAGTTCCTTGGCATAAGTAATAGTTAAATCCAAGGCTCTAGGTTGGGAGCAGAGTGTGCAGGGAGAGAGCTGTAGGCATTCACAGGGATTGGTCTCTACTCACTTATGGGGATGATGGAAGATGAGACACAGCTACAATGCTAGTGCTCTGGGAGACTGAGGCAGGAAGAGAACAATTGAGCCTGGGCCATTTAGCGACTTTGCAAGATTCTGTCTTGAAATAAAAAATTAAAAACCAGCTGGGGATGTATCTCAGTTCAAAGGCCTTGGGTTAACTCTCTAGCACTACAAAAAAAAAAAAAAAAAAAAAAGGAAAAAACTGAGGCAGGCATTGTGTAATCCCAGCAATCAGGAGGCTGAGGCAGGAGTTTTGTTCTGACTTCAAGACCAGCCTGGGCTGCAAAGTGAGCTCAAGGCCAGCCTAACTACATAGCGAGACCCTGTCTCAAAAACACACACATGAAAAAAAAATGAAAGAAAGAAAAGAAAAGAACAGAAAGGAAACAAAAATTCTGTGTGAAGTCCTGGAGCTAAAAGATCCTGGAACATTACCTTCAACTTAATCTCAAAAAGCAACTTTATTACTTATATATTGAAAAGGAAATTTTTCTCTCATTTTTCACTGCTGTTTTTCAAAAAGTATTCCAGTTCATCAGATTCAACTTTTGATAGTCTCTGTATCTCCTACATTTCTTATTTTAGTAGCTTACACTTTAAATAATAAATCTTATGGGTTGCTAAAATAGATGATCAAATTGCCATCTGTGAGCATTTCTTGAACGTTCAAAATACACTTTTTGGAAAATTGCCTTAAGAGAAAGTGAGACAAGACAGTGAATGTTGATGCTATTCTGTGATAATAACAGGATTCACTAATTTAAAAGAGAGAAGAGGGGCTGGGGATTTAGCTCAGCGGCATAAGCGCATGTCTTATAAGCAGGCAGTCGTGAGTTCGATCCCTGGTACCGATAAAAAGGAAAAAGACAAAAAAAAAAAAAAAAAAAAAGAGAGAGAGAGAAGAGCAAATGTAACTTCAAAATGTAAATTCATGAAAACAATTTTTATGAGTTTACATAAACTAATTGTCTTGAAGAACTTTATTTTTAAGGAAACACTTTTTGACTGCACTAAAACTGAAATTTAAACTGTTTGAAAATAAATGCACTTTCAGTCATGGGTCAGATGTCATATAGCAAGGGCAGTGTGGGATAAGATGCAAAACTTGAAAGTAGCTTCTTTCTTAGACCACAATAGATGTGATTCACTGAACCATTCAACAATGAACCTAAGTGCAAATTAATGTCGACACCAACTATATGTATTTCCACAAATTCTGGAAAAGTTCTTCATTAAGGAAAATTAAATAGTTTTCAAGAACTTTTCTTTCAAGTGTGAGAGGCACGTCTTAGCAACGTATTTAAATATACATAAGATTTATTCAAAACTACCACTTACAAAAATGCAAACTTTTACAATTATTTATACTCTTCTGTAGACTCAATTTTTCCTTTTTATCAGGAGAATATTTTACACAGTTGTGGTAGTATGCATTAATTAAGTGTCTTACTTACATTTTTATTCTTATTTGCAAATATATATGTTAACCAGAATCTTTAGAATGGCTTTGTTCATTAGGCTATGGGTTTCAAGTTCAAATACACTTGGATGAATGCAAATACATTTTTATTTGCTGGAGAAATTCTTTTTTCTCTCCCTGTTGCAAATAAGGGCCTTATGCATGCTAGACAAATGCTCTACCACTGAGTGAGGTCGCTGGCTCCTGAAATCCTTTTTAAAAATGTTATCTATGTTTGTGATACATAATAAATGAATTTATTGTGGGGAATTGCTACATATACATGGGGAATCTGATCCTTTTGACTTCCCCTTCCCCGCCCATCCCTTCTGTCCATTCCCAGTCCGTCTCCCACCACCACAAAATCTATCTCCCTGATTTCTATCATCTAGCTTTTATTTTGCTCTTCAAATTATTACACTTTGGGTTTCACATGTAGGAGAAACCATGTGGCACTCAACCTTGTGCATCTGATGTATTTCATTAGCATTATGAATGCAAGATGCATCAATTTTCCTATGAATGACTCGACTTTATCCTCATTATAGCTGAGTCTTTCTCCATTCTGTATAGATACCCTTTTTCTTTATTCATCCAGCTATTGATGGACATACAGGCTGCATCCAAGATTTAGCTATTATGAATTCTGCTGCTGTAAACATGGATATATATGTATCACTGGCATATGATGGTGTTAACTCTTTTAGGAAGATACCCAGAAGAAATATCTACAGCTGGGTCAAATGGAACTTATATGTTTAGTCTTTTGAGAAATCTCCATACTAATTTCCAAGTAGTTGTATGAGTTTACATTCCCATCAACAAAGTAAGTGTTCCTTATCCCCCACAGCCTTGCTAACATTTGTTGTTTTTCGAGTTCTTGATGCTAGCCATTCTTTCTGGAGTATGATGGAATCTTAGTTTCATTTTGACTTGCATTTTCTCTGATGGCCAGAGTTGCCGAGTATTTGTTCACGTACTTATTGGCCATTTGCACTTCTTTTGAGATGTGTCTATTAAAATGAAAAGATAAACTTAATTAATCTATCTCTTTTTCTGCTTGAGGTACAGATACAGATACAGATTCTGCCTTTGATACAGATATTCCCCAAACTGCCATATTACGTATGGACAAATGCTATGGCTATGCTCTCCCAGTGTATCAAGAATAAAATTGTGACATTTAAAAAGTAAAAGTCATATTGATTGAGCCTTGATGGTAAACACATCTTTGTCCCTCAGATGCCCGGTTCTAAAGTTCCCTTGTAGTGGGTTCCCTCACCACGGCTCATACACTAAATGGTAGGTTGGCCTCTTTTTGTGCTCTCCACATTTATTTGTTACCTACTTTTTCTTAGGTTTTCACTGTTTATTTACCACTTGTGTTTACTGACTCAAAATTCTTTCTTAGAATCGCTAGAGTATAAGTACAATGACAGACATAAAGTCATTCTCATTTTAAAATTTGGGATACAAAGCAAAAGCATTCACCAGCACATGTTTTTAATATGAAAATAAACAGTTTTCTAAAATGCTGAATTGTTATTTTACCACAGTATAGGCCATTGAGCTTGGACTTCACCTTCACTTTCAAACAAGTACTTTGTATTTTATTGATCTGCATTTTCCCCAAACAGCATGGGGGTGGTCCTTTACTTTAGTGTAAGAACAAAGTACCAGGCCTTTCATAAACAAGAAAAGGTGAGCTTCCGTGGCACCTGTATGTCAGTGAGATAGTTAAAGCCCTAAGTTGTCATCTAGAAATAGTGTCAGTTTTATTTTAAAAAATCACTATTTTAAATCTGGATAGAATAGGCACTATCTAAAAT